TTTATATTTAAACTCGGATACTGAGCCAGTTATAAATGTAAAAAAGAGAAGAAATACATGAGAACGAGTTATGCAGCAACTATCCACGACTATAATATTCTTATTCTTTGTTTAAACTGGTGTCTTTCTTTATTGGTAAAGTACGGTTTTCTACTTCTATACGTTTGAATGGCGTTGTGACATGCATAGTCTGGTGTGGATGCATGTACATTAAAGAAGGGTGTATGCATGTACATGTACCGTAATGTCGTGTATTGTGTATCAGGCGTATACTTCAACCAGGTATTTATTTGTATGTCAGCATGGAAACCAGGCTTCTATTGACTATACAAGACACTAAAGTATGCACGTTGTACAGGTGTCCATAACCCAGTGGGTGTGAACATCCCCGGTTGGGTGTTCATTGGGTGGTATACATGTACGTTCACATTAGACCAATTTAGTCCAATAATCAATGGAAGACAATCGCCTTTCCAGATTCATCACATTGTATAGAGCTAATAATAACAACTACTACTGTAGTAGCTATTAGCAAGCATTACAATTACAATAATTCTCAATCAAATTTTCGGCCAGGAGCCATTAGCAGGATTGAGGAGAAAAAACAAGTGAGGTGGACCTATAACAGGCAACACAAAGTGGAACGAAACTACACCATACGTGATAAAATTGCACCATCCTTTCGGCACAGGCACACACACATACCCATGCACATGCCAAAACACTGAAACACCCACTCATACTCACACTCGCACCAACGCTCACTCACACAAGCTCACACTCCAAATCACACCCAAACACGTGTAACTAAAGACACACACAAAAATACCAATGTGCCTGAAAACAAGGTGTGAATAGTGGTGGGACTATGACAAAAGAAAAGGAGATGAGATTCCGTCGCCAAACTGCACTTACACTACAACATTGTGCTGAACTACAGGTATATAACAATGGCGTGAACAAGCACACATGACAACAGGACAGGACAGTGGCAACAGAAAAAATGATCATCATCCAATTTTTCACATTGTCAATTGTCAAGCAACACCCAGCCACGATCACGGTTCACCTTAGGATGGTGTTTGGAGATGTGGATTGCCTCCCTTATCCGGCGGTTCACGTATGACACTTCCGTTGCGAGTATGGATGGTGATGTGAAGGGAATGAATGGCGCTGTGGATGGATGTTGTAGTGGTTGGTGCAATGCGCAGTGCTCTCCCCAGGGCTTCTGCGGTGCACAGGCTCTCGCTTCTCGGTAATGTTCCTGGACTCGCTCCCTGACACACTCTGTCTCTCCCACATACTCCTCTCCACACAGTAATTCTTGTGTCGGGATAAGTCATTCGGACAGCGAAAGTCACAGCCGCAGACACACACCCTCACCCACACACAAAGCAGGTAGCGTGATTACAAAGCTATGCATGTGTTGCCGACAAAGTTACGAAGGTAGAACTTGTTCTCATGACGACACTTGGACACCAGCTCTGACCTCTTGTAGAGGGAGCGGGTCCCAGGTAATCTCTAGCTTTCTGGCCAGACACAGACACAGCCAAGATGTTAAGAGTATGGTGCAGCTCCACTAGCTCCACTAAGTTCTTCACATAGGCGTACAACATACATGACTTGAGGAGTTCTTCACGTAGGTGTACTGCATGGATGGCTTGATAAGTGCTGACGGTGATTCACATCCAGAAATCAAATCCAGATCTCCATAATCTCCATACTTCAGCTAGCCATGTACTGAAGTACTAGCTGTGCAGGTTAATATCTCACAAATTATGCTAAATGTCTTGCCATCTGTATTGACTCTCTATTGTATAAGCGATACGAACGCTGTCGATGATTTGCATCTACAAACCAAATCGAGATGTCCATCAATGTTCAGGTAGCCATGTACTGAAGTACCAGCTGTATAGGTTCTCACAAATCCTGCTAAATGTCTCCAAGCCAAGTGCCAGCAGTACAGCTACTGAAAAATTGTAAGGTCTGAGAGGAAAGCCATAAAATAAGAATTCTCACAAACTCTCATTTATTAATTATCTCGGCCATCGCGAGTGATTCTCTACAAAGGCAATGGAAAGCAACAGTCACAAACTCTCATAAATACCTCGGCCATCGCGAGTGATTCTCTACAAAGGCAATGGAAAGCAACAGTCACAAAAGTCTTCGAATAGTTTCTCAGTACTGGAGCAGTCAAGGATGTACAGACTGGAGCCTGGAACCGTTTCCGCGGATGATCCCAGTTGCAACTACAAGTAGTTGTTGCAGTCCGCGAAAACGGTTCCACAGTACAGTACAGTAGACAGTGGTCGCAGTTGCCTGGAACCGTTTTCGCGGATGGTCCTACACCAGAAAATTAATCCCTGAAACCGTTTTCGCGGCTAGCCCGGCTAGTCATACATCAGAAATTAGTGGGCTGTGGATTCCAGGGGGAAACCGGTGTATGCCTGGAACCATTTTCGCGGAGGAACCGTTTTCGCGTTTACACCGGTCTCGAGGCAGGGCACCGTTGTTTTTGATGTGAGAGTACCCGTGACTCCCCGGGTCCCCCCCCCCCCCCCCAGATGTGTACGGTATTATGACGCAAAGATCCGATTACGCTTGACCAAGACCTTATGCAGAGCTGGATCAGGCGTTGCACACTCTGGGGGTATGTACTTTTGATAATAGTGATGTTATCAGAACTGGTCCAGCCTAGGCACCAGTACTTTGGGTCGGATTTCACCCTCCGTGGTAGCCCAACTGTACCCAGAGTAGTTGTATCTTGCTAGCACCAATGAGGTGACGACTCCAATGCAGCCATGATCATAAATAGCAGGGAAATGATGGTCAGAACCAGGGAGTACAGTCAAATCTGTCGTAAGCGACCGCCCATTGGTGCAAGAAAAAGCGGTCTCTTACGGCAGATGTATGGTAAATCCGGCATACCGGGCATGCATATAATTATGCGTCCATGTACTCAAATCGACGAGAATAATGTGATCTTTAATATCATTTTATTGGATATTCAACGACGACCATGCCCGTATAGTACGCGTATGCGACACGGCAGTAGATCGACACTGCGCTGCCTGGACTTGAGAGCTACAGTACAGCACAGCCTCAGTACAGGCCAGGGCCAGTCGATCGCACTTGCAAGACAGCGCATGTTCACACCTTGCAGTTGACAGCGCACTGGCAAGTCCAGTTTCGCACCTGACTGAACCTGGGTCGCGGTCGCTTACAGCAGATTTGAATGCGGCCACCGTGCATGAAATCGCGGTCGCTGGTCGCGCACAGCAGATGGTCGCTCTGGACAGATCAGTTTGTATGTGAAACTGTCGGTGCACGGAAAATCGGTCGCTAACGGTAGATGGTCGCCTACAGCAGAGGTCGCTAACGGCAGATTTGACTGTAGTACAATAGAGAGGTTCTGCTATACGTGAAACGTAGAGAAATCACGTAGAGAGCAGGTGTCTGGGTTAGAGTCTACGGCTTTGCGTGTTTTGGCTCCAGATTTCTACGCGGAGATGGGGTTCTCTACGTTGTGGCACACGCAGAGAAAATGCGTACGGATTTGCTGGGTATCGATCAACTGCATGCAGAAAACTGCCAAATATGGAAGGGGAAATTCCCAGTACACATTCCACGTGACTTCTCTAGGTGAAACGTAGAGCAGAACAGCATTTCTTTACGTTACGGGAACGCGAAGAAAGTTCGCGTGATTCTTTGCGTCGCGTTCCCAACACGTAGAGCAGAACCTCCCTAATATCAGAACACACCCAGTGGATTGGAGGTAAATACACATCTGCCCACACAGCGGCGGCGAACTAAGGGACCGGTCACACATGCACAAGGGGTCCGCTTCGGCGGCGAGGTTTTGCGGCAGTGAGGCGTGTGCCTCTCCAGCAGAACAACGTGTGACATACGAGTTGTACTTGTCAAGTGCAAGATCAAAGCCTGGTCTTCAACCTTGTGCTACAACGGGCTAGTGAGCGTGCATTCTGGTACAGTAACACTATTTTTTTACGGTACTCGTACCTTGATCACCCAAATAGCGTTGAAGCTGCAGCGTAAACACGTTATGGGGACTGATTTATCGTTGTGACAAACGGTACGTTTTTTGGCCAAATATTGCATAGTCCGTACGCATTTCACCTTGTATCGCGTATATGGTGACATAAATGGTTGTACCGCGCGAAATACAAGCTATTCTCGTGGCAACAGCGTACTAAAAATAGCGTGCATCTTGCTAAAGGTCGAACCCAAATCACGGTATTTTCCCCCTTACGGTAATACCGTTACAACATAACGTGTTTCGCTAATGGGCCATTCACACTACGCCCGGAACGTGGCGTACGTGACGTTTTCGTCCGGATAGCCATGACAACATGGAACGTGGCGGGAAAATCGTACCCCTGATACGAAAACGTAGACGACGTATCCAGACCCCTGTACCGAGTTTCGTTCTGTCGTTCCCAGCAGTTTGTGTCCAAAAGAAGCTGTACACACAGCTGTACGAGCAGCGTGCGCTGGCCTGTGTGAATGCACCTGCATGAAAACGACGTCTGCTAGTACGTCGTATTCCAAAACGTGACGCGTATTGTAACGTAGTATGAACAGCCAATAAGGGTGTCTATTGTATGCATACACTGGAGAGTAATGAATCCCTTTTGAACCGGAGTCAAATACCGTAACGTACCGTTGATCCGCCCCCTCTCTAATTCCCACCTCCTGTCAATTTTTACCTGTGAAGCGACTTCGGCGTATACAACGAAAATATGATGTTGAACCGACGCATGAACTGCCGTACACAATACTTGCCAATCCAGGATGAAAATGTGCACAATCCAGCACATCGAGTCTGAACTTCTACGTTGTTGTACATCGTACTGCCCTTGACAGCCTTGATCTAATTCCCGCCCCCTGCCGAAAACCCAGCTGGGAAGCGACATGGCGTGGGGGGGGGATCAACGGTACTAACACTCATCCGGCCTCACACATCTGCACACACACGAGTGTTGGTTTTAAAAGAGTATCATATGCACAGAGAGGTGCATCAGAGATTCTCCTGTTGCGCCCCAGACAGGGAAAAAAAAGATTCGTGGCCACTGAATTAAAACGGAGAAGTACGAAATCAAGCAAACCCAAGCAAGACCACATTGATAGTGGAAACATAAAGGCTGATGCTGGTTGCTTATCTGCTGGTTGCTTATCTACTGGTTACGTTTCAATGCTTTTCTCAGTCACTGGCACCACTAGCAATCAAATGATATATTGTGCACCCACTGATCAATCAAAGTTCTTCCTTTCTTTAAAGGCACAAATAGCACGGACTGTACGGGACGAGACAGAACACTTCACCTTTGAAGCACAGCTGAACCAGCAGCTGCACGCATGGCAAAGCCAGTGAAAGTCTAGCTTTCTCTCTTCGAAAGTTTAAATAGACCATTGGGTGGCACTCTAGAAATATGTTGACACGACTGCATTGGACATTGCTCAGCAAGCAGCAGAACAATGGACAGCAACGGCACAACACACGCATAGGCATATTATTCAAAGCTGCTTAGCCTGTGTGGCGGCGCTTGCCGAAAATGACTGCCAGCGTACCATCTCTGCAACGACAACAATGGAATACAACAGATAAACACGATCAAAACACGATCACCAAATTAGTCACAGATTACTATACTCTGCCACGCTACGAGTAGGTCGCCTGAGAGCGCTTTGTGGAGTGGTGCAGTGACTAATATTTACTTGAAGTATGTTAACCTACTGGGCTCCCGCAACGTATGCTGACTTTGTGCATTCTAAGCTTTTTTGCTTTGTTTTTAAATGCGACTGTTGGCCAGGCAGGCCGGACTCCCCGGTGAGCTCCACCGGGAACCTGGCTAGCCAGCCTGAAAAAGCACAGGAAATGCCGAAGCCAGGCACAGTGGGCTGGATTTGGTAAAAGACGAGTGCTGGGCGTTAACACCCTACACATGGCTGTAAATACCGGGCACAGTCATACAGTGTGCACACGCACGCGCACACATGCACACATGCACACACACACACACACACACACACACACACACACCCGTCCTGGTCCGGAGTGCTACTGCAAACTTGCTTACCGTTCACCATCGTCCACTGATAGCAACGGCACAGGTGCATCAAAACTGACCAGCTTTGGATGAATATCATATCTATGTAAAGAGACAAGCAAGAAAATCCAATAAACTAGCGAAGAATTAAATGACCCGATACACACACCCACACCCACCCACACCCACACAAAGAGACAAAAGCACATGAGTTCACTTTTACGCCTGGCACGAGGGAAACACAGATGCAGCGAATGTGATTTTCGGTCTTTGACCACTTGCTGGTGGGCTGATCCACTCACCCCCCCCCCCCCCCCCAACCGCTTTAGGAGCTGCATCTGCGCCTTTGATCTTTGCAGGAAGGTGGCGTTCCTACGGATGCTGACAACTCAGTCTAACTGAGTCTCAAGCGAACCGTGATTTTTTTACTTTGTCATACCACGTCCTGGTTTCAGTGCTTTGTGAGCCTCATCAGAGGATATGGTGACTAGTTGTAGGATAAGTAACGATATGGGGTACATGTACTGATCTTATGTGCCTTAGAATGGGGCACAAACCATTCTGACAAAGTACAAACTACACGAGTAGCACCTTAGAGTCTACAGTGCACGAGAGGCAGAGATCTACTAAGAGGGCAGAGTGTTTGATCCATCCACACAGATATGCACTTGCTACACACGGGATAAAACTGAAATTATGGATCATGGGTTCATCATGCTCCGGAAAAAGCACAGGTTTCAGCTCCGTACGAATAGCCTACAAGAAGGAACACCCCCGCACACAAACACACACCTGATTTTACGGCCCTTGCTGGCTTTAGTGTCCACCTGCTTCTTGACCTTCCGTCGCAGTTTTTGAATCTGCAGCCATTGTCTGAAACACAGAAGTGCACAGTGACAAGTTCAAGCAAACGCCACACCACAAGATGTGACACACAACCAGAGTGTCACAAACCCGTCTTACCCAAGGCGTATTGAAACTAGTCTTTGTAGAAAGGTGGTCTTACGCCACGGATCTAAATAAATATAGCACATTGCGTTGAGACAGATCTGGGGTGCGAGATGACTGGCCTCTCAACACACGTGGTCTTTCAACACAGAAGTGAATGCACATTGAGATACAGTCTGGGGTCTGAGATGACTGGCCTCTTTTAAAGACAGGTGGTCTTTCAACACAGAGGTGAATGCATAATGAGACACAGTCTGGCATCTGAGATGAGTGGCCAGGTGGTAATTCACAGCTGAATACATATTGAGACACAATCTTGGGTGTGAGCTGACTGGTTTCTCAACACAGATGATCTTTCAACACAGGCAGTGAAGGTAAGTTGGCCACGGGTCTGACATAACCAGTCAGTCTAACGACACTAGGACACGTATGAGTTCTACTGTACGCTGAAGTCCAATCTGGGTAGAAGACGAAAACTCACCTTCCCATTGCCACAGAATCATTCGCATCCTTCACCCGAGCTTGACCTTCAATAAACTCTTTCAACATCTGTCCACCACAAGAAAGCCACCACAAACATCATGGTGGTAAGAACACACTAGAAAAGAGTAAAGACCTGTGACGTATGCTACACACGCTACGCATGAAGAACTGGGAGTTACAATAGTGGGGAGAATTTTGCAAATCACACCATCGACAAAGTCGGACCTGACATACCTGGTGATAGAAGTCCTCGTCATCAAAGATTTCCGGATTGAGCGACTTGAGATGCGAGTCTCGCGTACTCCCCTCACTGTTCGTTTCCTGTAGAGGTAGAAGGTAGAAGAACAGTACCCAGCACTGATTGAAAAACACTGTTGGCCTGTTTTGTCCACGGGTATGTTACCAAAAGCAGGCATTCGGGTTGCATACCCTCCCAATCCCGAGTAGGCTTACATGAAACCCGTACTTTTCCAGGGCACCACTGCTGGCATCCGGTAAACACAGCACAAGCAGAACTTCCGTACTACATAAGTGTTCCATCTTTTGTACACCCTTCAGCACACGAGGGGGAGTTGCGACAGGCCAGCACAGGCATCCATAGACCCCTCATTTCCTTCTTACACAAGCAGAATGGTTGACACAGTGCCCGCTACTCGGAAACATACGTAACTCGGAACATGTATACGTTCATATGCACATGTAGCGGAGTGTATAGATCCAACAGCCATTCTGGCACTTTGAACTACAGCTTTCCCCCTGTTTCCATGGAAACCGAGACCAATATGTGTAGCAAGAAGAACCCATGAGTGTGTGTGATCCCCGGTAGCCTAAGGGGTCGTCGCAAAAGTTTTCTGTCGTCCCTGAAACGAACATCGTTCATTTCATACTTGGACCCCCTCCCCTCCCTCTGAAACGAACACAGCTTGCTATGCTGGACGACGAAAATCGCAGGCATGTACATGTCATAAATTATGTACAGTGTCGGTCGACTTGCGATTTTGGCTCGCACCCCCTCCCCCCCCCCCCCCCCCCCCAAATGAATCATGTTCGTTTCAGGGACGACAAAAAACTTTTGCGACGACCCCTAATCGGTAGGGCACTGTCCCGGAAAGACAGGGGTGCTGGGTTCGAATCCCGCTCGTGGATCCTTCTTTTGCAACATTGGCGCCTGGCAATGGCTCGAACCCACGACCCATCGCGAGTAGGTACGGCGTGAGGACACAGCCTGTTGGGGCGGGGGAGCAGTGTAGCAAGAAGGGCCCATGAGTGTGTGTGATCACCGGTAGCCTAATCGGTAAGGCACTGTCCCGGAAAGACAGGGGTGCTGGGTTCGAATCTCGCTCGTGGATCCTTCTTTTGCAACATATGCTGCCTGGTGGGCCGGGGTGCCGAACCCACGACCCATCGTACCCCCTGCGAGTAGGTATGGCGCGAGGACACAGCCTGTTGGGGCGCGGGAGCAGTGTAGCAAGAAGGACCCATGAGTGTGTGTGATCACCGGTAGCCTTATCGGTAAGGCACTGTCCCAGAAAGACAGGGGTGCTGGGTTCGAATCCCGCCCGTGGATCCTTCTTTTGCAACATATGCTGCCTGGTGGGCCGGGGTGCCCATGATTTCGAGGTCCGGATGAGAGATATATATGCGTGTAAATATTTAGCCATGAAACTCACCGCAGGCTGCTGGTCTTCACCGATCGGAAGCTGATTGGATCGATTCAATTGTGTTCGCTTCAGCAGACGATCTGGATCCATAAGGACCTTTACAAGAGAGCCAACAGAACAAAGCAGGAAAAAGCAACCTATGACGCACTTCTTCAAAAATGATCATACATGTATTTGATAAGAAGCCTATCACCATACTAGAGGAAAATGCCGCTTGTATCTCCCTGGCAGTTTAGCTGACACCACGGCGATCGGCTTATCACTTTAGCAACACCTCCACAGACTAACTCCCTTCACCAGGGCTAAAAAAAGTCACGCCCACAGTCGCCATTGGCGCCCAGTGGTCTGTAGAGTTCAGACTCCAAGAGTGGGTAAGGCACGGCATGTGCAGAATTGTGTAAATACCTGCTATTTCCAAAAACGGAACACATGCCAGAGTACTTCATGGAGCGAGTCTTCCTCGAAGAGCAGGTAGTTAGTTACTCAGTAGTGCTGTGGAGACTGAAGAAGTCTTAGAAAGACGCGCAACCCACTTTGTACACATCAACATGATTCGGAAAAACCTCAGCAAACAATCTAGAGCAGAGTGAGCGTGGGACAATACACGTAGAACAACTTGTGCATGTACCTGATTAATTGCGTTAACAACCGATGTATCACTGGACTTGAACGACTGTGGTAAGACAAGATGAGATAAGGGAAAAAGAAAGGCAGAGACAACAGATAAGACATGTACATCTATGGCATCTACAGGAGAGCATGAGAATTACACCAACAATGGCAAATAGCATTGCATCGGTGTGGCAGCTAAGTAAGTACGGATTACTCCTGAGCTTTGCCAAAGGCATGAGGTGTCCGGCAGCACAATCAAATGCAAACATTTCACCTCAAATGCAAACATGTCATCTCTGGGCTGCATGCTATTGGGTCTGCATGCTATTGGGTCAGCGAAATGATGAATGAAATCAGAATCAGGAAAAGACTGACCTTCGTTGTCAGCTTGCCAGAGCCAAGACGTGTTCTGTCACTCCATTTGGTCACTACTTTGTTACGATACGTTTCAAAGCCGTGATGAAAGTCACTCAGTACAGCCTCAAACTCATCAGATGTCTTCAACGTCTGCAAGAGGACCACACGATCAAATCCCAGTGTACATTGATAAAGGCCACACCTGGATCGGTCTCACAACAGAAAAAGCTGACAGCTACAGCATCTTGTAACTTGTTCTGATGATGGGCGACGGGCCCGAAACATCAATAATTAATATTTCACAATATCAATAAAACTAATTTCTAATTCAGCGCAGAGTGAATAGGAACTGAATAGAGCGGTTGTCAGTTGACAACCCCCCTTTTCTTCTATCATGCAGTTGTGTGATGTCCATACATTTCTTAGTCCAGCAAGTTGTGTTACCAATTTGGCTGCAGACCACAGCAATGCCACTATACGGTTTCTGTACGGTCCAGTAGTGTTTGGCACTATAATGTGCATGTACACGTACCTGGCTTTTCTGCGATTTCCTCCGCTTCTTGGCGCCATGACTGGGCACATCACCATCATCACTGCCCAGGTCACCAGTGTCCTCATCCTGTTCATCCTCACTGTCACTGCCGTCGCCGCCGATCTTGCCTTTCTCCAACATCTGCATCATGTCGTCATTACCACCGTCAGCATCATCCAGCCCGTCCTCATCATCGCCAGATGCAAGATCACTGTCAATTTCTTCATCGCTGTCCACTACTGAAGAGATTAGACAAAGAATCACAGCCGCAAATCGACACATAAGCATTCAGTTCTGCAGTGAAACGGTAAAAATGTACCTCACTCAACAATCACTCAAACGAAGTGTCCAGAGCCAGCCCCACTCATATAGAGGGTATTCGAATGTCATGTGATGACGTAGCACATTCTATACTGAGTATGTTACACTCAGTATGGCATCATTTCTCTATTTGTCGTCACTGTCTCTATATGGCATCACTTGTTTACTTCGTGCCTATATGGCTTCACTGCGACTTTCTCTATATAAGGCCGCAACCACACTACGTAAAAATCACAGCACAAAATTTCTTGCATATCTCAGTACAAGTCGGTACACAACCACACTACACTTTTCGGTCTGCATAGATGACGTTTTCACGCGACCAGCACGTGACGTTGTCGTACCAAAGCGTGTGCCATGCGCTGGAAAAGACCGGGAAATTCAAAAAAATTGCTGATGCTGATGCTATGTACGACGACAAGGTACAAAAACAAAGTTGTACACAGGAGAAGGAGCGCGAAAACGACGAAAACGACAAACGTGGCTTTCTACAGGGGTGCGCCAGTTGCTGAAAACCTACAAAGCGCATTTTGCATTTAGCACGCGTCGCCATGACGTTTTCTACTGTAATGCCGTTTGTACGTGATTTTGTACCTAGTGTGGTTGCAGCCTAACTCCAGGTCATTCTCTATATAATCAAGAGTACATAACCAAGAGTGTGCAACTCCTATCTTGAGCTGCGATGGGTTCACCCACGGCGGAATTTTTATATTGGGTCATTCTTTGCCAGAAGTATGATGAAATGCGTATGCTTTCCCGCGCTTGTTTTGTAGATACGGTGAGAGTTCATCAGGTTCAAGACACATCGATCTATCGTCCGTTGTTCTGCTTGGACTACCGTAGCTGTACTGTACAAATTATTTGTACTTTGATCTCTGGCTGCGCATGATGGCATCAGTGAGCCCAACCGCCGCCAAAGACTGATGCCATAAAAAAATTCCGCCACGGGCTGAGGGATCGTGGAGTTGCACACTCTTGGTTATGTACTCTTGACACTCAGGTTGAGACTTTCTCTGTATGACTCCAACTCAGGTTTTGTATGGAGAAGTTGGCAATCTGAGTTGGAGTCATACAGAGAAAGTCTCAACCTGAGTGGAGATATATAGGGAAAGTCGCATCTGGAGTTATATAGAGAATGATGTGGAGTTATATAGAGAAAGTTGCAGTGAAGGCATATAGGCACGAAACATAATACATCCGAGCTTTTGACTTGAGTGGCAAGAGGTTGTAAGAGAAGCCCGTGTGTGCATTGAGTTCGTGTTTATTCTTGGCTTCTATTATGGTTGAGTGCCTTGCAGATTCTTTGAGTAATTTAGTGTTTGGCCTAGCCTTCCTGTATAGCTAGTGCCTTTGACTATGGGAACGAGTTATGCTGCTATTGGGCTACTCTGCGAGAGCCAAGCCCGGCAGCAATAGCGTTTATATCTCTTTCGGACGGCCAATGTTTCACTTAGCACCAAACAAAAGTTTCATCCGCCGGCCTCAGTTGCTGGAAACGCTAGAAGGTCACCAATCCAGCCTCTCGTGAGGAAAGCGTACCCCTCCAAGCTCTTATACGCTTTCATTTCCTCCATCGTGTATGGACTAGGCACGTTGGTCAGGTAATGAAATACATCCGGATACTCAATAAGTACTCAGATGGTGAGCCAAGGAAAAATTGAATATGAAACAAGGAAAACGGCGGACACCCGATATTTGGAAAATACAGAAAATGACTGGGAACCGACAAGCTACGGATCAGGAGCACAGGCATCAATCAAGCCAAGCTTCTCCCGATACCGTTTCTTCTTGACATCGTCCAGGTTGTCATAAATCGACGAGTACGATCAAACAGAATTTTCTTCAGCCATCGGGACAAAATGAGAACTTCCACATGAACTACTTAGCACTAAGAAACACATCCTCTATGCACTTTTTGCCACTCAAGCCTTTCTTGAAGATCTATGCAAGGCCAGCGCGAATACGGGATGACGTAATGAAATACCCTCTATAAAGTGTCAGTTGGGTTGGTCCGGCATTGGTTGAATTCGAACCCAAGTATTAAATCAAGAAGGTGTGGGCAGCACAATGCTTGTGTATTCCACACATGGGTTAAGCTCGCCTGAACAAGATTCTTGCCTACTACAAGTATCCTAATCTTGCCGACACCAACAACAACTGTCCCGTAGATGCAAGGCAAGCTCCGAGCAAACACAATTCAAGTACCACTCACCACTTGGTTGTGGGTCTCTTTTCAGAGCTGTGCGGCGGCTACTGGCACTGGATGCAGCCGTCGTGGCTATTGCTGCCAAATGCCTCGTCTCACTGTTCTTGTCCAGCAGCTGGTGCTGCAAGCTGATCATTGATGATAGCATTTCACGAACACCAGCCTTGGCTACATTGGAACACAGAGAGAAAATGCACAACACATTCGCACACAAATGCACACTGTACATGTATAGTATACACAGAACTCGGAATGATCGGTACATGTTGGCGATGGTGCTCAGAGGTTAGATGTTCTCAAAAATATTCCACGGAGTTCCCATTGTACTTCGATAGCAAAACACGGCATACAAATTGTTGTGTTAGGAATACTCCCAGCGTAATGTACTAGCCACTCAGTCAGGATGCTGCTTCATTAGTCGGCTGTATCCAAGATGCAAAGACCCCACAATTTCTAGTGCGAGAAGGTGCCCTGGCAGAAACGCTCCTTCGTAGGGTCCTGCTGCAAAGGCCCTGGACAGCTTAAAAAGTCTTACCAGCACCGACACGACTCTTGTCCTCGGCGTTCTGACAGAATGTAGGCATCTTGCGATGCGTTGGTAGCCTGTTGCTTGCTAGGAGGATGGGTTGCAGCTGAATGCGCACTTCCAGCAGAGATTCCCACAACCCTGAGAACATTGGTGACACAAATGAAAATAAAGAGGTCAAATTTCTCTCTCTATCTCTCTCTCTCTCTCTCTCTCTCTCTCTCTCTCTCTCTCTCTCTCTCTCTCTCTCTCTCTCTCTCTCTCTCTCTCTCTCTCTCTCTCTCTCTCTCTCTCTCTCCAAGTGCCAGCCACCAAATCGGGGTAACAAAAAAACAAAAACAAAAAACGGGCAGAGTGGTGTATACCACACGCTTCACAACAGAGTGTTCCAGCAAAATGGAGATTCTTACCCACTTGAACCTGAATAGCCTTTCCTTTGTTGGCATCATCACTGGCCGACTCTACTGTCACAGACTGGACACCATCACTCGCAAAAGGAGCATCAGAAGACCTCTGTTTCTTGGATGACATGGATTTCTCGTCACCGTCACTTTCGTCACTATCAACTTCGTCCTCATCACTATCCTCCTCCTCCTCCTCCTCATATTCGTCGTCATCATCTCCCAAGTCTTCACTTTTATCGCTGCTACCAACGTCACTCATGTCGATGTCATCAGACTCTTCACCGTCAAAATCATCCACATCACTCTCATCTTCTTCATCAGCACTGCTATCCTCTGAAGTAAACAATGGATGTAATTACAGCACAAAAGCAAGTCAGCACTACGCGTAGTTAATAGTTACAGTCAAACCTCGTTAGGACGAACTTCAAGGGCCTGAACAAATATGTTTGTCTTATCGGGAGTTCTTCTTATCCAGATCTGACCAAAAATCGATATGCATATCAGATGGATTGTATCTACGTGAAGGTGCATGCTGTGGTTAACGTGTACATGGGAAGCATGTCATTCTTAGCATAAGCCAGAAACAGGTAAGTACAATGACAAAGTGCAATGAATCACGACTGTGTCGAAAGTTCCTACAACGCACTGATTGATTTGTTCAAAACACGCTTGAAAGCAATTTGCACTGTACGTACAATATGACCTCGACTATTGAAAAAAAGAAGAAGAAAAAAAGCAGCCAGCGCACGCGCACGCTCGTGGACCGAAAGTTCGTACTACATGTACATGACCACACTGACTTTGTTCAAATCACACTTGAAAATAGTTCGTCTTCGCGAAAGTTCGCTGTACAGAAGTTCGTCGTAAACGAATAATTTTGACTTGAATTGATGCCTGGCCAACCATAGGATTGGCCTTAGTTCGTACTAATGGAAAGTTCGCCTTATCAGTGTTCGTCCTAACGAGGTTTGACTGTATATTGCAAGAGTAGTTTCAAAGTATCCGCCAAACACGCTGCACTATACACCACCACCACCAGCAGCAGCAGCAGCAGCAGCAGGATCACCACCACTCACTGCTTGGAACGGTGTATATCGTCTTTCTGACTCCTTCATACAGCGGAGCTGCTGGCATAATTTAGTGTGACATTCCCGTGTCCCCGGCAATCACTTCCTCAACGCATTCCGTACTCATCAGTGTTGTTGGTAACCTGATGACAGCCTGCTTTAGGATTCAAAAGTATTTATTTGAATTGGCAGTTTTGCAGCAGTGTTTTCGGATTTGCCAAATTGCCAATGCATTTCAACTGCTACAATGTGAACCACTGCTGTATACCATGCAGCACATTGCAACACAGAGATCATGTGCAGCACCGGCCTTTTTTTCCACAGCAGAAATCTTTAGGGTGGGAGCCAAATCAAAAATTCTGACGCCCAAAAACATATGCAGGAGATAGGGAACTTCGTAGATGGTACTAAGTATGTATTCACGGAACATCACTAAATTTTCACACCAGGGCAACTTGACATACAGGGGCATGATGGTCTTGTATTGAAGTTATAAGCAGAACTGGCTTCACTCAAGGAGTATTGCTCTCAGGCGGTACATTCAATTTCACATGGACTCTGGCAACAGCATGTCACTACTGTAGCCCAATCTTATCATAATATGTTTTGTCATCACATTGCGCAAAGAAGGCAATTTAATCTTTGCTTCCAGCCTGACACGCTCTTATATTAAATTTTGGTGACTTTCTAGTCTGGATGTACTTCGGCAGCTTGCTCTTAGTGTCCATGGTCCTGTACTAGTACGGTGAATCTCCCCTTATCCAGACGCCCTAATCCGGGCACGTCTGTTTACTGAGCACCTTTCTAACCAATCTAGTCACTGAAATTGGCTTTTCAACGAAAAGCAGCCCCAAAAACGATTGATTGTCATGAAAAGTGTTTAGTTCCAAGCAGTAGTATGTATGTTTTGAGTTACGGGCAATTGCTGTTTACGGGCAGTGCTCGGTCCTAACCTGCCGGGATTTGGGGAGTTCTACTGTAGCACTGAACAACTGCTAAGCGCAGATCGAGTTATTTACGCTCGCATAATTTCTATTCTCCCGTACCTTGCAGCTTGCTGCGAGAAGACAGCTTCCCTGCATATTGGCCACGCTTGACTGACGGTAGCACTGCGTTTTTGATGAGCAATCTACTTGGCTCTTCTGCTAAATTCTCCTCCCTTTCCAAGTCGTGCTTCGAGGCGTTGAAGAATTCCCGGTCATTTCCGATGTCTTCATCCTCAGGATCAGGATCGGGATTCGCACTAAATAAATACTCTTCTTGCCAAGGCTTTGCCGAAGACATGGTCACAGATTGTCCTTGCGCAGCAATGAACTTTGATGAAATTTGGTTGTGGACATATCTCGAGAATGAACATTAATTTTTATGATTGACAGATTGTGAACATAAAAATTATTTGAAGCATTTTTTGCTTTTTTTGATTGTATGTCGACATTATCACCATGGTTACCTTTTCATTACTGTAAAAGCAGAAATTTTCGGTGGTGGTGTTTCATTTTCGGTAACTTCGGTGTCGACAATTTTTACCGAAAATAAAACGCACCGAAAATTTCGGTACAACCGGGTGTACTACGTAGCACACTTGACTTACCTGGAAAACGGGTTTTACCGAATTGTCCCTCCGCCGAACCGCCGATTTTGGACCGAAAATATGTTGCCTGATGATGATCGTAGTGATGGTGCTGATACGTGACCCGTCGTGGAAGGGAACATGAACAGAATGGAACATATACCAGTCGATGCCTATTAGCAAGAGTTCATGTTGGGAGTTATGAACTCTTGATGGTAGGGATGACTGCTACGAAGTTTTAGCCCCATGCTCCCCATAGGCCCAGCGCTTTTTAGCGCCCGACGATAACCAAATTTCATCGATTTTCCATATGGATCAAAGCATAGTCTCCGGAATCTTCTCCAGTCGAGCTGAGTCTGGACGCTACAATGTCGAGACGCGAAAAGAGAGCATACAGGAACACACAGCCACAGGAGCATCACATGCAGCTGCATTCTGCCTCGACGAAGAGAACAACACCAGCACCACGTATTTGGAAGACATTTCGAAGAAGACGAGGAACTACATATCTGCGTTCGAAAAAGCCTCTGGCTCTGTACTCACTAGATCACTGTGTACTGTGCATAATTATAGCTAGCAGCAAGAGTCCATAACCCAATGGACTCTTGCTAGCAGTACTGCATGCGCATATATGCGTGCATGCGCGAAGCACGGGGTCCGCGCGCGGCCGCGCTTCGTTCAAAAATCATTGTGCCACACGGGTTGTATCATGTGCGATCATGGCCTTTCTTGCTATCAGTGCAGTCAAGAGTTCATAACTCTTGGTGCAGTGTTCTTGACAAACAAAACTGACGTTTTTCGATCTTCAAATCGCCATAGCGTCCTTGTCATGACTCCAAATCAGCTGAAACTTTGCAGCAGACATGGAAATGCCATGCTGAATCGATTGGCTCCATTTTCGAAGGGTTTCCTTGAAAAATAAAATTTAGCCTGCACTGGCCAACGTCATCATGCACAGGGAGCTGAACCACTGCATGTTGCTGTGGTCCATAGTTCACACGTACATATACATGTGCACATACACTGAAAGTCTGAAGCACACTGGGCTGCAAACACATCAGTAAATTGCCCTGGAGATACAAAGTCATTGTTGTGAATTGTTCTTTGGTTAGAGATTCTGGGGCGATCAAGACTAGCAAAGAAGAAATAGCAGCTGTATGTCAGCATGTCAGTTTTTAAGCCAAGTGCATTGGTGGACGATGACCCACCGTCAGAGGTTTGTGAAATTGACCAGCTTGCAATAACGTTACGATCCTCCAGTAACGTTCTGGTTTTTATTCTGATTCTATGTTGTATTGGCAGTGTCCACTATGTATGGAAGCTTTAGACTTAGATGACATCAATTTCTTCCCATGCGAGTGTGGATACCAGGTACTGGTAGCTCAACATTATGGTTTTGTCCGAATTCTTTATTTTCATTGTCGTCTGTTTTGTCACACTGCGCGTAAGAGCCATCAATTCAATTGCACCAATTTCTGTAGATGGCATTCATTCAATATGGATTGCATTATAATGCAAACAACCTATGGTACCAATTAATGAGAATGGCGATATGTGTTAGTTTGTGTGGGATATTCTAAGAAAGTACTAGGAAATTTCCCCCCACACTCAACAACACTGGTATCAGTTTCAGGCTCTTGACAGTGAGCATAGTACATCACTACATGTGCTGGCAGTACCATTTCATCGCATGGGAGCAGGAGAACAAGAAGCTTATGCTCGGGAAAATGTAGCACAATATTAGCACAGTCATGTTACATTATTGTTGTTGCGAAGTGAATTTAGTAGTTTTGAAACAAATAATCAAATAATTAAGAATATTCGTAGGTTGAACGAATAATCGATTAATCCTAGGAATTGGCAGAAATCGAAAATAATCGTAAAGTGTACGAAGTCATGACATGTGTTTCGTGCATGAGTCGAGTCCATCATGAATGCGCGCTCAATCCCCACATGCGTCCAGCGTTAGGCTAGCTGTGTACATGTGCATGTGGGGATCGATCTGAATGCACGAGCGTGCACACGTGGTGCACTGTACGGACCGTACATACAGTCGATCATGCACCTCAACAATACAAAATCCGGTAAGGGGTCGTCCGTAATTTTCGAAAATTAAAAAATCCGTCCTCGTGGAAAATTGTTTTTCACCCACCCACCCATCCCCCATTTTTCCCATTAATTTTTGTTTTTTTCCCAATGCCCAGCTAGAAAATAAGAACTCCTCACCCCTGGTTCACTAACTGCATCTGCACCTGTGTCAAGTACTAGTAGGTTTACCAACTTCCATGCACGACCTACAACTACATCATACTGGTGTTACGGCAATCGATCCTACACTACAGTGCACTACACAGTCAGTGCAACAAGTGTATGAAAAATCAAAAAAATAAATTCCGCCGGCGCTCTTGACCACCCACCCACCCCCTTTTTGCATGAGGAGGGATTTTTTAATTTTTCGAAAATTACTGACGACCCCTAACCAGCAAAAAGTTGCAAAAAACACTGAAAAAATGCTGAAAAAGAGTTGAAAAATTCAAGCATGCGCGCGTATGATCGAATATACATTGTATATTATTCATTTGAAAAAATCGTGTTCGGTTTAAACATTAGAATTCAGTGTACGAATATGTGTACATACACCGACTGCACTTCCTAATTTGAGTAATCATTGTGGTTTATTAGAGAGGGTTCCACATAACGTAATTACGTTAGGGGCTATCTGGCATTATCGATAATTTCACGAAACGAAAAAGTTTAGTTAGGACCCTCCCCCACCCACCCACCCCCCTGAACGAAAAAAATAGATTGCCTTGACGGCAATAGTGCCTTGATGTCTCACATATCAATATTTTTCAAAACGAAACTCCCGCTGACCCACCCACCCATAAACGAGACTTTTTCTCTTCGTGTAAAAGATCGATAATTATGGACGCCCCCTTTTAATAGTAAAAAACGTAGTCGATCTATGGGAAGTCTTACGTGCACTGCATACGGATCTGTGTTCCATCATACAGAGTTTTGGAATCACATACAGGGGCGTCAGAAGGTATTTTAGTCTGGTACGGTCAGCCATCTGAAGTTCAATTTACCTGTGGGAAGGGGTGGCTGAGCCGAAATTTTAAAAACTTTAGAGCCCAGATCAGTGTATTATAATTATTGATTCACGGGGTGCCTGGGGCAAAAGGTGGTACGGTGAATACCGTAGTGACCGTACCGTGTCCGACGCCCCTGACATAGCTGAGAGGTTTTGCATTCCAAATACATGTATCGGAATATTTTAACTGCGCTTTTGCAGAAAAGTATGTGCCAAAAATGCATTTTTCAGTGTTTTGCAGGAGCGTAGAAGACGCCAAAACCGATTTTCACGTTCTGAATCTTTCAGTGCATGCAACGTATTCAAAAAATGAGTGCCAAAACCGTAAACAACTGAAAAATTGTATTTTCGGAAAACCCTGCACTTTCGCAAAACCATGCTCTTTCGCCACCATGCTTCCGAACATTCGACTACTTTTTCGACTCCTGCCACCAGATCCCGAAAATGCACTCATACCTCGTTCATCTGAATCCCGAAGTTAGGGCACTTCGGTCTACCGGGCACACTTTGGCACTCTTTGTGCGAGTTTCAGTGGAAATATTACTACTCTTTTGTCACTTTCTGTGGAAATAGTGACGTCATACGCCATATCTATGGCCTTTCCCCATCAAAATGTATGTGATTCGGAGTTACGGGCAGTGCCCGGTCCCAGACTGCCCGGCTAGACGAGGTATGAGTGGAATTCCGAAAATAATTCCAGAATTCAGAATGCGAAACCTCTCTAGTATTTCACTGAATCTATTTTTGGCCGAGAATTGATGAAAAATGAGCTTTTGATCTCTGCAGAAAATTCTAAATCTTATGCCATAGTGTATGATAGGGCAGCAGCATTCCAGTTCTTTCGCTGATGAAGTGTCCTAAAGCACGCTGTTACAAAATTGGAATGTTTCTTGTTGTTTCTTTACAGTGCTAGAAGAGATTGGTACTAATATTGGATTTTGGTTTCAGTCTTTTTGTTTGTACTTTTTCTGAATTGTGCTGTACAGGTGTGTCATTTTTGCTGGCATAGAATACGGAATGATGAAAATGGCAGATGCCCTCAGTGTAGAAAGGTTAGTCTTCTACTATCTAGATAAGCATAGCCATGCACGTGCCTTTGCCATGTGTTCAAATCATTTAGCGGCATCCTTATCGGCAACTTGGCAAGGAGTGGGGTGCGGGCTGTTTCGAAAAGTCTTCTATAAAGGAAGCACTATTCCTGAGACTTCTCTTCTGCTAGTTACACATGACAATAGTCCTCAATCGCGACATTGAATGGGTCCTTTTCATCGCCCAGCTTGGAGTGCTTCATGGCTGTGTGTGTGTGTTTTTTTTTCGGGAGCATCTGTGGCCTGTTCAGTGTTTGGTTGCGGAGAAAGTTGACCTTTACCTTGTGCCTGTTGTTTGCTTATCACTGCACAGCCCTATACAGAAAATCCAGCATCATATAAACCAATTACGGAAGAAGAGTAAGTCACTCCCTTGTTGTCAAATCTTATTTTTTGAATGTTCTCCTAGTGGCATTTGATAGGTACTGTACCCGGATTCAAGGGTTTGTTCGAAGAGCAAAGCAATATCACTGTGCAAAAGAACTGAACTGTGGCTGCGGCCATTGTGAGCTCCCTTGAGAATGGAGGCGACATTAATAAAGTCATGCTGAAAGGTCTAGGTATGCTGTAGATAAACAGGTTGCAGTACGACTACAAGTGCTACAGTGCAGCGCGAAAAGACACTTACCGGTACTTCACTCAGAGTACGGAAGAGGTATATGCACTGCCCCATTTCCACTTGGAGCGAGTTGCAGCAGCTCTCTCTCTCTCTCTCTCTCTCTCTCTCTCTCTCTCTCTCTCTCTCTCTCTCTCTCTCTCTCTCTCTCTCTCTCTCTCTCTCTCTCTCTCTCTCTCTCTCTCTCTCTCTCTCTCTCTCTCTCTCTCTCTCTCTCAGAGAGAAAGAGACACACACACACAGGCAGACAGACAGACAGACAGAGAGCGAGAGAGAGTGCTCGATACATAAGGGTGTAGAGCCGTGTACATATAGAGAGACGGGCAAGCTGTATTGCTGCAACTCTGAGTCTCGCACAGAAGCAATCATCGGACCGCACTGACTACACTGTCCTAATAATGTGTTTAATATACGCTGCTGTAAGGCTGTGTTTACATGATTCTTGTCGGAATTCTAATGGTCCATTATAAAAAATAGAGTGAATGCGGGTGGGTTTTGATCTTGTCTCATCTGATTCAATGCTAGTGTGTGTTTGTTACCTACTTTGATGTATGTCTGTACTGGCTGTACTGTATTTTTTTTGCACTGTCTGCGCTGGGTGTCTCTCATCAGGGTACACGATTGGAATGCTAAGAAGAAACAGAAAGAGAAAAAATCGAAAAGCAGTGAAAATCGGAGACAATTGGGTGATAAGCGAGTATTACAGAAAAACTTGGTTTTCTTAACGGGCCTTTCCACGCGTTTGGCAGATTCAGATGTAAGTACCCATGGTAACAGTCTGTATAATCACTGGGAAGTGTGACATATACTCTGATTCAGATGTCAGTAACAGTCTCAGCGGCGGATCCAGCGATCTCTACAGGGGGTGGGTTCCAGTATAGTCAAAACTGTATAACTGATACATATACACGGACACGCATAATTATAGTTGCCAGTTGCCAGTAGTACATTTACGAAATTTAGGGGGTTCCACGGAACCCCTACTGGATCCGCCCCTGAGTCTGTGAAGCCACTGGCACGTATGGATAACACCACCTGACTAGTATGTCTAGTTTGCATAGGCTGTGTCTATAGGTGTAAAAAAAGACACAAACATATATTGGATTTGCTCACAAGAAAAACACGGCCCATGCGGTGTGTGGTGTAGAACCCTGGTCAATCGTGGTGGCCAATAGACCTTATGCCGGCTAGTACTAGTTGTACAAATCCATGAAATTCCGTAGAATCCCGTAGACCCGGTTGGGTGTTCATTGTGTGCTATGCATGCGCATTTGACCTCTTAGCCTCATAATTTATTGGCAAGCAATCGCTTTTCCAGCTTCTTCACTTTGGTTAGAACTAATGACTAGCTAGATCTTTGTCAGAAAAAGGATTTCGTATGAAATTCCTTCAGGGCCCATTTCTTAGTGGAAATAGCAGAAAACACAATAGGGTCCTGCACACAACACCCAACCGGGTCTACAGGATTTCGTGGATCTGTACAACTTGTACTAACCGGCATAAGCCGTATTCCTCACTGTTGCAAAGCTAGATGTTGAATATGGCAACCCTGACACAGTTTGTATGCCTAGCATAGTGCACTGTCGAGTATATTTGCCTTTGGCAGTGGGCAGTCAACGGTCTCTCTCTCTCTCTCTCTCTCTCTCTCTCTCTCTCTCTCTCTCTCTCTCTTCTCTCTCTCTTCTCTCTCTCTCTCTCTCTCTTCTCTCTCTCTCTCTCTCTCTCTCTCTCTCTCTCTCTCTCTCTCTCTCTCTCTCTCTCTCTCTCTCTCTCTCTCTCTCTCTCTCTCTCTCTCTCTCTCTCTCTCTCTCTCTCTCTCTCTCTCTCTCTCTCTCTCTCTCTCTCTCTCTCTCTCTCTCTCTCTCTCTCTCTGTCTCTCTTCCTTTATGAAGGTAATTCGTCGTAGTGATCATTTCGGACAGTATGGTAAAATCGTGAAAGTTGTTGTAAATAACCAAAATGCATACAGCGGAGCAAACGTAAGTCACGATGAGCTTGTGTGTGTGTGTGTGTGTGTGTGCGTGTGCGTATGTGTGTGTGTGTGTGTGTGTGTGTAGGTGTGTGTGTGTGTGTGTGTGTGTGTGTGTATGTGTGTGTTTGTTGGCCCGACCGCTAAGTCAGTTTCTATGCAAAACAGTGTACATTGACTTATATACACTTCCTTGTTGATGGTGGATTTGTGTGTGGGTGTATATTTAATATGAACTGATGTAAAAGTTCACATACCGGTATCCTTGGCAACCCACAAGATCAGTTGAATTGTGCTTGTTGATTCAATGTTACTGTTGATGTTGTCTTCTTTTTCTATCCACTCTGCATTTACATTGGGTATGCATGTCCTGGCAGAGTTTACATGCAAAGCATGGCATAACTGCCGTTTTCTGAACATCTCCCTTCTTCATGAAGTTGGTTGTTCCAATGAGGAACACACGCTTCTTGCCGAACTTGACACTTGATTGACTCGCGACTGCCATCCGCAGCACACGAGAAGCACGTCGCACCTTCCACTCGGCAAACCTGCAAGAAAGCACCACTCCCTGCTCAATACACAGTGTTTCGGGGAATTCACCCTTCTTCATTCACTTTATATGACACGGTCACACCAGAACTAAACTCATTTCGCCAGGTTTTGCTTTACCCTTGTTGATTGCCTTTCATGGAATGCAGGCAAAAGGCAATATTTCTTGTGTTGTATGTCCACTGTTCGTTTGGAGTGATTGACCCTGAACCATGAATATTGCTCACTTTACTGTGTTTGCTTCTTGCTGATAATTGCCACAGGGTCCTTCATACTGTGCATATGTCACTTATCAACGATATCATGTGAGTGTTTCTTGCATGGCGCAGTATGCGCTGCTTGGCATGGTGTTTGTACTGTCTTACAGTGTGTGCTTGGTAGGCCCAGACAGATTCTGTTCCGCTCGCCTCTATATTTTGCCGCAAAATCTTGCTGCGAAATCTTCGATATCTTGCAGAACCTGGCACTAGAAACTCAATATTTTGCTCCATTTGCTCCGGAAAAACGGGTATTTTATCCACTTCTCGTACAGCGTTTCATAAAAATCGCGGGGTCGTTTTCTTAACACGGGTTTTCACACACTTGTCGCTGGGTTCTTCCAAAATCATGTCGACCCACAGTGAATCACAGTGATATTTCGGTGACAAGATCTCGTCCTGGGCAGTATATCATGCTGAATTGAATGGGTAAGAAACAAGGAAATCCAAGTATCTGGCATCGATTTTACCCAACATCTCGGTTTTTTGCTCCGATTTATGCCCGGCAATTTCCGCTTATTCAATTCTTCGATATTTTGCCGAAAGAATTGCCGGCAGGATCTGTCCGATCCTAGTGCTTGGTATGGTGCTTGTGCTGTCTCGTGTTCTTTTATTGTGCCATTGCAACATTTCATGCAACATGGTGTTGAAATGTTGAGATGCTGAGATGTAGATGTTTGTGTTTGTGTTGTCTCACAGGATGCTCGTACTTGTATTGCTGAAGTAAATAACTCGTATTTAGATGGCCGGCTCGTCAAGTGAGTGCAGCGTGCTGCTTATCACATTGCTTGCACATCTCCTTATTATAATGTCATAGTATCACATGTGACCGTTACCAGGGCTTGAAAGTGATAATTTCGAACACTGCAGGGTAGTCCGGTATTGCTCACCTCTGTGTCTAATAATTGGATCCACTCTTTGGTATCTTTGTACAGGTGGAATCCTGATAATTCGAATATGATTTAATTCGAACATACCGCTTAATTAGAAGTTGTTTCCAGGACCGATTTCCATCAATACGATTCCCACATAACAATATATGATAATTCGAACCTCGAACTAGGGATGTCCCACGGAATCCACTTTATAATACATAGAAAATGTGTGGGATATGTGCTGATAATTTGAAGTTAGCAGAGCATACTTCGAAGTTGACTGTACATTACACAGTTCAGTGTGCATGAGCAGGCTGTACTGTCGAGTTCAGTATCCGTGAAAGGTGCATAGCACAACTCTGCGTAAAAATGCGAGCATTTCAACATACATAATGTGTTGTGGGTGCATGTTTGGATAATTAGAATGTCCGGATAATTAGAAGTTTTTCCCCAGCATTTTGGGGGTTCGCATTATCAGGATTCCACCTGTATTGCAATAGATGGATCCATGGGTTTTATTTGAACCCAGCATCCCTGTCTTTCTGGGACAATGCCCTGCTGATTAGGTTACCAGAGATGACACTGCCATTTTAATGCCGGGTTTGAACAACAAAGTTAGCCCACGCAGGCACATTGTGGATGGGTGTTTAAGGTTGAAGGTGTGCGTGTGCATGGCGTATTGGGCACTGTGATGCCTTGTATGTGCGTGTGTATGCGTGCACAACTGCCGTCCACATGCACGGGTAACATTGTTATGTTATGTATATGTGTGGTTGCTTTCATACACTGTTGCAGAGCTGCGTTTGGAACGAATAAATACTGTAGCTTGTTTATCAAGAGTATAAAGTGCAACAAACCGGTATGTGGCTATTTTGTATTGTTGTCCTCTTCTTTTATCTTAAATATGACTGTGCTGTCAGTGTTATGGGATTCAAGGGTTTTTTCCCCAGCAGAGAATCTTTGGGTCTATTTTGTTCTCGGTTTCTTTTTGGAGTATGTGTCATATACCCACTTGTTGCGCTGGACATGGTGTTTCTACCTCAAAGTTGCCCTTACCATGGTGTGCGTGCGCGTGTGTGCATGCGTGTTTGTGCGTGTGTGTGTGTATGTGTGCATGCGTGTTTGTGCGTGTGTGTGTGTGTGTGTGTGTGTGTGTGTGTGTGTATGTGTGTGTGTGTATGTGTGTGTGTATGTGTGTGTGTATGTGTGTGTGTGTGTGTGTATGTGTGTGTGTGTGTGTGTGTGTGTGTATGTGTGTGTGTATGTGTGTGTGTATGTGTGTGTGTATGTGTGTGTGTGTGTATGTGTGTGTGTGTGTGTGTGTGTGTATGTGTATGTGTGTGCGTGTATGTGTGTGTGTATGTGTGTGTGTGTGTGTGTGTGTGTGTGTGTGTGTGTGTATGTGCATGTGCGTGCATGTTGACTAGGACTGTATGTATCTACACGAGTATGGAGATGAGTCAGCCACCTTTAGTAAAGAAGACATGCTGTCAGGGTAAGCAGTGAAGCACACCCCTCAGCATCTCCATGCTCACTAGCTATCACTATCAGACATCCAGATACGGGTCAACACCAAATGCATGTGCTCGATATGCTTGCAGAGAACCGCTCGTTCTTAATCTGGTTCTTGTATTGGAGACCTAACAAAGCATGCAGCACGTGCAGGGAAAGCAGTCACAGCAGTACTACTACTGTACTACTGTACTAAGCCCAGAAAAGGAGAAAACAATGATACTGAAGTAGAAACGAACCACCACCTTGAAATACAGGTGGAATAGCACTCCAACGTGTATTGCAAGTAGCATCAAACATATGGTAGCCACTGACAACAGCTGCCGCCAGCTCTCTCTCAGGCAGTTGTAGTTCATTATCAAACTGTACACTTACTGTACTAGAATGAGACCTAAAAGTCCAGATTTACATTGCAGCAATTGCTGAAAACTGTCATAGCATCGCGGGGATGCTGCGCTTGGCATTTTAGTATGCGGCAAATTTCAAGCTTTTTTTAAATGGCTTGCCATTCCCCTTTTCTGGTGTGCTTATCCAAGAAGCCTGTGAGCGCATGGGCAGCATCACGAGAGACCGGGGAAAGCTGATGATGAGCAAGAGTAAAATGTTTTGTGGCATGTGCTGGGAGTGCTGGGCAAAACAGGTAGCGTGCAGTCACGACGTGCCCATATTAGGCTAGGTTGAGTAGGCATCGATAGGCTTTCTGTAACTATCAGTTTTCTCTGCACCATTGACTGCTCACTGAAAGCAGTTGTTGACTGTATTCCTTTGCTTTGGTTCCTTCCAGGAAACACACCGCATTGGAACAACGCTTTCTCAATGGGGACGCAGAACTTTCAGAATCTAGTCCACTCGTGGGAGCCACACCAGACGCGTCTAGTTTTGCTCCCAGCCATACCATGACGGTTTCCTCTGCTAATGATGCTCAAAGCAAAAGTGTCCTCACCGCCCAACATCGCCAGCAGCAACAAGCTGCGCCTGCTGCCAGTGCAAGTGCTGGTGCTCACGTTGTGGCAGCGCAAGCCATGCAAACAAAACAGCAACAGCAGCAGCAACAGCCACTTAAAGCAACAGGGTCCGTTGCTCAGCCGCTTCAACATAAACAAGCACCGGCAGAACAGCAAGACCGCAAGCTGGTGAAGCAGCAGCAACTGCAACAGCAACAGCAACTGCAACAACAAAAACATCAGCAGCAGCAGCCAGCACAACAGGCCACTAGGGGGCACAATGTCAATGAGAATGAAACTGATGAAACTGCTAAGACACAACAGCAGCAGCAGCAGCAGCAACCGCAGCAGCAACAGAGTGTAGTGGAAAACGGCAGCAAGCCAGCACAACAGAAATCGAAGTCTAAGCAGAAGAAAGTGTCAAATACAGCTTCTTCGAAATCATCGGACTCTCGTTCTGCAGTGCAAAATGCGCCTACCACGGGAGAAACTTCAGAGAAGCCATCTAAAGACCGACAGCGCAGTAAGAAGGCAACTGAAGTGCAGTCTGCCTCACAACCACTCTCTTTATCTACACAAACATGTGCATCAGTCGGCGTGGCGCCGACTACAGCTACTGTTGCTTTGTCCTCAGCTGCAGCACCTACATCAGCTATGAGCACATGGGAGCCTGCTCAACCTGTGCCTATTACACGTCAGGTGGAGCCGCCTGTTCAGGAGGGGATCCTGAATCTCGCACAGTATGTGATGTACTTTGTGTGTGTGTGTGTGTGTGTGTGTGTGTGTGTGTGTGTGTGTGTGTGTGTGTGTGTGTGTGTGTGTGTGTGTGTGTGTGTGTGTGTGTGTGTGTGTGTGTGTGTGTGTGTAGCTGATTAGCGCATTAGTCAATCCATCAGCTAACTTCTTTCTCTGTATGTCTCCTTCTTTCTGTACTCTCTTTCTCTCTCACTCACTCTCACTCACTCTCTCACTCACTCTAGCTCTCTTTTCTCCCTCTCCCTCTCACTATCTGTCTCATCTGCACACTCTCTCACTCTCTGTCTCATTCGAGCGCACACACACACACGCACACACACTGAGCTAGGTTTGGTGAGTGTACCATGTTTTCCAGGATCAAAAGCCTCGCTCTTTTCATGAAATGTTTGGCTAAAATCGCCCTTGCGACTTGTGAACTACAATTTGTAAGCAGCCCTCCGAATGCAATCAATTATGCCCTAGAATGTGACATTTTCCTAAAAGGGTACCCTTATACTCACTGTAGTATGGCTCGTGAGTCGTGCCCCTTGAAAGTACGGTACACAGCCTGTTGAAACTTTATCTCAGAGCAAACTTTTTCGTTGGGTATTTTTGTATATTGGAAATGACAAAAAAAGTATATATGCAGTAATAAGTCGTTTGCCAATTGCCGTGTACTTAGTACTAGTAACTAGACTTGGCTGGGCATTGATGGGGACAGTGGTTGGAAAGGACCGTTTCCTTTTAGTAGTGGAGAGCAAAGGTATTCAGGAGGTATCTGATTTTGTCTCGCATCTGTCTGGGTTTTTTTTGTCACATAGGGATTGTAGCTCAGATCAGCGTCAGCAGTCACCATCTATGGCTGTCCCCCATGGCCGTCTTTCTCAATACACAAAGCATGTGCAGATGGATGTGGCGCCATCCCACATGCTCAGCTCATCTATATTGCCGTCCAGTATAGACTCTGCGTCGTTCCATTCAGCTTGTAGCCACTTTGGCCGTTTTGATAGCCAGCCTGGATCGGATACAGATAGCTTTCAGCCGTCCGCTCCCTCTCCATCTCATACACCAGCAGCAGCAAATAGCTATGGCTCGTATTCCTCTTCACCCCGTGACTATGGTGGGGTGCCGCTGCCGTCGACTGCCGTTGCTGGCTTTCCACACCACCACCACCAGCAGCAACAGCAACAGCAGCATCCAGATCAAGGCGTTATGATGAGCCAGCAAGCATCTTCGTTCGACGGCTCCTGGAAACTCAACTCAGTTGCCGAAGTCGAGCGCAAGCTACATCAACAGTTTATGCATGAGCAGCAGCAGCAGCAGCAAATTGGGAGTTACAGTCAGCCATCTTCAACACAGCAATCGCAACAATGTAAGCAGGTTGAGCAACACCAGAACCAACATCAACAGCAGCAAGCGCACCAGCATCATGTAGGTAGTCCGTACGACTCTCTTACTCTGGAAATGTTGCAAAATGCACTGGAAATCGATCATAGTCAACTCAACATGCGTTTGCAGCACATGCAGTTAGCTCAGAAGCCAACTGACGCACAACATCCTTATCAGCAACAGCAGCAGCGGCCGCAGCATGATGGGACCGGCTGTATTGACAATGCAACAAGTTATATACCCGTTCAGCAACAGCAGCAGCAACACGCAAAGCCAGACCAGGGTCTGATGTTTGCCAGGGAATCTCGTGTTGGGCAAGACGGCCACCAACAAGCACATTATCATAACACAATGCAGCAGCAGCAGCACCAGAGGCATCAACACCAACAGCAACAGCAGCAACCGCTCTATATGCAACCATCAACAAGCACACAAGTAGCGTCTCATCGTCGTGATATCAGTGAACAGCTGACACTTGACCACCAGGTGACTGGATTGTATCCCGGATCTGCGACTCAAAGCCTAAGGTAGGTGTTTGTAAGACGGTGCACTGCCAACTTGTCCTGGTGTAGTGCTCCCGTTACAATCCGGCACTGTGTGTGCCATGGAAATACTGCTGGATTAAGTTAGGAAGGTTGCTGGGTTTATGCTGGTTTATAGCGGGTGCTGGATTGATAAGGGCCGGCAGTACAAGTATACTTGTCAGTTGTCACAAGTTTAACCTGCACCGATGTTCACTTTGAGTGCTGCAACGTGATTTCAATGACATTGTGGTTGTGTCGAGCGGCCGCTGGCAGCACTGCAAGTGTACATCGGTCCAGACTTCACTGGCCGCAACTCAAGTAGCGGCAAGGGCTCGACAGCAATCCCAACTTGCCATAGCGGCGCTTGCCATTTTAGCAGCAAAGTCCAGTGCGTATCGCCTACATGGTTGGCGGCTATAGTACAGTGATGGCAACTGAAATCCAACCCCCTGAGCGGTGGGTTCACTTTCTAGCGGCCTCTGTTTGGTAGTTTTACCATCCCGTGTTGGGTCTTTGCGATGTGAGCGCACCGCTCAGGGGTCGGATTTCAGTTGCCAGCACTGTAGTATAGTGATGGGAGCTCTCGCATTTCATTTACCATTACCAGGTATGGTTGAATTACATGGTGGTAGGGACACACCTGATTCAACCATAAAATACTGCTGCAGGGGAGTCTTCAGCTTAAACACCAGCTATGTATGGGATATTGGTGGAGGGTGGGGAACCTGTCGTGAGTATGGCTTTCAGAAGTAAGTGATGGTTATAGGATGCAGTGACTCATGCAATGCTGTTGTATAGTTTTAAAAAGGTTATGCTCGCAATCTGAAGATTGGCGCATTCATTTTGAAAGGGGGCGTTCAAAAAGTGAAAGAGGGTGCAGCGCCCCGCTGTGTCACTTTGGTGAGAAACCTGAAAACACTCCGGCAGCAAAGCAGCCATTTCCACTCATTGGCATTGAATCGATTGGCTTGTTTGTCTTCCTATTATCACCTATGCCTTTGCGGCAAGAGTATTATAACCCCCCAAGAGTGTGCAGCATATGGGGTCCCCGACGGCGAAAACTCACATCACTTGTCTGAGATACGTTCGTACTACGTACACACAAAGGATAGCGTGCGCGCAATCCGAATATGACGGAATATCTGCCATGATCATGCTGGGGATTTGCATACCCGCAGTGATTTTCTGTCAGAGAGTGCTTTTTTTATTACTCCGCTGCTCGCTAAAAACGGGCTGGAAACGTACAACTGCGACACTGCACCACGTGATGTGAGTTTTCGCCGTCGGCGTACCCCATAGAAAGGGTATCAGGAGTTGCACACTCTTGGGGGTTATAATTATACTCTTGCTTTGCAGCCTAACAACATATCCTGGGGACCAGCAGCATGTGGAGGCAATTCACAAATCTGCTAGGGAATGCAAGAGCTTTTTTGTATGGGGAGAAAATAAGGCATGGTGAAGAATGGCAATAAATGAAACGTAGTGTAGGGCAATTTACAGTTTACAAGATTGATTAACAACGAAGTTTGCCATGTGTCGGCACTGAGAGTGCATGGAGGAGAAGAGGAGGAAAGATTGATTTCATTTATATTTATTGTATTGATTAATTCACTGTGTTTCCCTAGGTATGGCTGGCCTAAGACAATTGGACTTATTATGGGGTGCTACAAAAACTTGACCTTGCTGTGTGCGTGCACGCGTGTTTACGTGTGGTCGTGTGCATGCATGCGCGCGCATGTGTATACGTGTGTGTGTGTGTCCAATAAACAGAACCAGTGATCATCTTGCTCAATCTGATCGAATTGACTCTGGTGTCGATGATGGTAGTGCTTCAGGAGATTTAGGTGAGTTGACTGGAGTACATGACGGTCGTGTTGTTGTTGCATCCCAGTGTGGACTAGAAAATATAGCACTTACACTTGCACTTACTACAGGTGGAATCCTGATAATTCGAATATGGCCAAATTCGAACATACCGCTTTATTAGAAGCCTTTCCAGGACCGATTTCTGTCAATACGATTCCCACATAAATTTTTCTGATGATTCGAACCTCGAACCGGACATGTCCAGTTCATTAGAAGTCTCACGGATTCCACTTACATAGAAAATGTGTGGGATTTGTGCTGATAATTCGAAGTTAGTACAGTGTAATTCGAAGTTCACTGTACACTGTACTGGTCAGTTCAGTTTGCATGAGCAGGCTGTGCTGGTCAGTTCAGTATCCGTGAAATCTGTTTCTTAGGTTCATAGCGCAACTCTGCGTGACCATGAGAGCATTTTGACATACATACATGTACAGTCGTCCCTCTCTAATCCAGCACTTTATAATCCAGCACAATTTTCAGTAGCCAAAATGTCCTCTTCATGCACATTGCAGCAGTAAATCAGATTTGTTAATCCAGCACCCTCCCTAATCCAGCAGGTTTTCCGTGGCACAAATGGTGCCGGATTATAGAGGGACCACCGTATTGTGTTGTGTGTTCATGTTTGGATAATTAGAAGTTTTTGCCTGGCATTTTGAGGTTTGAATTATCAGGATTCCACCTGTATAACCATAGTACACTGGACATGTATGCTGATACAGTGGTCCCTCTATAATCCGGCACCATTTGTACCACGGAAAACCTGCTGGATTAGGGAGGGTGCTGGATTAACAAATCTGATTTACTGCTGCAATGTGCATGAAGAGGACATTTTGGCTACTGAAAATTTTATCGAGGGTGCTGGATTATAAAGTGCTGGATTAGAGAGGGACGACTGTACATGTAATCCTAAAATGCAAGCACACATTCGCAAAGGCTATAGTTTGTTGTGAAGTGCATGTGTATGCTTGGCTTTTCTCAATTGTTGGCAAGGTCTTTGGGAGTTTTCTCGCATATCATCGCTTCGCCATTGTGCTCACCTCCGTATACTCCTCAGAGAATTTGGTGTCCAGCTTGTAGAACAGGGTGTGCAGAGATTTGGATGCTTGTGTGTACAGGTATGCATGCTGCTGCACTGCAAGAAGTCTTTCAGTTTGTGGAGTTATCATTAGCATCCCGGTCTGGGAGTATGATAGAAGTGCGTGCAGAACTTCTAGCGCAGTTATTTTGTATGTCTATGAAATGCATTGTGTGTGTGTGTGTGTGTGTGTGTGTGTGCGTGCGTGCGTGTGTGCGCGCGTGTGTGTGTGTGTGTGTGTGTTACGAATGAGGTACACCTGATTGACTATGTTGTTGTCCGTGCTGATCAGAGGAGTAAGAGGCATGATGTGAGGTGATGCGTGACGCAAACTGTTGGTCGGATCACTCCATGGTATGTGGCAAGTTTAGTTACGAGGTCGGTCACGAGAAGTTTTATCCTGTGGCATCTGCAAGATCCCGTCCAATTGCTGTTGGTAGGCTGAGGGATGACAAAGCGAGTAAGGCGTTTTCCGAGAAAGTGTCTGACCTCCTGCCTGCTGAGGCTGTGGACGTAGATGGTGGTGTGGACACAGAGCAGGAGTGGGCGGCAATGCGCAAATGCATGATTGCGGCTTCCAGCGAGGTGTTGGTATACGAGACACGACGACAGCCGGACTGGTTCCGTTACAGCGCAGATACCCTCAGGCCTCTGATTGTGCGGAAGAATGCGGCACACCAGGAGTTCCTTCAGAAGGACACTCGTGATAGCAAGCTGGTGTTTCGTAGGCAGCAAAGGGCAGTGCAGCGTGCCGTGGATGCTGCCAAGGAAGCGTGGGTCGAACGGGTCGCCACCCATGCTGACACTTGACAGCTTGGATTGCCATAGCAGGATGCGGTGGGAGTGTGTCCGCCAATTACGGGCAGTGAATGTTGGCCGTAAGCCAGCACGTCCCTTGTCCGTGATGGATGAGAATGATAATCTCACGACCGACCCTGCTGCAATTTGTGACCACTGGCAGCGGCATTTTGATGGTGTCCTCAACATCACAAGTAAGTTTTCCGACGGTTCGCTGGAGTCCCTAGAACGCCGTCCTACCCGCCATGAGTTAGATAACCCGCCCACGCACCAAGAAATTGGCCGTGCTCTCAAGAAGATGAGCCTCGGTAAAGCTGGTGGTGAATCGGGCATATTGCCGGATATGCTAGTCCACGCTGGAGCAGACTTTCTTGCTGCTTTCCACCAACTCTTGGGCGACATCTGGGCCAAGGGTTCAGTAGTGGATGATTGGCGGACTGCGGTGGTGGTCTCTGTCCCCAAAAAAAGGTGACCTTCGCTGCTGCGACAACTGGCGGGGCATCAGCTTGCTGGATGTCACTGGAAAGGTGTTATGCCCGAGTTATGCAGGACCGTTTGCAGGTTGTGGCTGAGGAAATTTTACCGGATTCTCAGTGCGGTTTTCGGCGAGGTCGAGGTTGCACGGACATGATCTTCTGTGCACGTCAACTACGTCAAGACTATTGAGCACAACACCTCTCTTTACGTCTTGTTTATCTCCAGAAGGCGTATGACTCCATTCCCCGCACAGCGCTCTGGAGTGTGCTGGATAGGCTGGGTGTTCCGCCGGTTTTGTTGGGACTCATCAAGTCCCTTCATGAGGGTATGATTGCGAAGATGCGAGTCAACGGTAAGCTTTCTGACAGCATTTCGGTGACTAATGGACTGCATCAAGGATGTACCCTAGCACCCACCCTCCTCAACCTGTATTTCAGTGTGGTGGTTGCGGGCTGGCGCGCACATTGTCCGGACGCTGAAGTTGACCTGCTGTTCAGAAACGGTCGCAAGCTGGTTGGGGACCGCACGGCGAAGTCCCGGTTATCCGCGACGAGGGTGACTGAGTCCCAGTTCGCCGATGATGCGGCGTTGTATGCAACCACCAGAGAGGTATTTGAGTGCATGACGTCCGAGTTCATCTTGTGTGCACAGCGATGGGGACTGACCGTCAGCATTAGAAAGACAAAGGGCATGGCGGTGGGTCAACCAACGTCAGTTGATCCCGTTCAACTCGATGGTGACAGCAGGATTGACATGGTGGACGGGTTCCGGTACCTTGGCAGCGTGCTCTCTGCTGACGGAACAGTGGATGCGGACCTCGCTGCTCGTTTGGCGCAGGCGCCCCGGCTGTTCGGCATGCTCAGGTCTCCGATATTTCAGTGCGTACATCTCTCGGTCCACACCAAGCGGCTGGTGTATCGTGCTATTGTCCTTCCTGCTCTTCTCTACGGTGCGGAGACATGGCCCATCAAAGCGGGTCATATTCGCCGACTCAACACCTTTCACCATCAGTGTATTTGTGCAATTCTCGGTATCTCTCGTCGTGAACAATGGGAGGAGAGATTGTCGTCGTCATCGCTGAGTGAGCTTGCAGGGGTGGACGATATGATCAGGAAGCACCGCTTGCGGTGGCTTGGTCATGTTGCACGGATGAAGGAGACCCGACTGCCCAAGCAGATGCTGTTCGGTGAACTGCCCTGCAAACGCCCCCAACATGGTCCCAAGAAGTGCTGGCGGGATGGATGTTGTGTCCTCGGACTTTACTGTCATCGGTTTGTCTGAAGCGGACTGGTATGACACAGCGCAGGAGAGATCGTCCTGGTGACCTCAAGCGGCATGCGCCATACTGCAGATTTCGGGTTTAGAGCCTCAGCGTAAGGAAGCCATCGCTATCATTGCTACGGCAATGGGCGTTCAAGGTTCAAGGTGTGTGTGTGCGTGTGTCAGCTAGTTCGGTTGGTGGGTACACGTATGCCGGATAGTGTTGGGTCTGTTGCCAACGGGCTCGGCTGCTTGAAGGTGAAATGTTGTACCTACCACCTTTGTTGGTTTCAGGGTTTATATACTTTCTATTTGAAGTATACATACCTGTTAACCATGGACTACTTCTGGCTAGATTAACTCTTGTGTAATCATGGTGCTAGTGAAGCTTATATCAGATCCACTCTGATTTAGCAACCCACACTAGTAGCAAGACCGGGGGCAGGGGTGACTGCAGTTGGATCCCGGGACGGATACCCTGATGCCGTCAATCCTTTTTCTGCACCTTGTCCTCACCCACTTACTGAGGTGTGGTGAGCCCATAAGTGGGATCATTTTCAAGTCCACCCAGAGTTTTGGGGATTTCAGGGGGTGTCGGCCGTTGGGCGGTTCAATAGCCAATTGAATCATCTTTCCAATATTCCTTTTGAGTCTCTCCCCTCTTCCGGGGAGACCCACGTGACCAATTGTGGCAGTGAGCAACAAGTACAAGTGTGTGCGTGTGTATGTGCATGTCTGTGTGTTTGTTTGTGTGTGTGTGTGTGTGTGTGTGTGTGTGTGTGTGTGTGTGTGTGTGTGTGTGTGTGTGTGTGTGTGTGTGTGTGTGTGTGTGTGTGTGTGTGTGTGCTTGGGAATCAAATGTGATGTGTCCTTTGCAGACATGATGTGGGATGGTCTAGCATCGCGTAGCATTGCCATGTTGCTGGAGGATGACCTGATGTTCATGCCGAATGCTCGCGCTGGAGCGGCTGGTGATGCTGGTGCTGGTACTAGTGGCAACGGTGGTCCTGGTGCTTCTGCTGGGAACACTTACCATGGCATTGCGCCATTGTCATCAAGTCCCAGTAGCACGACGCCATTGGCTGACCCATGGTTCCCGTCGTCGTCAGCTTCGAGCAGCGACACGACTTCTTCTAGGGCTGCGGCGTTCACATCGTTTGGTCAACAGCCACCATCTCATGCACAGCAGCATGCTACACAGCCACCATCTCATGCACAACAACAGCATGCTACACAGCAACAATCTAGAGGCTCTGCAGCCACTGCTGCTGCACCTGCTACTGCGGTAAGTGCATACCAGTGTCCTCTTTGTCACAACCTACTGTTTTCAGCCAGCCGTAAATCTCTAATCCTAGAAGAAGTCGATGAAGACTATGCCGGCTGTTTTGAGCGCTAGAGTCTATAGTTTGGGGCAAGAAAAACACGTGCAAGGGTGTTAGGGACCGTCCGGGGTTACCGATTGTTTTTACAAAACGAAAAGTTTTAGTATTTTTTAGCCCCCACCCACCCACCCACCTTTTCTGCAGGTAAAACGAATTCCAATAAAATATTGATGTCAATCTTCGACACCCAAAAGTAACTGGGCATTCTCCATCTGCATTCAATAATTATTTTCAAAACGAAACTCCATCAAACCCACCCACCCACAAACGAAATCTTTTCGTTTTGGAAATATTATTGGTAACCTTGGACGGCCCCTTATGGCTGATATTGTTGAATCCTGTAATGGCAGCAAAGCTGCGCTGTGTGTCTCATTCTTTTTAAATGCAGCCGGTGTTGAGGATTTATGGACACCGTCTGCACAAATGTTTAGGTTGCAATGTTCCGAAAAAGGACATGGAAGAGGCCTTCCAGAAGGGTATTTTATTCCTGTTCTATTTTTTTCCGAAACATGGAAAATGGTGGGACACAAGTTATGTGTTAGATTCCACCAACTAAACCAGATTTTGAACAGTCAGACTTGCACAAGTTCAGAGCTCACAGCATAGTACAAGAGCGTGGGCGCCATTTTGGACAGGCCGCTGTCATGCGAGCCAGCCAGCCAGCATGCCAGAACCGTGTACATGCGATCAGTCAGATATCTCTGAAAGCTTGAAAGTGGGGTGCATTCGAAATATTCATTTGTACCAATGCTAATGCCTAGACCTGTGAAACTCTAGGAACATACTCTCAATACCCATTGTACGGATTTGTCCGAGAGTTTTTTGTTTTAATCGATACGGTTTGGCGTACCTATGGAGCCAAAGTATCAGTTGGTGCAGGCGTATTTCTGATTAGGATTATTGTACTAAAATTAAAAAGTCTCACAGACAAATTCTTCTAATTTTCCTACTGAAATTTTTAAGTTATTGGCCGTCAAAGTCGGGCCAGAGACGGGTACAAACGAACATTTCAAAGGCAACCTTATCTGCAGTGCAGCCGCGAGGAAGAACCGCGCACGCGTTGGACCTGTTGTGAACACGAAAACAACACTAGCAGCAAAGCAATTTTATGCTGCTTGCCGGGCGCTACATCGCTGCGTCCTTCAGGAGTTATGGCCCACCGAAGAAATACATGGCCAGCACAACGGCGAAGCCATTGGACTTGTTCTCTTGCAAGGAAACGGAGTGGCGAATCAAATAATTCACAACTCCATATCGTCACTACTACGTTACACGGCTCTTCGCACACCAGGCGTATTTACGTTTACACAACAGGACTTCGCACCGGAGAAACTAAAACTAGAACACGAGTTAGCACCAGACTGACAGGGAGTATTGAGAAATTACACGGCAAGACAGTGAGCTGGAGCCAAGGAAGTATTAAAATACTTCCTTGGTTCACCATCCGAGTTTTTATTTTCTTTCCTTTCGCTCTTTCAGAAAGTTGCTGGGGGGGGGGGGGGGGTAGAGCGGATTTCTTCAGCCCCAAATGGCCAGTTTGTTGAGTTGTATAGCTACATATACATGCTGCAAGACATGTAGACGGTGCTACAGTGCGTATCTCTTAATTTGCTAAATCCTATACAGGTCGTCCCTCGTTAATACATAATCTCTGGGACTTGACAAATGTTATGTATTAACGGGGTTTATGTACTAAACGAAAGTGTACATAACTTGCTTGTGTACCAGAATTTTTCACTTTTTCAACTTTTCTGAGTGTTTCTTGCTACCATGATTAGGCACCGAGATATTCTTGATTCCCTCGATATAACATAAAAATTATGTTATAACGGTCACAGTAAGGGCCTGGTCAGACTGCGGCAAAATCGAAATAATCCGAGGATTATAATCCGAATCTCCATAGTAACTTGCCGCCAGAGCGGCAAAAGCGAGAGTTGACGCTCCAAAAAAAAAAGCAAGAACGGGCCACGCTTTTCCGCTCCAAACAGGATTTGACGCTGATACGCCATTGACGCTGATAATCACTGATTTTTTCATCTCGATATCGAGGAGCTAATTGGCCACGGACAACAACAAAACTCATAAGGATGGTTGCAAGGATTGCACTGAAGGTGTTGGCGATCCCAAGGTGAAGGAATTTGACGTCGTTCGTGGAGATTACCACTTGACGCTCGAAATGAAGTTTGAATTTTCATTCTCCCCACATGTGTAGTGTGATCGCGATTCAAATTCTGGACGCTGTTCTTTTTTCGTCAGGCAACCAAAAGTTGCCGCAGTCTGACCAGGCCCTAAGGGCCTGGTCAGACTGCGGCAAAATCGAAATAATCCTAGGATTATAATCCGAATCTCCATAGTAACTTGCCGCCAGAGCGGCAAAAGGGAGAGTTGACGCTCCAAAAAAAAAAAGCAAGAACGGGCCACGCTTTTCCGCTCCAAACAGGATTTGACGCTGATACGCCATTGACGCTGATAATCACTGATTTTTTCATCTCGATATCGAGGAGCTAATTTGCCACGGACAACAACAAAACTCGTAAGGATGGTTGCAAAGATTGCACTGAAGGTGTTGGCGATCCCAAGGTGAAGAATTTGACGTCGTTCGTGGAGATTACCACTTGACGCTCGAAATGAAGTTTGAATTTTCATTCTTCCCACCGTGATGTGTAGTGTGATCGCGATTCAAATTCTGGACGCTGTTCTTTTTTCGTCAGGCAACCAAAAGTTGCCGCAGTCTGACCAGGCCCTTAGCGAAGACTTCTACAGTTTAGATTATTACATGATACATGCCCAGCCGCGCCTGTACAGTCACTCGGAAAAAAACAGAGCTTTGTAGGTTGTGATGTGCGCTCTGATTTCTGAGCCAATTGCGTCCACAAGCAAGTAGAAACTAGAACACGATGTGCCTCCAATGGAAGTCCAAAAGACCAACAAATTATGTTTTATTGAGGTAGGTGACATGCGGGTTCGGAGAAATGTTATGTACTAACGGGGTTTATGTACTAACGAATTATGTACTAACCGACAAAATTTGTATGGAAGTGACCACGTTTCGTCCGGGGCTTGAGATTTCTTATGTACTAACGGGGTTTATGTACTAACCGGACTCGTATTAACGGGGGACGACCTGTATATAGGATTTTGGTCATATTTTTCAACTCAAAATGGGTGTGGCATGAGAATAGCAAAAGGTATGTGACCAATTCTTCCTTGCTAGGTCTTAGTAGATATCGAGAGTTGAATAAGATAATTTTTTCAAACACTAACATCTCAGGCTCATCTCCTTGCCCAGTATTACTAAGGCCTGTGCCCTATTTTTCGAATCTTATATATAGGATTTGAGATTTTATTGGACCTTGTTTTTTCCTTAAAACTGGTAGTTTCATGACGGCATGTGCGATATGTCGTCATGAAGCCACCCCGTGCCACACCTGCAATGTTCTTCTGCACATTCACTGCTTCAGTCCTTTCCATGACAGCAGCTGAACAATTATGCTCAAATTTCCAATTATTACGAAAAATAGGTATTCATCAGAAATATTATCGCCCTATGAGTCTAAAATGTAAACATTCATGCCTCAAACATATTTACAACTTCCATGAAAACCATTATGCCGTTATTATTGGTCGTGATGACCAATAACAACGGCATAAAAGGCACACATTTTCAAATCCTATATATAGGATTTTCGGCCAGCAAATTAAGAGATCTGAGAACTACCACTACAATACCATACACCTACTACTGTACAAAAGTCATGTGTAGTTGTGATAGTCTTTAAGTGGAAGCGGTACTGCAAGGATTGTGTGCTTTCACTTCGAAGTAAGATTATTTCAAGTGTGAATTATTGAGCGGAGAATTTCTGTGAATTATCTTGCAAGGAAGTGGCGAATGTGTAATTTAATTATTTTCTGCCACATGTTTGTGTGCGTGTATGTGTGTGCACGCGCATGTGTATGTGTGTGTGCGCGCGTGCACATCTGTGCATGCATATGTGCATGCATGTGTGTTGTGTATGTATGTGTGCATGTGTATTCATGTGTGCATATGCATGGCATCACAGACTGGTCGATGGGAGGATCGTTACCGCTCATTACAGTCTGGTACGCATTTGCAGGATGTATTGTTTCCGTGTATCTTGATTTTGTTGTGATCTCGAACTCGTCAGTCACTGAACTGATTTTAATGTGAAGAAGACGCGAACTTATAGAGTGTGAAGAGGAGTATAGCAGATAGAGAGCGGTGGAAGGAGAGCCGCTGGACAGCTGGATAGTGTCTCAATAAGCGCGCTAGGGGAAGGCTAGACAGTATGTCTCCGGCTAGACATCAATAGGTATTGTACGAAAAGCCAGTCAATAGTACTAAAGAGTGAAGTCAACCGCAACACAGACAATAGCTTCAGACAATCATGACAGGCATGATACGGATGATACAACAGATTTCACTACATATGCTGTTGGCAAAGTACTACTTCAAGTAATTTTTCTTCGTGCAGTCAGCAGCAGCTGTTTGCTGTTCTCTTTTTGAATTCTTTGCTCTCCCTGCATTCATATCATCAGTGGTTTGTGCGTTCAATAAAACACCTTTTAGCAGCAGCAGCAACAACAACAACAACAGCCATCGTGAGAATATAGATTTGAAACAGCAAAATGATATTGACTGCACCTACATCTTGTACCTTTGACATAGTTGTAGCTGTGGACTATTTTGTCATCCTGGTAAGAAAGCTCATTTGAGCGGAGTACTCATAGCCGTCTGATGTCTGAAAACAAGTATCTTTACCTGCACTCCCCGTGCTGAGGAAGCACTATGGCATCAGGTTGCATTCTGAAATACCAAACATCTCAGGAGCAATGGATCTCACCCTCGCTGGGCCAAGGTCAGTCCCCAAAAGGCTACGAGTATTTGTAAAGTTTCACGATTGTGGCTGTGCACGTGCTGCAGACTCGCTATGGTCAGTGGTATGGCTTAGTATGTTGCACCGTGATGCGGCGGCTCAGTTTGCTAGCGTTAGTTGACGGAGGTCCAGTGGTAATACTTGCACTGAGCACTTAGACCTGTTTGTAGCGTTAACGTTACTCTGCTAACCATACTGCAATGCGTGCTGCCGCCACTGCTGCTGCTGCTGCTGTTGCTGATGATGATGGTTGTTTGCATTATTGTGCAGGTGTAGATCCTCTCTCAACATCTATTGGGGTATCATCAGATTATCCAAAGTACCACGGTTCAACGGAGGATCCATCTTCACTGTCGTCATCACCAGTCGTTCAGCCGACAGCCTTGCCGTCGTTTGGCGACAAGACATGGCAGTTATCATCTACCATCACACAGCCTTGTTTGAACGACAATGTCACCAATGACTCGTCTAAATGGCCCAATGGTGTGACATGGACAGCACCACTGTCTGGTAGGTTCCAAAGTGACAATGCGATCCTGATAGAGTTAAAAATGGTTGTGTGCCTTCTTCTAACGTTTGAATTATTGTGGCTGGCTGAGTGCATTGCCCATGATCATGCCTGTGCCAACATGAGATCCTTTACTGTTTAGATGAACGAGGACAAAGTCGTTTCCTGGGATGTTCGCCCAGTATGCATGCCATATGTACATAGCTTATGCGTATGGTGCACCACCCCTGTGCAGAATTGCGGTAATGTTGTGGCGGGTTGTTCAAGGATGTACTGTGTACATTTGGCCTTTTTGGAAGACAAAGTATGCACATACAAGTACTAAAGTAGTGCTGCTGCTGCTGCTGCTGCTGCTGCTGCTGCTGCTGCTGCTGCTGCTGCTGCTGCTGCTGCTGCTGCTGTGGTGGTTGTCGCCATTGCTGCCATCAATTTTCTTTGTCATCGGCCTTGTCTGCTGCTCAACTCCCTGTTTACTCACAGGACATTCATCAAACAGCCAACCAAGGATGGGGCCTTCTCTATATTACTATGTAAGTATTCTGTGTGTGTGTGCGTGTGTGTGTCTTTCATTCTCCTGGGTGGTTACCAACAGCCAGTGCATGCCGGAGTATGTGGTGTGATGTGTGTGCGGGAAAAAATGAAAAGACCAAAAATAGGGATTCACTGGCCAGAAAAATCACTTCAAATAGCTGTATGGTGTAGACCAGGCTGAATAGTGACGGTCAATTCTTCAGCCTTGCAAGCTGTTGAATGGTGCAATCCCAGCACAAGTTGCTATGGCTTCTGCCGTAGCATTGCTATCATCGCCTCCGGCGATGGGCGTCAAAGGTCAAGGTGTGTGTGTGTGTGTGTGTGTGTGTGTATTCTTCAGCCTTGCAAGCTGTTGAATGGTGCAATCCCAGCACAAGTTGCTATGGCTTCTGCTGTAGCATCGCTATCATCGCCTCTGGCGATGGGCGTCCAATGGTCAATGGTCAATGGTGTGTGTGTGTGTGTGTGTTGGGGTGGGGGCTGGGAGAGGGCAACATGAGCAAAAAATGGTGTTGAACTTGAGAAGATCAGCATTCACAGCGGGCATGGGAATTGTTTCCCATTCCCAGCATGCAGTGTTTTGACAATTTATCTTGTGGTGTTTGTTATATTTTGCAACAGTCGGCAGCATCAGGTGGCTCAGATCATATGTACCAACAGAGTACACAGTCTCGCAACCTTCAGCAACAGCAGGAGAGCTCTGCGGGTGCACGCAGTCATAACACTCAGTACCAACCGCAACAACAGCAGCAACAAATGATGCACATGCAGCAGCAGCAGCAACAACAACAACAACAGCAGCACCAGCACCAACAACCGATTCTAGGTTCAACTTCATCAACATCATCATCTCGCATGTTGCCAAACTTTGCACAGACCAATCATCAGAATGTATCCAGTGCAGGGTACTCAAATGCGCCAGCTTCAACTGCTGATCAATATCATCACATGACATCCGTGCAGGCATCTAGAAACAGTGACAAATCGACCAGCAACCTGCCAGCAGGTATCATGCAGCCCACAGCGCAGTTAGACAACAGTGGTGCAACTGGTGGCGGCGGCGGTCCCGTAACTGCTACTATTCGACCTCTGTCTGCTGGATCTGGTCGACGGCCACGCCCACCACCTGGCTTGCCAGCCCCTGCTCAGAGTGCTACTCACTTCACACAGCTGACAACTGTTATTGGTGGTGTTAGCAGTAACGAACAGCAGCAGCAGCAGCAGCAGCAGCAGCAGCAGCAGCAGCGGCAACAACAGCAAACAGACAAACTCTACGCAAGAGAAAACTCATCACTTGGTGGTGTGCATGGCTACTCTAATTCGCATACATAGCCCTCCCCCTCATAGTACATTGTAACGTCTTTGCGTTGCATTTTTTTGCCAGCCAGTTAATATGCTGGACTAACAACACATTGGAAAATATCAAAACTCATCAGTCATCGTAATCATCTAACATGCATTGTGCACATAGCTCCAACCCACTGCCCCATCTCACAGCCCCCCATTGTTATACTGATTTCCTATACCCCTTCCACGCGCGCGGTGCTATTTTAGCCACGGCCGCGGTGCTCCTCTCTTTTTCTTTCCTCTTTTTTTTCTTTTTTTTGTTTAATCTTGTTAACCCATTGTGTGGAGTTCTGCAAGGTTTCTTCATCACCACCAATCAGCTGTGTTAAATTAATTACTTGTCGGCGCTAGCGGTGAAATGAGAAAGGGTAACCCACACACATGTCCGTAGTACATCTCCAACTCGAGATGATCTCCCCACTTACAGTGTACAATGAGGAGGGGGGGGGGGGGGTATCAAAGCTTCACATCCAGTAATGTATGCACATAGTACTTATGTGAACGGCAAAGCCACTGGCAACGACCCAGTCAGATGGAAGTGTGGATCTTGCACAGATTGTAGCATGGTCAAGTTCATATTGAAATGACCCCAAGACAGTATACCTGGTACACTGCACATGCAATGCATGAGGTACCACGTGCCTGAGATTTCACAGCCTATGTTATTGTGCGGATCTTTATTTCAATATTTATATGCATGGACTTTGGTTGCTGCACGCGCTGTTGTACTCGTATACCATGGGCTTGTAGCTTACGCATACAGCAGGCTAAGAGTACTCAATCTCTGTACAAAAAAAACAAGAGTACACTACTAGTATGTTTATAAACTCTTGGCAATAACGTTAGAAGGTACCGGTAGTCATAGTGGTCTTCTGGAGGCACGTGCTCGCCTCAACAGGTTTTAATGTACGGATACACTGTAATTGGTATCGGTACTGTCGAGCCACTGCCACAAACCTTGCCAAGGGTCACGGGGGGAAACGGAGAGTGAATTGGAGAATGCCGCCCCGGGCAATACATTATCCATCTGGTGTAGGATCATTGGTGAACAAGATGTCGTCGGAGTTACATGTACACGCTGGAAACAGAGCTAGAGGTGCATACAAGTTGTTGGTTTGACCGCATGAAACAAGGTGGAGGACACTGTGTTCGGAAACAGTGACCTTACTACAACCTTCCACGGTTGGTAGAGCCCCGGTCCGTTGGGACCATCTGAACCACATGACCGGGGCTCTACCAACCGTGGAAGGTTGTAGTAAGGTCACTGTTTCCAAACACAGTGTCCTCCACCTTGTTTCATGCTGTCCAACTAACAACATGTGTGAACTATAACAAGGTTGATCTAATACTAGTATTGGATTATCGAATAGGTGCATACAAGTACCGTACATGACAACAATGCGGAGCTTCTGGTCTGTTACCACGGTTACAGCCAAGTTCCAGGATGACAGTCTACCGTTGACATGATGAATGACGGATAGTGACGCAGGGCATACAGCCAAGCTGCAAGGATGCACCAGCAAATCTAAATCTTGCTTGTACGTAAGCTTCGAACTTCAGAGGTGGTTGAAACTTGGAGATTCCCCGCGTTTTTGGGTCAGCGCATGCGAACTGCTGCTAAAAGCCATGGGTTGATCATGAGTGTACGACATTCCCTTTCCGCATACGCACAGTGCGTACTACATTCGTGTCACTCAAGATCGTGGCCTCTTTGGCGCTTCACGTGTGCAACAGATCTCCGAATTCTTCGAGACCCGTTCCTAAATTATCCCAGTTTCTTCCGACTTCCAGGAGAGCTTTCTCCGAGAAGCTAGAGAAAATAAGAACGCGCCCTACGTGTTACAAGATTTTTTTTTAAAATCATTTGCTTTATCTTGGACAACCCAGCCTGGACGGTATCAGGTGAATTGAACTGATGTACGTATCTTATTATGTGCCTATCTAGTATAGTGTATTAGTATAAGTAACATAAGAATGGCAAAAATCCAAGTTTAAGGTTTTCCCTGTTTGACAAACTGGTAGTGTGAGTAGGATCCCGGCCATCTCAGGAGAAAATAATAAAAGAAGCCCCGGAAATTTCTGCCCAAATACGGCCTTTGACGAACGGGGCCTAAAGCCTCGCAGATATCAACGTCGAACATCGCAACAACTGCTACGTCGCGCGCAGTATGGATTGCATAAGGCTTTGCACCTCGCATTCCTGGCAGGCACTTACGACGCGTTCCGTCAGATTTACATCAAGTGTGAACTAGGCTTATGTCGTTTTGGCTAAATCCCCAACACACATGTACAGTGCTGGCAACTGAAATCCGACACCCTGGGGCTCGGATTTTAGTTGCCAGCACTGTACATGCACGCACACACACACACACACATACATGTACATGTACACACAACTCATTGTTGCTCCAAATAACCTTTAAAAGTAGGCAGATTGCGTTCCAAACTGGCTATGGGTAGCAGCAAAATGGGAATGGCGTTTAATGGACAGCACAACATCTCCTTCATTGTACACTATCTTGAAACTTTCAGGGGTAAAAATGTGCAAAAACCAGAAGATTCTTGAACATGGCCATACAATTATGGCAATCAATTGAAAGAATCAAAATTCAAATGCCTGAGTATGAGCAGTCAATGTGCCCGAAATATAAACTGGCTTACTTTCAGTAGACCTCACAGATGCCTCTCGTGCAGTGAAAAACATCATCAGTGACCTCCATGGACGTACCAGCTACATTCATACCGGTTCCGCCATAGTCCTGTCTCTGACACTCAGCTGGTGCGTAATTCAAGTCAAATTTAGAAATTCTTGAGGTACTCCTCAGCACAGATACGAGCCCTGGCGTTCACTGTCAGCTTCATCTCACTGATCTCCTTGTCAATGTCCTCCATAAACTGAATGACGAAATCCACCAACTTGTGCTTGTACATCTGCTCAGTGTGGAAGTTGGTGATCAAAAAGCTAATATCATATCCCTCCACAGGCTTTCTCCTCAGAATGAAGAAATTGTCGGCGCGCATCATCATGAAGCGCATGAACTTGTGGCACAGGATCTTCTCGATCTCATCAGCCTGCTTGATAGAAATACTAACACGCATGGAGTTGACAGATCCCTCAACCAGAACCTTCTCCTTCTCATTACGGCTCACAATTACAGGTGTCAACAGAAGTTCTTTACTGCTGCGTACCTCTACTTCGGGTTTGTTGTGTCTTTCCACGATCTGGGAGGAGAAATTCTCTAAGCACATCGTAGCTGTGAGCGTCGCACGGACGGCATTGAGGTATGGCTTCAGCGTGGCAGACATCTTCGATAGACTCCAAGGACAAAATTAGAAACTGATGTGGCGAGAGCTAAAGGCTGAGCGAAAGATAGAGATAACGTCCGCAACAAAACCTGCCATAAAGACTAAAGTCCGCATTCAAAAGACTTTTTCTTGTATGAGTGCGTGCGGCGCATCAGATCAGGCGCTATGCTAGCGATAGCATGCTAGGCGGAGTGCCGAGTCGTGGTACATAATGTACGTGACTCGACTGTGTGTATGTGCAAGAGTACTTATATTAACTACATAACTGTACATAACTGTACATTGTAGTTATGTACTCTTGGTATGTGTCAGTGAGTCGTGTGTTTTCAACTCTGTTTTGAGGTCATCATGTGACCGATCAGCTAATTATGCGGGTGATTTCTGATGTACGGTATACCATGCATGGTATACGGTAGCGTCTGCAACAGTACATACCAGGGATAGTCCGTGGGCCAAACCTGAAAAAAGGCCTCCTAGAAAAATCTCGTTCCGACTTTTGGGCACCGCAATTTTATTGGCCACGTCTACTCTAGATACCTTACTGAGCAGGATTCCGGTTGTTGTCACTCTGACAACTTTCTGAAAGGTATCCAAAAATCGGCTTTTCCATGTTGAAAATTTCTCTCTCGGCGGCCATTGTTTTGTATGAATGATTCATGCATGCGCGTTGTGTGTGGTGCTGTGAAATGTGATTATGCACCAGAATAGACGAAAGTACACGAATTCAGTGTTACCTGTCATGTCAAGTCGTGATCTGGCACGATCTGGTACACTGCACACTCTCTGCAGGCGTGCACCCGGACCCACAATTCTAACTCTCTGCACTGCAGTGCAGGCGTGCACCCACTATACTTGGCATCTTCCTTCTCAGTTTGAACTTTCATTTCGAGATTGGTTTTTTGGTTTCAGTTTGTACTAGTATAGTATGTCTGTGGTCAAGTAGCACTATAGTCTGTTTCAAAAAGATTTACAATCAGGTTTGGGTCTTAAAAAGTATGAAGATAAGGGAAATTTGGACAACAAAGTACATAGAATGGCTTGTTAGGACACGGCAAATTGTTCTGTGAAGGTTTCGGAACAATTGGACCAACCGTTAAGGAGTTAGAATTTCGGCCAGGTTTCCGGCCTTTTCCCATGGTTTACAACTTGCCCAGGAAGCCAGTATCGATTTTTTATCAAAACCCACGATTTATCCTTTCCTTTTTGGCCTTGTGGTTATGAATGCTGTCTGCTGACCATGAAGTTGTGAGTTCAAATCCTAACCTATCCTCAAGTCAAACTTTTTTTTCATTGTTTTGGTGATCAAGCTGGTACAAGACAAAGAAGGTGGCTGCACCAAACGACTTGTTGTTGGAGCTCGCGCTTCCTGCCGAACTGACTGACACTTGACTGGCTCACGCCATGTGAACACACCCACAACACTGCAATGGTGTGAGTGAATTATAATGGAAGTCATCGCGCTGTAGCTTTTTGAGATTTATTTTAGTATTTCAAGATCGCCAATTTATTTGAATTTAGCAGTCAACGCCGTCTTCTATCAGCGTTCACAAGCGTTTGCTTTTCTCAAAATGTCGTCGAAGTCACACGGATAGCTTTGCCAAGTCATGGCCTTGGGAATGAGTCCGTGTCGATGTCGTTTTCGTCACACGGTGAGTAAATTGCATCGCAGCTCAAAGAAACTATTTTGGTCACAAAACGGACCCATGCGGCTCGTCAACATTTACAACACTTTCGTTTCGACATGTCCTCTCTGACTCCATTATCGATACGAGGAAGAACTCGTTTGTTGTAAACCGGACGTACGTCCATGACTGTGTCAACGTGAGTGAGTTGTCATTTTTCCTGCTTTCGCGCGGAATATTTCTTCGAGTTCACAGTGAGTTTTTCCAGGCAGCGCTCGAGTGCTCATACGGTAAGACGCCAAACTCCGCGGGCGATCGCCAGGGTTGTAAATCTTTTTGAAACGGACTGTAGAAGTAAGCGTCGTGATGAGTTTAAAGTGTCTCATTCACGTTCCGGAGTGCGGTGAGGAGGTGAAGCCCTTCACCCAGACAACGTGGAAGAAGGTGTGTGAAATATGCACTAGTGAAGCTGTTGCCGTAGAAAATTTAGCTGAGCTCAGGGAGTTATGTCGTAGTGATGTTTGGCCTGAAAACGGAGGCTTCCACAGAAAATGTTACCAGAAAATAACGAATATAACCCTCCGACGAAGGCAGAGTACCCCTCATCTAGCCATTCGGAAGAACTGTCTGTGCCGGAGTCGATAGAGCCAGAAGCCAAGCGCCGCCCCAGCACGCGCGCCGCACTAGCCGCGCCCGTCGTAGCTCCAGGCATGAAGGGCTGCATATTTTGTGGGAAGGAGAGGCGCCAGCAACCTGGCCGGAAGAACTGTAGTCCAGTCCACAAGCAGGTGTGAATACGCACACGCTGCAGCGAAGCTGTTATGTACATGTTATACGCAGCAAACGTCAGAAAAGACGAAAAGGTCCAAGTTGCAATTGGTCAATCCGTCTCTGGAATATTTGCGCGCGAGGGTAACTACCATAAACAATGCTACAGGAATTACACGAGAGCTTAGTGCCCCTGTTTGCGATGCCATGGTGGGGATGCATGCCTATACAGGTTGTGACACAACCAGTGCCTTCAGTGGCAGAGGGAAGAAGCTAGCATTTCAGCTGATCACCAAGCAAACCCCAAAAGGCAACTTGCGGCTGGCTCGAAAGGCTATGGCAGCACTCAGTGCATCATTTGACGCACTACCAGCTGACATTTTCGCCTGCATCGAGCAGTTCACTTGCGGTATATACGGCTTCAACACCGCCACATCTATCAACGAAGTGCGATACCAGATGTTCTGCTCTCGCTCGACGCAATCCAGCTCCCTTCCTCCTTGCCAAGATGCGCTGCGCAAGCATGCTGCAAGAGCAAATTACCAGGCCAGTATCTGGCACCGTGCTCTGGAAGCTTCCGCGGATGTCCCACCACCGCATAGCCCTGGTCAAGGGTGGACCATTGATTCTGGCGGTGGTTTGGAAGTGGACTGGCTCAGCTTGGCACCAGCACCATCGAGCCTGATGGAATTTGTTTCATGCGGTTGCACGACAGGCTGCAAGCACGGACATTGCTCCTGCCGGAGACAGCACCTCAATTGCACGGATGCTTGCAAGTGCTCTCACTCGGGCCAGGAGTGTGAGAATGGGCAACCACTGGAGCTTCAAGTAACTGCAGAACTCAGTGAAGACGAGGATGAATAAGAAAAAGAATGCCCATCCTGACAGGTAATCGTATGTATAATGTGATTGAAGATTGAGTGTTCATTAGAGTTCAGTGATGCACATTGTACAATCATGAACATGTACGTGACTGTACATCATGCCCAATTCAAGTCCTTCTGATGTTTGCCCAGTGTTCAGTATCAATATCACATGTGGACTAAAATCAATGTGGGAGATATAAAAATGCACGGGAATGATCATTGCGATTATTTTTCATTGCCATCGGCTTCGGCCTCATTTCCTCTGTGCTGCGCTGATGAGTCCACAAAGGACGAACTAGTTCTGTCCACACGTTGGGTGATCATTGGAATTGGAATTGTGTATTTTCTGTGACCTGATTATTCTCTACAGGTCGACCTTTTTCGGCAACATGAAACATATTCCGTATGGCTAATCCTGCAGTATAAGTCAGTGTTATGATGACGAAGTCTCCCTCGTACACAGCTGCAACAAACGTAGTCTTCTGGGGTCACGCGGTCCTTCAGGTCTGGTCTGTCAGTGACCTGTGCTGATGGTCACAGTGTTGTGATCCTTTCTCTGGACATTCAGATTATTCTGCAACCCTTATAATAACTATGCAATGCATAAATGCGGCTGTGTGTTCTGCCTCATATCTGTATAATGTACACCATTTTTGTATTGAACGGTCTGAGATATTCTTAGATCAGACATAGTATTCTGCAATGTACAGTACCTGCATGCCACAGCCAGTCCTATTATGATCTGATAAAATGGTATACAATGACTCGAATGATGTTTCGAAGTAGTTACAGTATTGCGTTCGACACACGCGGTCTTCTTGCACACGTCTGTGTACATGAACAATATGGACGTATTGGGCATTTTGTTTTTCTTTATTTTTCATGTTATATCATATTTTTCTCTTTCCAGTTGAATCTGGGAAGGAGGCACTCTGGATATATGACCCTGTGGAAAAATAATAATACCAAAAACATTGTAATTAGCCAGAAAATCCAATTTTAGGTTCTGGTTACCATGGCAACCAGTGCTGATTTGTATTTCACTCGCCGTGCAACCCTTGGACAAATTCAGGAATGACAACAAACGGGTTTTCAATGTATGGAAGTCCATCTATCGACTGGGCCAAAAAAATTGCGGTGCCCTCTTACTCGGAACGAGAATTCACATTTTTGTCACTTGGCCCACAGACTAGGAGTAGTACAATACCATACTACTCCCTGGTACATACTGCGTCAGTGCATGCTGCATGCAGTGCTGGGATTTTTCAGTGATCAGGATTTGGCTGCACCAAATCAAACTGTCAAAACAAAAGAGCTGAATGAAGCCAGAATGTTTTCCCCAAAACTTGTGTCCAGCTGAGTCTATCTGAAGTTCTTACATCCTTGTAGAAGGAATTCGATGAAGTACGTTTCAAGGCGAGTAAGTAGCAATTCTCATGGATGACTCCTTGCGAGCCAGTGGCCGATTGGCCAATTCTGAACTGAGATGTAAAAACAAGTAAGTCAGAATATTATTGTCTTCTAGTTCTACATGTCAGCACAGTGAGTGGTGTTCCAATAAGAGTGCATGTAATCGCCATTGCCAATGCCCAGTGTTCACGGTAATAAATTTATATTTTCCAGCTGTCCACAAACCAGTGGAGTACTCCGTTGGGGGAATTATCTTCAATATGAAAATGCAAAAAATTTCTCTTCGTTCCAACATTCAAACTTACATGTTCTTAGTTCTTGTAGACTACTACACGTCCTCATACTTTCACGGTAGGAGCCCAATACGAGAGAGCTTGGAAGCTCAGGGCCCTACGCTATGCTTTTTTGCCTAGCTCATCACCATCTACCACCTTGATGGCCTTGGCAAAAAAATCATAGGGATGTTATAAATTTTTCATTTCTCCTATTTTTTTCGAGACATAACCTGGGATTGGAACCCGCACTATCGCCCTGCATTCATTCCCCGGCCCCGATACACTTCGTATACATATTCATTCTTCCAAGTTGCTTCACATTATGATCTTGCATTTGAAAACCTTATTTGAATATTGTGGCCAGCTGTCTTTGATTGTTATCATTATTATTATTATTAAATTTTTGATAGGGCAATCCCCACAGGATTAAGGCCTTCTTACAGGGTACCCTAAATGTGCCAATACAAGGTTACGGAAGCGAGAAACAGATGTGCATAGGCGAATGTCAGCAGGTAGAGAGTTCCAACGATCTGAGCCTAGAAAACTAAGAGAAAAAAGACCATAACGATTTGAAGCAGGGGGAAGAGCAAGGGCTGCAGAAACTTGAGAGCGTGTACAGGAGTTTGTATGTGACGATGCACTGCGCAATGAAAAACAACTAGAGAGTAGGGAGCTTGCGAGATCATTTAGTGAACGGAAAATAAGAACAAAAAGTCTGAGCTGATACCGAGCGGCGAGTGGGAGTAAATTGTTGCGTTTTTGTAGTGCACTGATGCTGTTGAAGCGAGTGAGGTTGAACACCGTGCGCAAGGCATGTCTACTCAAGCGAACCAGGCGCTCATATTGACTCTCACGAAGGCAGTGAGCAAATTGATGGTACGGTACATTCGCCAGGCATGCCGACGGCGCAAACACACAAACACGGAATTAAAGCTGTGTGGACCCTGGCTAACACCAGACGTTACTGAAGTAATCTTTTGCATAGCTACGGGAATAAAATCTGTTTTTAGTTTGAGGGAGTAGAAAAGAGATGAAATCCCTTTCAACTCCCTCGTATTAGTGATTTATGAATGTAAAAAAGAGAAGAAACACATGAGAACGAGTTTTGCAGCAACTATCCACGACTGTAACAAGATGATAAACAGTCAGAAAGTGCGATAATAGGGCACAAAACTGACAGGCTACTTCTTCGGTCCTACGTAACCATGAACCTTCCAAGTTGGAAGGCTGTTGGTTTGCGCACTGGAGATGTGTTGGAGCTAGGTCTCGGGTCGCTGAATGTCTCAGTAGCCTGTCAGTTTCGTACCCTATTATCGCACTTTCTGACTGTTTATCATCTTGTTACAATCGTGGATAGTTGCTGCATAACTTGTTCTCATGTGTTTCTTCTCTTTTTTACATGCTTATTTTGGTATTAATCGCGTCCAAAGGAGAGTTTCTTACACTGTTCTGCTGTAGAAACAGAAGTATAGTCACTGAGTGTATCCCTTGGCTTCGGGAATAACTTAGGTTCCATAATAAATCTCTTTCCCTCAGCTACATTGCGGGATACGCTTGTGTTTCTCACACAGTATTTCCACTGTTTTAGGTGAAACCTTTTCTAAGAACGGGCACGCTCCACCCCAGCCATTTACACATCACACAGTGCTCAGTCTGAACACGCACTCAATGGTTTCTATATTGGCTCACCATCCGAGTTCAATGGTTTCTGTTGCGAGAGAAAATAAAGTCCCAACCCCAATTTTCCAGGCCTAACTCATCATCCGGATATGCAATCAAACGATTAAGGCAAACAAACAAGAACTGTACTATCTGTAATACTAGTGTATAAACTGTGAAGTGTAATAGAGCCTTGAATGATGATGATGAGAGATGTATCAGCTAGGGTGTAACTTGGGTGTGGAGAAGTAAGAGAGCTGGTGAAAAGGAAGGGGAGAGAAGTACAGAGCTGTGGTTGTGTGTGTGGATGTCACCGTGAAATATGATGTGGAGCTGGAGCCATGTGTGTGAAGACAAATGCGATGACACGTTGTTGCACAACACAATACAACAAGCTAACACACACAACATAATAACACTTCATTTTGCCATGAAGTGTAACCTGTACATCGCCTATCATGCCAGGAAGCGCTGTCAGTAACATTGCGGAGAGGAACGAATTCAAGCACCAGGCACACCATGGGGAGAGCACTATGCACAACACCACCCACATCAACTTAACTCAAGCTAGCACCTCTAAACCCATCACCCATGCCTAAAGTCTCGCCATGCAGTCCTCCTTTGCCGACTGTCACGCGCGTGAAGCAATGTTCATTGGTGATAGGCATCCTACTGTAAACAGGGACTGTGACTGGAGACAGTGTGAAGTGTGCTGGTGTGACAGTGTGAAGTGTGCTGGTGTGACAGTGTGAAGTGTGCTGGTGTGACAGTGTGAAGTGTGCTGGTGAGACAGTGTGAAGTGTGCTGGTGTGGTCAATTCATAATAGGTTTTGACTTTGACTGAGATGTTACATGTCACACTTGATGGCACAATAGTAACTGTTATGTGTGTTTTAGGTATGTGCTAGCTTGTTGTATCGTACTCTGCAACTATGTGTTGTCACCTTTGTCTTCACACACATAGCTCCAGCTCTGTATCCTTCCATGTCACCAGTTTTCTTTACTCTCCACACCCAAGTTACACCCTAGCTGACACATGTCTCATCATCACTCACGGCTCAATTACACTTCACAGTTTATCTATTACAGCTAGTACAGTTCTTGTTTGTTTGCCTTCAGTTTGGTTGTGTGCCCGGATGACGGGCCATGCCTGAAAACTTGGTTGTGTGCCCGGATGACGGGCCATGCCTGAAAACTTGGTGTTAGAGGGGAAGGACTTTTTTCTCGCAGCGAAGAGACCATTGGGTGTGTGTTCCATGTTCAGGCTGAGAGTGAGTTATGAGTCGGGTGAAACCTGGCCAAGCAACCGCCTGGTTGCTGTATCCTCCTTTGTCATCAACTGACTGGGGTGTGCGAATGTCATCCTGGTTTCAGAGACCACCTGTGCCAATAGTACGTAGCCAAGAGTGTGCAGCTCGACGATCTCTTAGTGCACGGCATAGTTTTTATGACCTTAGTCTTTACAACTTTACCTCAAACTTATGAATACCTTAGTCTTTCGCGGCCATTTGGCTCGCTGATGCCACCATGCATTGCCAGAGATCAATGCCATCAAATACGCAAAGAACTTGTACTTTGTAGCTACAGTAGTCGAAGCAGAACATCGGGCTGTCGATCCATGTGTCCTGAATATGATGCACTGACACCGTATCTACATGATAGCGCAAACAGACGTTCGCACTTGGTCATACTTCTGCCAAGGAAAGGTGCAATGAAAAAAAGAATTTCAACATTGGCAAGTCCATCGCAGCTCAAGATAGGAGTTGCACTCTTGACAAGATACTCTTGCCTGCACTCAAAGACCGTGCTGTACCGGTCCCCATGGGTGATTGCTGAGACCAGGTGTTGCCTCCCCATACAGGTACGTACTTTTTTCTACACAAGAGAGAGAGAGGAAGCCGTGTTGCGACTCCCAAGTTGTTCACGCTAAGTGCTTTTTTCCTTCATGAGTTAATTGCCTATGCATGAAATCTCATGAGTGATGTATTCTGCTACTTTGTGTGTTACAGGTGTGGTTTCTATGGCAACCCCATGTGGGATGGCTACTGTTCAAAGTGCTACAAGGAGCTCAAGGAACATAGTCCAGCCACCCAGCGTCATTTTGCCGCTGCGGACTTTGTTGGCGATGCCGCAGCCCAAGTTGCTGGTGGGTATTCATCTCCTGTGTCGACGGTATCATCACCAACGTCATTAGGCGCTCTTGATATGGCATCACCATTGACCTCAGTGCCTGGTACTATGGACAGCAGTAGCATAGCCACCGCCACCACCACCACTAGCATACATCATACAGGTGATAGGATGCCACTTGCAACGGTGGACAGCAGCAGTGCAGCGAGATCCAGCCCATCTTCCTCTCCGACAACGCTGCGTGCCAAGCTCACTCAGGCGAGCAAACGCTCGTCTCCGAGTTCGTTGCGCACATCCTCCATGCCGGTGCTTAAGGACAGTAGTAAGTTCTTCTTCTTACCCTCACGCCAAAAAATAAAATAAAAGTTCTTTGTCTGGAGCTAAGCGGAGCCACAGAGAACCTACTGCGGCATTACGACTATGTGTATTCTATTGATTCAGATAATGAGAAATTCTATCGCCACTGTTTTCTGCTGGTATCTCCAAGCATCCCTGACCACAGTGGCATACCGGTATGCTGAAGGAGGCTGAGTACATCGTCGCTGTGAAACCGGCTGCATCAAACCGGGACCACAGTCGGTACATGTGCATGTACATCTACTGACTATGGTGCTGGGTGAAATTCAACCCCTGGATTACGGCTTTACGGGCTGTGCAGGGTTGGATTCACGCGGCACCACTGCATCCATGCATGTCCTTGTGCACTATTGCAACACCTTTGCGCATGTGTGTTTGTCTGTGTGGTCTTGCAGCAGCTCAGTGATTTTCATGCCTTGTCTTCTTCTTGTGCCATGTACTATCTTGTATTGTGTAGGGGTGGGCCTGGCTTCTACAGGGCGCAAGTCATCACCCAGCATTGCTCATGCTAAAGCCAGTGCAGCAGGCAGCTCCCTGGCCAGGACCAGCAGTGGCCCTAATTCTGCTGAAAGTGCCAATGCCAGTGGCTCCAGTGGCTCATCTTCTGTGTTGGGATTTGGCAAGTTTGAAGAAAAGAAACGTTCTCAGCAGCAGGGCAAGTGAGTCATGTCGATCTGGGAGTCATGTCTATCTGGGAGTCGTGTCTGTCTGGGAGTCGTCTGTATCTGATTAGCTTGACCAATGAACTTGTCGAGTTTGTCTTTCTAGTAGTTTCTACCCATTGTAGAAGCATTTTATTTAGATTTCTCAGTTTCCCCTATGTGTTGTAGCTGTTTTGTGTGTGTGTGTGTGTCATTGTGTGTGCGTGCATGCATACCTGCGTGTGCATATATGTGTGTGCATGTGTGTGGTCTTATCAACTCATGGGACTGCTTCCTTTTTCGTGTTGGTGCTGTAGGAAAGGAATACGCCTGTTCAACAAGCAGAAGCAAGTTAAGGATGCTACAGATTCCATAGCAGGTAACTTAGTATAACTACGAAACAGCTATTAGAGAGGTTCTGCTCTGCACGACATAGAGAAATCAGTTCAAATCACGTAGAGAACAGGTGTCTGGGGTAGAGTCTATAGCTTCTCGTGTTTTTGGGTCCAGATTTCTACGCGGAGATGAGATTCTCTACGTTGCGGCACACGCAAAGAAAATGCATACAGGTATTGTTCAAATTGCCGAGGAAGCTGCCAAATTTGGAAGGCGCACTTTCCAGTACATGTTCCACGTCATTTCGTTGCGTAAACGTAGAGCAGAACAGGTTTCTTATATGTTGCGGGAACGCGAAGAGTGATCAAGGGATTCTTCGCGTCGCGTTCCTGTGACGTTGAGTAGAACATCAAATAAGTTCTGCGCAGTGCGTGCCTGTATGTGTCATGTAGGTATTTACTGTGCTGTAAATGTAGTCCTGATTGTACTGTGCTGTGAATGTAGTCCTGATTGTACTGTGCTGTGAATGTAGTCCTGATTGTACTGTGCTGTGAATGTAGTCCTGATTGTACTGTGCTGTGAATGTAGTCCTGATTGTACTGTGCTGTGAATGTAGTCCTGATTGTACTGTGCTGTGAATGTAGTCATGATTGTACTGTGCTGTGAATATAGTCTTGATTGTACTGTGCTGTGAATGTAGTCCTGATTGTACTGTGCTGTGAATGTAGTCCTGATTGTACTGTGCTGTGAATGTAGTCATGATTGTACTGTGCTGTGAATGTAGTCCTGATTGTACTGTGCTGTGAATGTAGTCCTGATTGTACTGTGCTGTGAATGTAGTCCTGATTGTACTGTGCTGTGAATGTAGTCCTGATTGTACTGTGCTGTGAATGTAGTCCTGATTGTACTATGCTGTGAATGTAGTCCTGATTGTACTGTGCTGTGAATGTAGTCCTGATTGTACTGTGCTGTGAATGTAGTCCTGATTGTACTATGCTGTGAATGTAGTCCTGATTGTACTGTGCTGTGAATGTAGTCTTGATTGTACTGTGCTGTGAATGTAGTCCTGATTGTACTGTGCTGTGAATGTAGTCATGATTGTACTGTGCTAGTGTGTTGTACATGTAGTCATGTAGTCATGTATTGTGTTCAATGAGTTGTTCATGCACTCGGTAATGCTCCCACTACTTTGTCAGTGATTTAGATCTGTAAATTTTGTGCTGCTGCAATTTCTTTTGCCATGTGTATTGTTTATTGAACCTTCCTGTTGCTTACGTACTCGTGCTATTCCTGTGCGTGTGTTTCTTTGTGTTTGCACGTCGTCGCTGTTGCTGTTGTTGCTGTTGTTGTTGTTGTTGTTGTTGTTGTTGTTGTTGTTGTTGTTGTTGTTGTTGTTGTTGTTGTTGTTGTTGTTGTTGTTGTTGTTGTTGTGTGTGTGTGTATGTTGGTGTGTGTTGATGTGTTTGCATGCTTGTTGGCTGCTGTTCACTGCAGTGTCTTCTGAAACTGCACCACAGAACACAGAACGTACCAAAGCTGCAGCAGAGCTTAATGATCTTTTGAAGACAATGAAGAAAGCTGTCGGTCAGGACGTGACCTTGCATATGAAGCAGTGAGTTCTCCTGTTATCAGCGCGTGTGTGTGTGTGTGTGTGTGTGTGTGTTTGTGCACACCTGCATGCATTTATGTGTGTGCGCGCATGCATGCATTTATGTGTAAGTTTGTATGTGCACATGTGTTTAGGTGCTTTTTTACCAGAGTACCTGCGTAGCATGCATCGGTGGCTGTATAAAGTGTGCCACTTGCTTTTTAAGCTCATTTCTTTTCTGTCAAGCACCTGGACTGTGGGATTTAGTACATAGTGACACTAGTACGTAAACATTATTTGTGTGGGTGCTACTACCATTCTGTGTGTGTGTGTATGTGTATGTGTATGTGTGTGTGTGCGTGTGTGTGTGTGTGTGTGTGCGCGCGCGTGTGCGTGCGTGTGGGCGTGTGGGTACCTGTGTATCTGTGTATGTGTGTATATGCGTGCATATGTGTTTGCATGCGTGTGCATTCACGCGTGTTACTTTCAGGTTAATTCGTCGTATAATGCACGATGGCAAGCCTAATACCACCAGCCAAGCCCAATCAGAACTTGTACAGGAGTTCTATGAGGTATGGTGTCCGTCTAATAGAGGTTACCCTAATCGTATCAGTTATTGACTGGCAAACCACTGCAGCCTGTTTATATTGCACTGTGGCATCACAGTTACCGTATTTCCCCCATTATGTCGCACTTGATTATAAGTTGCACTCGATTATAAGTCGCACCCCCATATTCAGGTTTGAGCCATATTGATTTGATATATTGACTTCAGTAGTAAGTCACGCTCGATTGTAAGTCGCACCCCCTTTTTACCCTTGAATTTTAGCGTAAAAAGGTGCGTTTTATATTGGGGGAAATACGGTATGCATAATGCTAGTCCGCATGAACCAGGGCTTGTTTCTACATGTATGAGTTGTGGTGCTACAGGTATGCTACTCCGTACGAACCGGGGCTTGTTTGTATTTTTAAGTAGGAGTTGTGGCGTCACAGGTGTGCTGCTTCGTACCAAGCTCTCTCAAGTGATGATGTGATATTTAGAAGTAGGACACACTTCAGGCTCTTGAACATGTTGAAAGCCTGAAGTGTGTCCTACTTCTAAGTATCATTGCAGTCTTGTCTCCAGGAAATTGTTCTATTGATGATGTAATTGCGTAATCTCTAGGTGCATGCTGGAATTATTTTAAACTTTCTTAGCTAGTTTTTCTATGACATCAAGATGGTGTAAAGCGTTGTGTCATCTTGCAGCACAGGATGACATGAGTGTAGAGGTGTATGTGTCATTGTCATAATGCTGGTGGATAGATGGTGGGGTTCTTTTTATGCTGCACGTTTTGCCATGCCACCATTTGTTTACCTATGTTTGATTTAGATTTGCGTGTGGCTGCTTTTCATTCATACGCTTCTGTGTGTGTATGTGTGTGTGTGCGTGTGTAGTGGTTTGAGGGTCGCATGCAGACACAGGCCGCATATCGTGGTGTAACACAAGACCAACAGAAGCAGATCATGGAGCACATTGAGTCCTACCTCATGGCATGTGTCTACACTGCGTAAGTGCACACTGTATGGAGTGTTTTCAAGGACGCCTTTCCTGCCACCTCCCCGGCGATCACCCCGGGATTGTGGTGAACAGGTCGCGTGTCAAAAATGCATTGAAAAGTATACGAAATGTGACAAGTTCATCTCCACCAGCGCTTGGAGCGATTCTGAAGCTTGTTCTCTTTCGCCCAAGCCATGGAAGGGCTTCCTGGCAACTGCTCTGACTCAACACGAGTGTCGGACATCAAGTGGAGCGCTATTTTACTGCTTCTTTCACCTCCATGCATCCATTCCCATACAAAGTGAACGTGAACTGGGCTTCGCCTGGTCACCAGCGATTCAAAAATTTCCCGCACGTGACCCCAACATGTGGCCGTTTGTACAACCTTGAAAAAGCTCTGTATAAAACAAACACAACTTTGCCCTCGAGCCCGGCCCTTGCTTTCAACTTCTTCAATGATACCCCTGTTCCGTGGATCACCCATTACTGCGTTGTATTTCTGGGTTAATTCTGTTTGCTCGAGTCTGGTGTGGAGGTTCTTTAATCTGTCGTGTGCCGTGTGCCGTTCCATAGTTAGCTGGTAAAGTACTGTAGAATGGGGAATTTTAGCAGGTAAAATGTTTAGTGTGTTCTGAATCGGGACCGATTCACGATGAAATACTTTAGTGATCCAAGTTTCAGAGTTCAAAAAAGAAGATGACCACTACTGTACTGTGCATGCAAAATTTCGATTGGCATGGCTAAACTTTAGCAAAAACACTCCTTTCACTAAAATAGTAATGTTCTGCTCTACGTCACAGGAATGCGACGCGAAGAATCCCGGGAATTCTCTCCGCGTTCCCGTAACGTAAAGAAAACCTGTTCAGCTCTACGTTCGCGTAGAGATATCACGTGGGATGTGTATTGGGGAATTCCCCTTCCCTATTTGGCAGCATTTGGCATTTGGCAGAGAAGTCGAGGAGATTGTGGAGAAATCAAGTGAAAAATTCAAAGAAGATAACCTAATGTTAAATATTCAGAAAACACAATATATTACAGTAACTAAAGCCGACTCCTCTTGGCGATCTGTCAAGCTGCTTGGCTCTTTGTTGGGGTCCGCAGAGGATATTCAGGCAAGAATAGGTGCTGCGAATAGAGCGTTCGGCTCCATTTCGTGGAAGCGTCATAAACTGAGCTCCAGACTTTGTATGTTCTCTGCCCTCATTTTGCCTATCCTGTTGTATAACTGCGGACTGTGGGCCCTGACACAGCAACTCAGTAATCGGCTGGACGCATGGCACCGCAGAAAATTGCGGTACCTGCTTGGTGTGGTGTACCCTCACCACATGTCGAATGCCAAGGTGTACGCCTCAACGCGACAAGGCCCAGTCAGCACTACCTGTCGCAGACGTCGGCTGCTCTGGCTGGGCCATGTTGTTCGCGAAGGACGTAACTCAGCGTCCTACCAAGCACTGGAGATGGCAATTAATACCCGGGACATCAAGCGCCCACGTGGCCGACCCCATCTCAGATGGATTGACAATATTAAAAGTGATCTAAAGCATGCCAATATTGATATTTCTGACTGTTTTGAACTGGCTCTAGACAAGAAAGAATGGCTGATGCTTGTGGAAAAATGTGCTGCGCTTGCGTAGTTGTTCTTACTGCGATACGTTCTAACAATAATGAGATGCCTTTTGTCGGCTCTTCTGCCTGGATTTCGTTGACAGATGCGTTAAGCCCATGGATCCTTCCATGAGTGGCATGCGAACTGTAACTATTATTATTATTATTATTATTATTATTATTATTTGGCAGTTTTCTGCTGCATTTGAGTGATACACACATTACACAGACAGACAGAAGACACCTCCCGTACAGGGTGGTTTCCCCAGTCGCTGTTACATGTGTACTGCCGGTGTGTTGTTATCCACACATCCTTGTCATCATCATGATATCGGTATGCATGTGTGTGTGTGTGTGTGTGGATCAGTGCAATGCCAGAACTGCCAGAGGTGGTTCCGCAGCAAGGGTGGCTACTCTGTTCATCGATGCCAGCCTGTCACGAGTTCTCCTACACCAACAGTCAGTCTGTCTGTGCCACTTTCAGCTTGTTGCCAGCAGCACTGCCCAACATGTCAGCGATGCTTCCGTTCTGCAGCCGGGTTCAAGCATCACAACTGCAATCGTGGTGCGAGACCATCTGCTGCTGAGAGAGCAGCTCTGCCCCTCAGCTGCCCACATTGTAAACGCAATTTCCGCCGGCAGCAGGACCTAGCCAGACATTCGCGGTCCTGCTTGTGATCCGTGTCCCGTTTTCTGGTCCCTTTTCCATAGGGGTGACACTTGCCCCTCTGGGCAGTCATGCTGCTAGTAGTAGTAGTAGTAGTAGTAGTAGTAGTAGTAGTAGTAGTAGTAGTAGTAGTAGTAGTAGTAGTAGTAGTAGTAGTAGTAGTAGTAGTAGTAGTAGTAGTAGTAGTAGTAGTAGTAGTAGTAGTAGTAGTAGAAGAACGTCGACCTACACGTATCGGTCATCATGGGTCAGCTCCGTTGTAAGCTGTCAGTCTGCCTTATGCGATGGGCAGTCACCTGTTTGCGTGGTTCAAGATCGTCATACCGCCGCAACAGGATGAATTTCACGACGATGTGCAGGTTGCGGGCAGCCTGAGCGTGATAGTACCTCACAGACATTGCCCAACATTGTCCCATGATAATGAATTTTTGATTTTTGGAAATTGTATTGCATTGCTGCTCCATCTACATGGCTGTATTTGTGTTTCACATCTCCATTTCAAGTTTCCTAATAAAGATTGTGTACAGTAGTAGTAGTAGTAGTAGTAGTAGTGTGTGTGTGTGTGTGTGTTATCGCTGTGTGTTATCGCTGTGTGTTATCGCTGTGTGTTATCGCTGTGTGCATTGCAGGGTGTGGGGTAGCCGTGACAGTGAAGACGAAGAGAAAGATCGGAAGTTATCTCAGCGTCTTCGCCACTTACAGTGGGTATCCCCGTCTCACCTGGAGATTGAGAATGTCATGGCCAGCACCAAGGCAATGACTTGCTTACAGCGTGCCCAACACGAACTGCTGATGATGGACAGTCGGCGAACACCAGCAGAGAAACTGCGCCGTGTCACGCAGTGCTGCATGCAAATTTTCAGTATCCTCTGCATGCTTGCTTGCTGTGTAGCGATGTTGGTGTGTGTATGTGCACGTATGTTCTTCTCCATGCACAAGGGTGTGTGTATGTGCACGTATCTTCTTCTCCATGTACAAGGGTGTGTGTATGTGCACGTATCTTCTTCTCCATGCACAAGGGTGTGTTAGAAACTTACTTAGGCTTTTATGCCCAGGCTGTATGGCTGTATGTAGAACTTGTGTGTTTCGAGGGGAGGGGTGTTTATTTCTTTAATGCCTAATAGCTACGGCAGCAGGGAATTTTCTAGAACTGCCCCTTTTTTCGACCGGTTGAAATTGTTGGCGACCGGTTGAAAAGTTACAAATCAGTTCCAACCGCCCGTACTTTTCTGTGGGTGAATGGAGCTGTGAATGGTCAAACGCTTTTTTCTGGACGAAATCTGTTAAATTGCTGTCGAGTGCCATATTTGGGTTGAATTTTGAAAAAAATTTCCGGGGGGGCCCCAGACCCCCCCCCCCCCCCCCCGACTCTTCATTGGACCGTAACTGGTTGGAAATTCGCCCTAGAATATACCCTGGGCAGTTCCTCAGTGACAGCATTGTTACTTCACACACGTCTTGCAAGCGCTTGTGGGTTTGCATTGTTGTGCCAACATTATAGCTCAAACTGGCGTTATGTATGCAGTTCAGCGACAATGAGCAGGAGGAAGATTTAGATGCAAGAATGTGTAGGCTGCTGCACTAGTCTTGTAATTATTCCTTGACTGAGGTGTACAGATGCACTAACTCATGCCACCAACGGCACACCGGCAAGTGCTGATGACTTCCTTCCAGTTCTCATCTATGTTGTCCTGCAAGCCGCTCCACCCAGGATGAACTCCAATATACAGTAAGCACTAACTGTGCATGACTGTACAGTCATGCTGCTGCTGCCACTCAATCAAATGCGATTGTGTGTGTGTGTACCGTAATTCCGCGCATATAAGCCCACGGGCCTATATCCGGATATAAGCCCACCTCCGTTTATAAGCCCATGGGCTAATAAACAGACACAAATACAACTCAAGTGTCAAGTAGAATTTTTCACAATATGGACTCTTCCTGCCATGGTACAGCAGGTCAGTGCAGTTTACCAGTAGAGTATGGTAGACCCACTATGAGCACGGACTTGTACTTTTTCGTGAACCTTCGAAATTCAAATATTGGCCCATGGGCTAAAAAACGAACATGTTTTACTGGATATTTTATCCCCAAACTGTATTATTTCACATAGAAAAACTACCGGTATTGGCACTGAACCATGAGTGTACATAAAAAGGTTGTTTTGTGGTGTGACAAGGGCACAAGGGACAATCAGTGCCGTTATAGTGATGGGGTCCAAGTGCACTGCACCGTCCAAGCACTCTAGCATTACCGTCACAGTTCCCAGGACGTCCAAAAGGATTACTGTCTAGCGCCGCGATACCACCATCATCAGCAGACACAGCCTCGATGTCTGCACCAACACCTACAGCCACACACTTGGCAATGATGGCGCGAGTTGATCCCGTATCTACGAACGTCACAGCTCGACGGGAACGATCACTGCCACACCTGATGTCAACATACACCCGAGGCAAATTGGCACTACCAGAAACAGTACACAGGCACTTATCTTGGGGCTCTTTGGTAGTCGGAGCAGCAGCAGCAGCAGCATGGTCACGGCTTTGCAGCCACTGCTTTCTTGCAGCACAGTCCTCTTTCTTGTGGCCTGTTTGGTCGCAGAAGAAGCATGTTAGCTCTCCGGAGCTCCTGAAACTCGCTCCACCATTACGACCGGCACCTCCTCGATTACCAACATGAGGCCTCGAGCCACCACTCTTATTACTAGAGGCTGCACGCTTTGGACAAAATCTCTTGATATGCCCAGGTTCTTTGCAGTGGTAACAAACAGCATTGGAGGCAGCAGCTATGCCAGTACTACTAGGCGAAGTTCTGGCTGCAACAAGAGCACGCACCGCATCCTAACAGCCCGAGATTGTAAACTCCTTTCCAGCAAAAGACAGGCGCACTTGACTAGCCATGTCTCTTGGGAGGCCTGCAAGCATCTGTGAGATCATAACAGCGTCCTTGTCATCTTTCAGATCAACTGTCCTTTACGGTGATGACAATACGAGTCAAGAGTGCTTGAATTTGTTTTGGAATCTATTCAGCCATCGTGCTGCTCATCCAGCGCAGCAATTATCTTCTGTCTGTACGATGTGTGTACGTGCATACCTGTGTGTGTGTGTGTGTGTGTGTGTGTGTGTGTGTGTGTGTGTGTGTGCGTGTGTGTGCGTGTGCGTGTGCGTGTGTGTGCTACAGGTACATTTCTCGTTTCTCGTATCAGAACAATTTACTCTCCGGCGAGAGTGGATACCACTTTACAAATCTTGTAAGTATCCGAATACTGCACTCTCTACACCATGTCTTTTTAAAGGGTTGCACTGTCCCAAGCACCTTTGAAAAGACATGTTCGTTTGTGTACGTGTGTGTACATGTTCGTTTGTGTACGTGTGTGTGTACATGTTCGTTTGTGTGCGTGTGTATGTGTACATGTATGTGTTGGTATGTGTATGAATGTGGACGTGTATGGTGTGGGCATGTGTGTGTGTGTGTGTACATGTGTATGTGTATGTGTGTACATGTATCTCTATGTGTATGTATGTACATGTGTATGTATGTGTATGTGTGTGCATGTGTATGTGTGTGCATGTGCATGTATTCGTGTGTCTACTGCAGTGTTGTGCTGCAGCATTTCTAGAGAATGCTAGTCCGGAGCAGTTACATGTTACGCAGGATGAGTTCGATGGGTATGTATTTATAGAATGTGCCATGCCTTATGCTATTGAAGAACACAGTGAACACGAAAAACGGGTGAAAATCCTTGGAAACTCGTTCCACGAGGCCCTTTTAGCAAGCCCTGTACATGCTAAGAGTATGTGGAGCCCAAACTTTGAGGTCATTTTTCTCGAAAGTTTGAAATGGGAGCAACATGTGATTTTTACCCGTCACGCTTTTAATGTCATGTAGTACATGTATGGAAAATAGGTGCACACTCTAGACACTCTAGACACTCTAGACACTCTAGACACTCCAGACACTCCAGACACTCTACACACTCTACACACTCTAGACACTCCAGACACTCCAGACACTCCAGACACTCTAGACACTCTAGACACTCTAGACACTCCAGACACTCCAGACACTCTAGACACTCTAGACACTCCAGACACTCCAGACACTCCAGACACTCTAGACACTCCAGACACTCCAGACACTCTAGACACTCTAGACACTCTAGTACATATACTACACGAAATAGTTGCACAGAAAACTAATCTGCATGTGAACTGCTTGCTGAACATGTTGAACTACCTGTGTGTAAGAGCATCTTGATTAGCCTGTATGCATAGATTTACACAAAGTGTGAGTTACGAAGTCTGAAGAAAATGTTGAACGGTCTCTGCTGGGATGACGACTACACCATAGCTCAGTGGTTAGAGCATCGCTAGCTACAAGCGAGGGTCCCTGCTTCGAGTCTTGGTGGTGACAGTCAATTTTTTCTTCAGACTTTTCCCATTTGTGTCTTTCCCTCCAACTAGTCGAGATTTACACAGACATGCACATAATTATATCCACAGGTACGCACGGATAGACACGGATATGCATGGATACACACGGATATGCACAGATTTACACAGACATGCAGTGTGCACGGATGCGCACGGATGGATGCATACGGATAGGACAGTACAAAAAAAACTATTGCATAGGCATAGGCACATCATGTGACCATTGCTATGCCTGCCATGCTTGTTTGTGTTGTGGTCTGTCAGTATGATGAGTCACCATCAGAAGAAGACAGCAGTTGCTACTGGTGCTGTGGACGAAGTAGACGCGTTTACACTGCGCGAGCAATCTCCGGCTCTGCAGTCATTACATGTAAGTGACCTGCAGTGCAGGACAGCGACATGGTGTACCTAACAATACACTTGCATGTATTGCCAAGTGGGTCATGCTATTGTTGATACACTGTTACACTGTTACACTGTACTTGTTAGGGGTATCATTGCTAATGAAGGTCACTATACTACTACTACTACTACTACTACTACTACTACTACTACTACTACTACTACTACTACTACTACTACTACTGTGTGTACATGCATGCGTGTGTGTGTGTGTGTGTGTGTGTGTGCGCGCGTGCGCGTGTGTGCATGTGTGGATATATGTGCACGTGTGTATGTGCGCTTGCATGTTCACGCACGCATGTGTGCAGGTGCGTGTGTGATACACGTAATTGTAAAGATGACGGGATTCTGCCAAACCTTGTGCTGTAAACACAGTACTGCTGACCTTTGGGAATAACGTGTCTGGCCTTGTAGGAAGTACAGTGTACTACGTACGGAGACACTAGGGAGGTTCTGCTCTACGTTTTGGGAACGCGACGCAAAGAATCACGCGAACTTTCTTCGCGTTCCCGTAACGTAAAGAAATCCTGTTCTGCTCTACGTTTCACCTAGAGAAGTCACGTGGAATGTGTACTGGGATTTTCCCCTTCCATATTTGGCAATTTTCTGCATGGCAGTAATCGATACCCAGCAAATCCGTACGCATTTTCTCTGCGTGTGCCACAACGTAGAGAACCTCATCTCCGCGTAGAAATCTGGAGCCAAAACACGCGAAGCCGTAGACTCTAACCCAGACACCTGCTCTCTACGTGATTTCTCTACGTTTCACGTATAGCAGAACCTCCCTATTATTTCCGACGTGACGCGAAAGTTCAGCTCGCGTTATTTGGCTTGCGCATCGAAAAACAACGCGAGTGACCTGCAGCAAAACAGATTGAATTTCCGCAACCCCACCGAAGTTTGTTGTCCCTATAAATTCTTAACCAAAATTATGCGAAATCCTGGTCCAGAAAATTGAAAGCTCCAAACGGTACGGGGACAGCATACAGTTACTTTCTCTCTGTTGTGCCGTTCTTTTCCCTGCTCTGTGCATGTCCGTGTGTGTGTGTGTGCAGCAATCTTTGCAGCGCTTGATTGGGCTGACTCATCGTCAGGACAAACAGATTGAAGAGTTCCAGCAGCTAAAGAAGGACTTTGCCCTCTTCCGTGCCAATGTAGTAGCACAGGTAAGTATTCACTTCTACTACATGTAGGTGTGCAGGTCACTTCTACTACAGTCCATTCATTGGAAACTGGCACCCTAACTTTTTGGTGTCTCTCTCACATAGTTGTAGATATCGTGAAAACAACAGTACATCCTGCATTGTGTGACCCGTGCAATTACTCCTTGCCACATTTGAGGCCAGAAAAGTCCAAGAACAGGGAAATAGAAATTCAGCCAGGTTTTACCAAATTAGGACAGGTATGCCATGGCAAAATGTATGGAGAAGCATATCCAAAACCCAGATTTTTTAGATTTAAAGTGGGTTTTTGATCCTCAATTCAGCCCAAATCCGACTTTCAAAAGCCAGCAGGCCAGTGTCCGATGAATGGACTGTATACATGTAGGTGTGCAGGTCACTTCTACTATACATGTAGGTGTGCAGGTGTGCAGGTATACATGTAGGTGTGCATTCTACTATACAATGTCATGTAGGTGTAGGTGTGCAGGTATACATGTAGGTGTGTAGGTGTGCAGGTGTGACATTTGGGCTTGATGAAAATGTATGGTGTATGTTTGTCCCGTCCGGCAACACAAATAACCCGATTTTTCGGTGTGTGTGCGTCTGTGTAGAAGAGGTAACGGTGTAAACATGAGTGAAACGAACACACACACACACACCGAAAGATCTTGTTATGTGTGTTGCCGGACGGGACGTGGCCTCCAGAGTTTCATGTTCCTGTGCAGCAGAATTCACATGGCGTGTCTGCAGTATTAGTTAGTGGCTGGTGGTGTTGCTGTTGGGTGCATTCTGCTTAGGGGTTTTCATTATTCTCCCGAAGAGAATTGGTTTGCTTGCTGACAACCCTGGACGCCAAGTTGTCTGTAGAATGTGTGAATGTCGTGGTGTGCGGCCCATTGTCAGTGTACAGAGAATCCTATCTGAACTCCTGCTCTCTACCCGCACAACTCAGAGCGGGTAGAGAGTCCCCTTCTTGTTTGACATGTGCAGTTGTTGTCCTCTCGTCTTGCTGTATCAGGTGGATGAAGCCCTGAAGCCGATGGCACCACCACCACCAGCTGTCAAGGCCACGGAATCAGACGTGTAGGATTTATAACTGCTAGGACTACCTGGGGTAAACCATTCTTGTGTGTGCTTGTCTGTAGTTTTGCTTGTCTGTAGTTTTGTAAATATTGCACATATGCTTGCTTGCTGCCTTTCTTGCTTTTCCGCTGTCAACTGTAAATATTTTATCGAAATTGTGAATGTGTAAATATCCCATATCCATATCAAAATACGCACATTTTTTTATTACACTTTTACATCCCTGAGTTACCAGTAACTTGGCTACAGGTCCATGTAGGTATAAATTCTTTTTTATCCTTTCAAATTCTGAATGGTGCCTTACTATCTATATTTGTTTGAACATCTGTAATTTAAAACAAAAATGCTACTTTTTCGCAAGTTGTCCGGTCAGGGACCGTCTGAATAAACGAATACTACACACAAAGTGCCAGTGGTTGTGATTGAAGACCTGCCATGCAGACTATGCTACCACCACCTTACACCATGCTGTTATTCATTATGGTCAGCATCATGATCATCAGACATGTGCACTAATAAATTAATATCAAGTTAGCTTAATGATTAGGTTGTTAACCCTTTGCGGTGCATCAGTCATTAACGACTGATATTGTGTACGTACCGTAAAACTGTCGTAACTCCATCGATTTTAGTCCTGTTGCAAATATCGAAATATGTAGATCAAAGAGGAAGCTCCAAGCTTTCCAATGGTGTAATCGCTTTTGCGATAGGAGAAACGATGATAAAGATATTTTAATATTGGTGGTTAGCTCGAGTCAAGTCAAAGTAGTGGAGCCCTAGATTAGGAACCACCATCACCAATGATGGCAGAGGTGTTAGCAACAGTACCAGAAATGGCGGTGTCACGAGTGAGTGAACAATGCGAAAAAACCCGAAAGTGGAGAGAACAGATATGGCGAGTCCTGGCAATAAAAAGCTGAAAGCTGGTGGAAAAGCTGAGAAATAAAATAGTGTATGTGAAGGACAGCTTCAAAAGAAGAATAAGACCAAGTCAGAATCCTGCTGACACTTGGGGAATAAAGAGAACTACTAGTCCTTCATCTCACACCGGAGTACTTTGTGTAAACGAAGGATGAGTGAAGCCAAGGAGGTGTGCTGTTGCTTTTCCAAACAGTGAGAAAAAGTGCACACAAACCCTATACTGAAAAATGCATTTTAAAAAGATAGCGTGGGGAGGCACACAACACATACGCAAACCATACCAATCATGGCAAAGAGTGAGCAGATACACACATACAATGATACAATACACAGTGTAGCACACACATCTACAGCACTACACACTAACACGAGTACCACACAGTGAAAACACTCACAAGCGTATCAAGAAGTTGGGAGGATCCCACAAACACACATACACATGTACACACACACACACACACAAACACACATATGTACACACATATACACACGAGTGCACGCACACACACACACACGCGCACACACACACACGCGCACACACACGCACACACACACACACACACACACACACACACACACACACACACACAAGTGCATGCGCATGCACACGCACGCACACACACACACACACACAAGTGGTTGGACGTTCACCTGTGACTATTCCAGTCTAGCAGGAACTGCTTGTGTCCACTCGGTAGTGTGCGAACACCAAGTACTTTGTAGGAGGATGTTGGCTGCCCGCCTAATGCCCAGTCAGCAGCATGTGAGTGGCTTCGCTCAGTACCACGGTGTACAGTGGGCAAAACAGACAGGGCTGCTCTAGGACACATGTCACAATCGTCTCTTGCATCAGGACCAGCAGATAGGGTAGGACCACGCATACATTGCGATTCACTGGGTGGTCGAGCAGCAGCAGCAGCAGCTGATGGCCTGTCACTTGTGCTAGCTGGGGTGGCTTGTTTCTGTGCAGCGGGTTTCGGCGTAGCAGTTTTCTGCGCAGCGGACTTCGGTGTACTTGTAGCAGTTTTCTGCACAGCAGGCTTCGGTGCAGCAGTTTTCTGCACAGCAGGTTTCGGCGTAGCAGTGCTTGTAGCAGCTGCAGCAACAGGAGTTTGAACTACACTAGTTCTACCATTACAAGTCTGCACAGGTGCAGGAGCAGCAGCAGCAAGAGCACCGATAGGGTGAACAGTACGTTTGTTCGTACCAGACTCACTGCTAGTGTTGTTGATGCTAATAGCTAAGCTGCCAGTGGCTGAAGACACGTTGCTGCTGTTCTGTGTAGAACTGGCAGTGGAGTGTTGGCGATTGAATGCGGCCACCAACGCTGTTGTTGTGCCTGCTGCTGCTGCTGCCAGCGGCGGTGGCTTGCCAGCTGACTTAACTGGAGACTTAGTGAAGGCAGATTTATTACTGGCAATGAATTTCTCCGACTTGCCTCCCTGCACCATTGCAGAAGAGAGAGAGAGAGAGAGAGAGAGAGAGAGAGAGAGAGAGAGAGAGAGAGAGAGAGAGAGAGAGAGAGAGAGAGAGAGAGAGAGAGAGAGAGAGAGAGAAAGAGAGAGAGAGAGAGAGAGAGAGAGAGAGAGAGAGAGAGAGAGAGAAAGAAAGAGAGGAGAGAAAGAAAGAGAGGAGAGAGAGAAAGAGAGGAGAGAGAGAAAGAGAGGAGAGAGAGAAAGAGAGGAGAGAGAGAGAGAAGAGAGAGGAGAGAGAGGAGAGAGAGGAGAGAGAGAGGAGAGAGAGGAGAGAGAGAGAGAGAGAGAGAGAGAGAGAGAGAGAGAGAGAGAGAGAGAGAGAGAGAGAGAGAGAGAGAGAGAGAGAGGAGAGAGAGGAGAAGAGAGAGAGAGGAGAGGAGAGGAGAGGAGAGGAGAGAGAGAGAGAGAGAGAGAGAGAAAGAGAGAGAGAGAGAAAGAGGAGAAAGTGGAGAGAGAGAGAGAGAGAGAGAGAGAGAGAGAGAGAGAGAGAGAGAGAGAGAGAGAGAGAGAAGAGAGAGAGAGATAGAGAGAGAGAGAGGTGCTTGCATGACACACATAAAGGAGGTCAATGCTGAACTGTTTTCACAACTGTGTCAGCAGTACATATACATATACATGTATACGGTATCAGATACGAGAATATGAACCAAATTAGGTGTATGCATGCAGCAGAGTAGGGTTGAGAGGGAGTGTACACCCGGTGCGTAACTTCTGGCGGGATACTCGGAATTTTTGACTCCATTTCGGGGTCAGCAGGATTGAGTCCATGAATTCTGATGGTGACAGCTATGTAATCGAAAGATTCTATTGACTCGGGCACACTTCTTTCATTTTGCCATTATTTCAAAACAACAGTGCAAGGATTCGTGAGAATCTAACCTGGAAATACAGTACTTAGTAAGGAGTACGTCATTTCAACCGGCCGAGATTTTCTTGTTCTAATTTCATGTTTCAAAACAAAACGAGGTTTGTGTTGAAGTGAACCAACATGAGCTGAGTCCGCAGGTTCAGCTTACACCACTGATGTCCATCAGTGCGTACAGTACGGACAGGGGTGCTGGCTTCCTACCTACTTTTTGAAGTAGTACCAGCATTTCAGTGAAAAATAATACAAGACTGAGCCAGTATCAGGTACCACATGCGTGCAGTCTTGGCCTAACCACAACCACAACCAGCAACGCCATCGCCACCACCACTGACCGCAGCAGCAAGGACAACAAAATTACAAAACAGCAATAACAAGAACAATAAAGCAAGTAGCACTGCAAACAGGCTGGACAGCTGTACCTTGGTAGTAGGAGTGCTAGCAGCAGAATCACCAACACAAGGTGCTGATGCAGACGTTGCAGATGTTGGTGTGCTTGTTGCTGCTGCTGTTGCGGCCGGTGGAAACGCTGATGTAGATATAGAGATACGACTGGTAGGAGCATCAGCAGACTTCCTCGCACAGCCCTGTGGTATGACCATCAGCTTGCCACCAGTTAACACACCAGTCTTTACAGCTGCAGGTGATGATTGAGACCGGTCATGGCAAATACTTGGTGTGGACGGTAACGAGAACGCTCGCTTGCTCTCTGGACTGAGACTGTCTTCAGAGTTCTCTAGCTTGCCTAGAGGCGAGGTCTGAGAGGTTAGCATTGTGGAACGAGGCGCTCGTTTCCGTTTATTACTTGGGATGTTTGGTGAATGATCCTTGGAAAGTGTAAACCTATACATCGGGCCACACAGATAAAAAGCAGTGGTAGCAACAGCAGTGGCGGCAGCCAGCAAACACGTTATTTAGGAAAGTCATACAGTTAGGCATAACCTCATTAGCCACTCTCATGAGTACCTTGAGCCTGGCCACACATCAACTGTTACTCGACACAAAGTTTTTAATACGATCAGCAAAATGCGAGAACGACAATGGACAAACACCCCAACCAACTGTTACTGCTACTGCATACATGTAAGTACGACAAATCAAGTTACATCAGCTAAACGCCACGTTGCTGCCAACAGCATTTTGTAGATTTGCCAAGAAGAACAAAACACAACGATGAAAGGATGTGAACAACGATGTTATTCAAGCTATGGCTACAGATACATCTACATTCTACTATCGCAACAAATGATGAAATTACATTCTTGGAAGTTTGGAGGCGACTGTTAAAATCCTACTTGCTGATTTGTTGTCGTCGACAGGTCTTCTGTCTTGTCATTTGGCGTTGTTGTTCAGCACGTCGTGCTTTGTGGTGGCTGCGTTTCTGTGAGCTCATGCATTATTCCCATGTTGTTTTAGTGTTGGTACAAGTAGCTTAGTGAAAAGACATGTGGTACTGCAGTCCCTGCGTGCTTTCCTGTTGCGAGGTTGGATTCTGGGAGTGCATGGCCGTTGGAGAATTCAATATGCATGTGTGAATATTTCCCCAAGGGATTTTTGATGGATAACTTCATATACTGTCTTTATTCAAGACCTCTTGTTTGCACTTGGGGACATGTTCTAGACTTCTAGCAGACTATGGTGGTAGTGTGCCTCACATACTATCAGAACGTGCCCTCACTGCTACTGGCCCTTGAACATGCCTAGATTTTGGCTACCATTGGATTGGCTGAATTGATCAATCTATGCGGGTCACCAGTCACCGGTGTGGTGGGCAAACGGTACAAGGCAGTTGAGATTGGAGTTGGTTTTTTCTTCTTCTCTCCCCTGAACACTATCTGCGTTTTCAAGGCGGATACGAAGCCAGTAGCAGCCTTCTATCCCAGATGTGTCATACTGCAGTACATGTAGACTCCGGCACGTTAAAAAAAACGACCCATAACCAGAGCTGTGCCGGTAGCACACACCGAGAATCATTTCGTAATGGGCAATAGGCCGAAGAGCTGTGTCTTACCTGTACAGATTGGCGGCAGTGGGTAAATTGTCGGGATGGTATGGGATAGGCGACACACCGTGAGATACACCTTTAGTGTCAGGCTGCGGGGCCGGCACGTTCTTGTCAGCAAAGCGAAACAGTGACATACGCTTGTTGTAGTCACGACCACTCCAGAACCTGGCACACACACCCACACACAATGACAAGGGAAGAAATCATCACATGGAATTGTTCCTCCAGGATTGTTGCAAACAGCAAACATCAGAAATTATGCAGAATACAATACAACCATACGTCATAAAAGAAATCAGTAAGGAAAATCTTACAAATCACTTCGCTCCAGTAATGCCTTCAACAAACTACGGTGTTTTTCGTCTGCGTTGAACTGCCGCTAATGGGAACAAGAGAGAGGACAAAGGAAAAGAGGAGAAGACAATTTAGGTTACAAGTTACAAAAAACACAAACACACACACACATTCTGACAAATCACCTCCCAAAGCGTTGCTCAGGGGTGGATGGAGTATTTGATGTCAATCAGGAAAGAACGACGATTCTTACAGATACATGTACAAACGAACTGGGTGCACAATTGAGGTTCCAGTGTGTAATGACCGTCACTTACATCTCCCCATGCAAAGAGGCTCCAGTGCTCATCTAGAAAAGGCACAACGTCAACCCAGAAGTCCAGCCAGCATCTACGCCGTCCATTCTCAAAGCAGTGCTTCAGCGATGTCAGGTTGAAGAAGATTAGTAAGGCCACATCAATCCTAACCCAGGAAGTACACAACAATGCAAAACACAACACAGGTAACTAGAAAGAAAGAAAAACAAAAGCTAAGTGTAAGACATGCCATCCTGCACCATTGGTATAATATAAGAACACAGCACACTCTGTCACAGCACACACACAGCCCCCCCCCCCCCCCCCACCATTGGTATAATATAAGAACACAGCACACACACACACACAGCCCCCCCCCCCCCCCCCCCGCACACACACACACACGCACACCATGTACGCTCATTGCAAGAGAAGCATGCAAATCTACCGCTGCACATTCTGATGAGTGCATACACAATACGATGCCAAGGTGAAGTGCATACACAATACGATGCCAAGGTGAAGTGCATAAACAATACGATGCCAAGGTGAAGTGCTTGCACAGCTCTAGAATTATCATCTACTGAACTTACCATTGAAAAGCATAGCGATGTCGTAATTCCGTTGATTGTGTGCAAACGGCACATGTTATTGTGTAAAAGCTGCATGGAGATACAAACACAGGCAGGAGACATCAGTTAGGAAACTAGAAGCAAGCAAGGTTAGGAAACAGATAAGAATATACACAAGGTGATATGGTAAAGGTGAGGTAGGGAACACAACCACAGGTGATCACAGGTAATCAGAGTCTCAACAACTGTCAGTAAGGTTACACAATCATTCACACACATGCATGTAAGCAGCAACACTTCTATGCAAGTGCATGCCCAAGGACGAGGTATGCATACATGCGTGTGTGAGTGTAGACACAATGAAACATGCCCCCCCCCCCCCCCCCTCCCCACACACACACACAGACACACACCTGGGTATCACAGAATACTCACCGACATCCAAGCATTGGGATGTGTTGTCCTTTTGATTTGAGACAAGCTACATCCAAAAAGGAATACCGGCAGACAATGCTAATCAGCTACAACAATTAAAAGCAGTACTTAGCAGCACATCGTTTGGGCAATGCACAAGAACATGTTTGTAACTGACATGCGCTGAAGCTGGCCAATCCAAGACTTAGCTATACCTAAGCAGTGCAGTTGACACATGCCATGACAATGTTGCTCTTCGGTAAGACAACACGGAGAGCGGTCAAGTCCTACGCGTCACTATTGGCCTAGTTTAAATATGTCTGTGCACAGCGGTGGCAAGTAACATTAGCAAGTCTCTCACACAGCCAGCATGTCCAGACTAGACTAGACTGGTAACATTACAGAATGTGAAAGACAAACCCCTACAGACATTACCTTGATGAAACCACTGCAAGCAACTGACACATTGTAGCATGCTATATTCCCAACTGCAACAAGGCACACAAATACACACATGTACACACAGGCAGGTATAATAACTGAGCCGTGATCAGCTAAAACCGACCTCTAGCTTTTTTTTCCAGAAAAAAAGGAGAAAATCATGATCTTTGTAGAATTGCGGAAAATGGACCTTTTCATACAAGAAAGGAGACGTCTCCTTGCTGATGCCATCGTTACATCATGCAGCCAAAACACCACACTTTTGCACGGAACTCAAGTTTGTATACCCAAAATTTAGAGTTTGTGTCTGCACTGGAATGAATGAAGCTAAACCGGGTATGTTGGTATGAGAGATTGTGTATTTTGGTACATAAGCACAGGGCATGCTGCAGACAAGTTACGCAATGAGGGCAGAGCGTTGCGCACTGAACCAGTCACAAACTGTCCTGCAGATATACACGTGGCGAAAGTATGGCAGAGAAGGCACTGCGTTGAAAACAGTGCTCCTGTCTACAACCATCATCGCTCTGCCAACCGATGATGGTTGTAGTCAGGAGCACTGTTTTCAACACAGTGCGTCCGCCGCCTTGCAACATGCCGTCATACTTCACCATGTTATCTACCAAACAAGGCTTACTTCGTTTGCAGTACATAACTTATACCAGATACACATGTGTAAACACACATAGCCAGTAATGAGTATCACCTACCTGCCTTTCTCGCCACAATAGCAATAAACCTTTTCCAGATTTTCTCGATGACCGTCCTCCCAGTGCAGAGATTCCAGCTGCACACAGAGAGAGAGACACTGACACAACTTATACAGTGTATCCGTCTACCCAGCAAAGCCAACATGGCAGTGTGCGTGTGTGTGTGAGAGTGTGAGAGTGTGTGTGTGTGTGTGTGTGTGTGTGTATGAGAGTGTGAGTGAGTATGTGATGTGTGATGTGTGTGGTGTGTGTGGTGTGTGTGTGTGTGTGTGTGGACGGTGTGACTAAAATGATGGTACTTACTACTTTGGCTCCGCAGTTACCCTACGCCCAATTTCATCCACATGAGCCAAGCTAACAATGAGATGCGCTGGTGTACAAACTACAAAGCCAGGTGAACATGAAAAAGAGTATTACCTTGGCACCTACCTTATAAGGAAATGCACAAGATCCAGTTGATTGTGACTGTTGACTCTGGTGCTGCTCTTGTACATGTACTACACACACACACACACACACACACACACGCACACACACACACACATGCACACAAACATGCACACACACACACACACACACATGCACACCCACACACACACAAACACACACACACACACATTAACTACAACACACAGCAGCTTGCGGTTAGGAGGGTGCTGGCCAGCGAAGTGAGAGGCTACAGAGAGAGCAGGATCTTGGCGGGGCCAAGAGGATAGTCACGTCCAAGGGACGAAGACCGAGAGCCCTGAGTAGCCGGAAATGAGCATGGCCAACACCCCTTTATTTACTTTATCAAAGTAAATGAGAGATGAGAAATGGGAGGTGGGTGGGTGAAACACAATGATCTGACAAGAGTGATCCGCTCACAGAACGAATCGAAATATAATACACACTACGAGCAAGGAAGAATGATTGTCGCAGAGAACGGATCGAAAATATATAGCAGAGCAAACTCTAGCAAGACATGCATGCAACGATGCATGCCACCCACGTTAAGCTACGAGCAAGCGTCATCATAACGCAGCCACACGCCTTCCACATCGGAGGCGAGCGACACGCATGAATGCCAAACTTTAGTATGACACGTTGAGTGCCTACGACGCATGCCGCCTACGTTGAGCGTCGCGCATGAATGAATGTCGCGTTGAGTGTCACGTTGTATGACACATAGAATGCCATGATGCATAGAGTACCATGTGAGCACGTACAGCGCACGTTCATAGCAGCATAGTTTGAGTGGTAGCACGGAAGCAGCCGCGTGCACCCATTAATCTGCATTATTACTATAATGCTACATTAACTACAACACACAGCAGCTTGCGGTTAGGAGGGTGCTGGCCAGCGAAGTGAGAGGCTACAGAGAGAGCAGGATCTTGGCGGGGCCAAGAGGATAGTCACGTCCAAGGGACGAAGACCGAGAGCCCTGAGTAGCCGGAAATGAGCATGGCCCATTGTGGCCAGCAAGCCTCGAACCGAAGCAACCGTGAGCGGGATTAAAGACATAGACACTGCCGGAGCAGGATCCTGGCGGAGCCAAGAGAGAGGTCAGAGAGAGGTCACTGCCATTAATCTGCATTATTACTATAATGCTAAATTAACTACAACACACAGCAGCTTGCGGTTAGGAGGGTGCTGGCCAGCGAAGTGAGAGGCTACAGAGAGAGCAGGATCTTGGCGGAGCCAAGAGGATAGTCACGTCCAAGGGACGAAGACCGAGAGCCCTGAGTAGCCGGAAATGAGCATGGCCCATTGTGGCCAGCAAGCCTCGTACCGAAGCAACCGTGAGCGGGATTAAAGACATAGACACTGCCGGAGCAGGATCTTGGCGGAGCCAAGAGAGAGGTCAGAGAGAGGTCACTGCCGGAGCAGGAGGGATCACTGCCAGAGCAGGATCTTGGCGGGTAACCACCAGCCACGGGTAGTTGAGATGGTGGTGGAGCTGAACGTGTCCGAGAACGTCTTGGAATTGCCTGAGAACGTCTTGGAATAGCCGGTGGCAATCGTGCACGTTGCCCCGCTGTAGCCACTGTCACATTAGCAGCCTTGCTAGCGTTCGGCCTTCGACTGCTTGAGTGTGGCAATGATTCATGTCTCGTTGACATGGAGACGAGGCAAGGAAATAGAAAGGCAGATAGACACAGAAACAGACAGAAAAGCAGACAAACAGACACAAAACAGACAGACAGACAAACACACAAACAGACAGAGAATTCAGGGTCAGCCGGGTAGACACTGCCGAAGCAGAATGTTGGCGGAGCCAAGTATCTACAAGAGTCTGCGTCCGAGGGACGGCGACCGAGGGCCCTGAGTAAAGAGAGGGGTCACTGCCGGAGCAGGATCTTGGCAGGGCCAAGAGAGAGGTCAGACAAAAGTAATACGTAGACACTGCCGGAGCAGAATGTTGGCGGAGCCAAGTATCTACGAGAGAGGATTCAGGGTCGGCCGGGTAGACACTGCCGAAGCAGAATGTTGGCGGAGCCAAGTATCTACAAGAGTCTGCGTCCGAGGGACGGCGACCGAGGGCCCTGAGTAAAGAGAGGGGTCACTGCCGGAGCAGGATCTTGGCAGGGCCAAGAGAGAGGTCAGACAAGAGATATACGTAGACACTGCCGGAGCAGAATGTTGGCGGAGCCAAGTATCTACGAGAGAGGATTCAGGGTCGGCCGGGTAGACACTGCCGAAGCAGAATGTTGGCGGAGCCAAGTATCTACAAGAGTCTGCGTCCGAGGGACGGCGACCGAGGGCCCTGAGTAAAGAGAGGGATCACTGCCGGAGCAGGATCTTGGCAGGGCCAAAAAAGAGGTCAGACAAGAGTAATACGTAGACACTGCCGGAGCAGAATGTTGGCGGAGCCAAGTATCTACGAGAGAGGATTCAGGGTCGGCCGGGTAGACACTGCCGAAGCAGAATGTTGGCGGAGCCAAGTATCTACAAGAGTCTGCGTCCGAGGGACGGCGACCGAGGGCCCTGAGTAAAGAGAGGGATCACTGCCGGAGCAGGATCTTGGCAGGGCCAAGAGAGAGGTCAGACAAGAGTAATACGTAGACACTGCCGGAGCAGAATGTTGGCGGAGCCAAGTATCTACGAGAGAGGATTCAGGGTCGGCCGGGTAGACACTGCCGAAGCAGAATGTTGGCGGAGCCAAGTATCTACAAGAGTCTGCGTCCGAGGGACGGCGACCGAGGGCCCTGAGTAAAGAGAGGGGTCACTGCCGGAGCAGGATCTTGGCAGGGCCAAGAGAGAGGTCAGACAAGAGATATACGTAGACACTGCCGGAGCAGAATGTTGGCGGAGCCAAGTATCTACGAGAGGTCAGAGAGGGGTCACTGCCGGAGCAGGATCTTGGCGGAGCCAAGGGAGGAGTCAGAGAGGGGGCACTGCAGAGAGAGATCTTGGCGGAGCCAAGAGAGGGACGAGGACAAAAAGCCCCCTGGGTAGCTAGGCATTAAATGTGTGTGGATTGAGACAGCATGTGGTAAAGAGGACACTGACAAGAGTTCAAGCAACACGGATGAGAACCAGTAAGACAGTTACCTTGATGATCTCCTTGGCGGTGTCCCTCATTTCATGCCGGATAAGTGCTCGTGCAGCAAAGGGAGCTTGCCCAAATAGAAGGACGAACATTGCTGCGGTGATTGGCTAGACCATGGTGTCAGGTCGCGCCGCAGCTGTGGGAGCAAAGGTTCTGGAGTCATCCAACTTGGTCCGGGCACGGAGCATCGATGGTATTGGAGGTGACTGGCAGGTGTGATGCTCGAAACAGTAAGTAGTACTGGACACAAGTAGAGGGTGTAGATGAGTGCCATGACCAGAGAAGAACTGAACGGCTTGTGCCAACCTTCAATACGTTGACAGAGTCTGGTGCCACCAGCTCAGGGTCGTCCTTGACTGAGGTTGAGAGGTGCAGCATTCTGTGAGATGAACTCAGATGTGGCCTTGACAAGGTCAGACAGGCAGGGCATAATAACGTACGGGTGGGTAGCGAATGTGAGTTGGCCTAGAAGGCAGGCGAGTTCGTGCTTGAGGACGCAACGCCTGTCAGTGTGGCAGAGACTAAATGACGTCGGGCCAGAGAGGTTGAGGTTATACTGGAAAACTACATAAATGGTTGGACAAGAGTGGCCCAAGCAAATCTGCTGTTGGACTGAACACTTGAATACTTGCAACACGTCAATTGCTGGTTATACACACTGGTTGGGATGGCAGTGTGAACTGCAACAGTGCTAACCCCCCATACTAACTGGAGGAGACTGCAACAGCATGGGCATAAGCCAGCCTGTGAGTACGTGGGTGGTGCACCTCGAAAGTGACAGGCACTAGCACCAGATTGATTGATGCACTATGGATGTGTGTGTGTGGGAGTTCCTTACCCCACCAATGACAAGTAGACCAGGTAATAGCAGTACTTGATGGATTGATGACAGGGCTGTACCTGGGTGCAGACGAAGAACTGGATGCTGCTGGACTGGATGCTGCTGGTCGAAGCATGCTCCAAGTATGTACACAGTACTGAGTAACTTGGTGTGGAGTTGCATAGCCTGGGGTTGCAGAACTTACTTTGAAGAAGAAAGATAGATTATCGCTGGCAAACAGTTCCCTTCTGGCAATGCTAGGGCCAGTCGCTGGCAAACAGTTCCCTTTTGGCAATGCTAGGGCCAGGGCGTTGTAAACTCTTGGCCAGCACAATGCCTAGCCCAAACGACTGCATGGGGCTAAACGGTTGTGTGTTAAATGAACCAGCTGTCATACCGTCCTTGCAGCAGCGTTGGAAACAGTCAGAAATATATCAGCTGCCACAGACTGGGCTCAATGATGTCCCACTTCAGTGATGGATCGGCAGCAGCCTTGATGCGGAAGTGACAGGACAGCAACTCCACTATCCTGTGCGAAGCAATGTCGACCATGATCTGGACCAAGACGGTGAAGGCCTCAACCCATGTCGCAAGATCATGAACATGGCTTCTCTTGCTGGGATTAACGCTGACTCGCGTTCTCTGCTGCCTGCTCCGCTCACCGCGCTCGGGGTAGAATGGCAGGATTCAGCGTGGTGAAGTACACTGAAACAGGCGATCGGCGAGGAATTATTCAAACCGAAGAGCGCGCAAAATACAAACTGTGAAAACACTGAAACAGGTAACCTGGCTCATGATCGTGTAGGCTTCCACCCACGTCGCAAGGTGGTGAACGTGCCTGCTCTTGCTGCGGGCAGCGCCGTCCTCGACCACCCGCAACGGGCCCCCATCCGACGACTCTCAACGGAGCACGTTCTGTGTGCGGGCGTGCGGCACAGAGCAAGACACAGAGGGCAAGAGCTAACTCAATTCCACGAACTCACCCATCAAAATCCGCTCGCGATGTTTAGCTCCCAGGTGGGCGGCGAACGACTTGCTGCTACCTGAGCTGGCTGGGAGAGGAGTCGAGTTCGTATGACTATGAGGCAGAGAATCGGGAGCCATGGCCGCCAGAAGTGTTCTCTGTTGCCTGCTCTGCTCGCCGTGCTGTGCTCGCTGCAGACTCGCAGGGATCAGCGTGATGAACTTGGGCCTGAATCAGGCGATCAACGAGGGCAGCCGTCTGGCCCGAAGTATCCAAATCCAACGGCGAGAGTTTGCTGCGGAGACGCGGAACCGTCATGGCGCGGATTTCGTCGTCAGTATAGGCAGCCATGGCGTCGCGAAAACAAGGATAAGAACGAGTCAAAGCACAACGGCGGCGAGGAGCGAATAAACTCACCAACTGTGAAACACTACGAGCAAACACAATGATCTGACAAGAGTGATCCGCTCACAGAACGAATCGAAATATAATACACACTACGAGCAAGGAAGAATGATTGTCGCAGAGAACGGATCGAAAATATATAGCAGAGCAAACTCTAGCAAGACATGCATGCAACGATGCATGCCACCCACGTTAAGCTACGAGCAAGCGTCATCATAACGCAGCCACACGCCTTCCACATCGGAGGCGAGCGACACGCATGAATGCCAAACTTTAGTATGACACGTTGAGTGCCTACGACGCATGCCGCCTACGTTGAGCGTCGCGCATGAATGAATGTCGCGTTGAGTGTCACGTTGTATGACACATAGAATGCCATGATGCATAGAGTACCATGTGAGCACGTACAGCGCACGTTCATAGCAGCATAGTTTGAGTGGTAGCACGGAAGCAGCCGCGTGCACCCATTAATCTGCATTATTACTATAATGCTACACACACACACACGCACACACACACACACACACACACATCCATGCACACCCACACCCACACAAACAGTCAAATAACATAATTATTGAACAATCACTGTACTTGTACAATTGTGCAGGACACCAGTCCACCAGTCTGTCTCATAGTGCTCAATATTCCCTCAAGGCATCCTTTACCAGCTGGCAGCATACTCTTCCACTCTCTCAGCAATGTCGAGATCCTCTACCATGATCTAGGCCTCAGTATTGATCTCGCCGACATAGGCACACTCCGTTGCACGGTGACCCGCCACACAGCCACACAGACATTGTCCTACACTGTCCCCCACAAACACTATCAGTAACTGACTGAATAACATCATGCTGCATAGTAACCAACCAGCACCAAAAAATGAAAACAATGATGAACAGATGGCATAGAACCAGGACCGGACAAGAAGCTTACCAGGCGAGTTGTCACCCACATCAGCTATAGGTGGGGCTTCTCCCTCACAAGATATCTGCACGACAAGACAAATACAGAGTACATGTATATGTATTTCACAAAAGATAGGGGGGGGGGGGGGGGGACCACAGTCCTAGCAAGTACCTGCATTGTTTCTGTAAAAGTAATGAATATGAATGATGGGGAAAGAACACAAACACAGCTTGCTGTGGATTTAAGAGACAGATTCAGTTGTGATGATCATACAGTGGGAAGTGAGAAGCCGCGAAAAACGTGTGATAACAACAGCAACAGCTAGCCTGCTAACATTAGTACATGTAGTCCATCACTAAGATTTATGCAGCAGTGTGTATCTCACCTCAGCATTCCCACACACAGCACAGAACCAGGGTAGATCAGCAGATTCAATGAATTCCGGACCAATGACTGGATCATGGCATGACTGGTGATAGCCTACACATGCGCCCACACCCACATCCACACATGACAACAAACATGCACACACATACACATCCAGGCACACAGAACACACACAGAAACATACACAGACAGACAAACACACACAGACACAGAACATAATCTAAACATATCATATACTGATAGTACACGTGTATTCCTGGCACCAACATAAATACACCACTACTTTAGTCCAGTGCCACTGCAATCTGTAAGGCAGGTGCAAGTTCTTCGAAAGGTTTTTACTCAACTAAAACGTGTGCCACGAATACAACAATCTAACAATCACATTGTGTGCGTATGTGGCTGCTATTGGTTAAGAATAGTTGATCTCGAGTCCACGACATGCTGCATGCTCACCTGTATGCACTGCTGTCTGCGTGTCAGAAAGTGCTCAAGTTACTACAGTGCTAGAACATGCACATGCAGTCATGCCCACTGCAATGCATACAGTAGTCAGCAGTACCATGTGCAATGTACATGTACTGGCAAGAATGTACATTGTGAGTGGAAGTTCTCTGAGCTGTACTGTTCAGCCCTACAACGGGCAAAACAATTGCCATGTGTAGATAATACTAGACATGAGTGTTGGAAAGTATGTATCGTAGTGAGCATGTGCGATTGGCTGTCACTTTACCTTTGCCACATTTGTCACACAGTACAATATAGTTAGGGGGGTGCGAGACACCACTGGCACAGAGGTCACACACTACATCACGATCATCAGAATCTGAAAGCAAGCAAGCAAACACACATGCACACACACACATGCACACACACACATGCACACACACACATGCACACACACACATGCACACACACACACACACACACACACATGCACACACACACATGCACACACACACACACACATGCACACACACACACACATGCACACACACATGTACACACACATGTACACACACATGTACACACACATGTACACACACATGTACACACACATGCACACATGCACACACACACACACACACACACACACACACACACACACACACACACACACACACACACACACACACACATACATGCAAATACACTTGTACTTGGTCACCACCATAAACTGGTCACGTGGGTCTTCCCCGGGAGAGGGAGTGGCATTCAAGAGGAATCTTGGACAGAACCAACACAGATAATCCTGTGGTTGTTCGGCGCCAAGCACCACCATTAGTGCTGAGGGATAGGTTTTCTTCAGCTCTAACTGTCCTACGACCACAATCAGGATATCCAAACATTTCAACACTGTACGGTGCTTTTATCACAGGCTAAATGCACAACTGTCAAAACGAGTACAAATGAAGGACGGTCATATGGCCTCCATACAGTAAGTCAGCCAAGCCGATAATAGTGCTGCAGTACACATGAATGCAGCATGCACGTGACTTACTTTTCCAGCATTAGGCTAGAATGCCTTGATTTACTGCCTATTAGACCATCACTACCATGACTACGCATAGTACATTTCTGCCTGCATGTGTTGTTTGGTTGACATACGGTAGAAAACGGCCTCACGGAGAAATGGTACTGGATTTTACGGAGGATAGGCCAAAACCAGATTTTGTCACGAAATAGTGGGAAATACAGACATCTACTGGTACCCGGTATTTCACAGTACATTGGACAATCTTAGTATAGCAGAACTCACAAATAACACCACTACAGTCAACTTCGCCTATAACGACACTCGGCGGGGCATCAAAAAAATGTCCTTATTCGCGAAGTGTTGTTATACCCGAAGTCTCATTATATGTATTACAGTTGGAAAGAACGTTCCTCTGGGTATGGAAATGCTGTCGTTATTCGCGAATTGTCGTTATATCCGCAGTCGTTATTAGCGAAGTTTACTGTATCTGCAAACCAAGCAACCGTTTGACCGCATACTTTCAACCTCACTAATAGGACAACTCGTGAATAGTCAGGCGCGTAGCACCGCCGTTGGAGGTGGTCCAGGGGAAGTCCCCGTGCAAATGTTGAAACTACGGGGCAATATCCTGCATTCTGGGCACTTTCGGCTATGGTTGGGCAAAAAAAGTGGTCCTTCTCGTGCCCGATTGAGGGTTTATAGATCGAGGGTTTATATTCGCAAAGTTGACTGTATACCATATACAGTTTTCCGATGATCGCTCAGTGCGTGAAACTCGGAGTAAAAACACTTTCTCTGTCCTCTTATTGTGTGAACCAGCTCTGCCTCTCGGTATTGAGCACTCTCTTGGACAGCCTGGAACCGCTCTGTTTAGCTAGCGCTACTCAGTTCCATTTGCCTATATTTTCACCAGGTCAAGTCCACTATGACCTCACACACCTTTCGTCAGGAAAATCCACTTCAAGTAATCAAATTGTTCCGATTCTTCGGTCCATGGCCGATCTATTATGTGAGTCCTTGTCTTACTTGTTCAACTCTAGTCTATCCATATCACAATTTCCCACTGCATGGAAATCAGCAACGGTCATTCCTCTCTTCAAGGGCACAGGCAGTGCCTCTCTGCCCACGAACTATAGACCAATGTCACTGCTTCATCCCGTCAGCCGCCTCTTCGAATCCCGCATAGCCCATCATCTGAACAGCTATCTTCATCGGCGCTGCACAATCCCGCCTAGTCAATTCGCCTACGTTCCTCAAAGATCAGCTACGGATCAACTCATTCTTTTGACCCATCACATTGCCCGTCTCTCTGATAGAGGGCAGAAATTTGATTGTGCATTTCTCGACTTCCAGAAAGCTTTTGATAAAGTATATCATCCCACGCTCCTGAGCCACATGAATACCTTCATGGCGCCAGAGGCACACGCCTGGTTTAGATCATATTTGCTTGACCATAGTCTAAGTGTGAAGCTCGATGCAACTCATTCATCCCAGTATATGCTAAACTGTGGTGTCCCCCAGGGTTCACACCTTGCACCTCCATTTTTTCTTTTGTATATCAATTCCCTTCCTGATATAGTTAACCATAGCTCGCCCTTCCTTTTTGCTGATGTCACTCTTCTAAATGCTCATGATGTATCCCTCTCCTTAGATGAGAACCTATCCCACCTCCAGCAGGATCTCGCCAGCTGCCAGCATTGGGCACAGAAAATACATGGCAAATTCTCTCCTGAAAAAACCTTCATCTTGTCCAATTACAACATTCCTGAATCCTCCTCTGTGTCCATGGACAACGTTTTAATCGGATCTGGGCGCTCCGCTAAGCATCTCGGTGTAGAGCTCAGTGATGGTTTGAAGTTCCACGACCACTTCCACACCATCTTCAGGAAGTTCCAGCAACGTGTTAATCTGTTATGCTTCATGGGCCGCCATTTACCATCATCATACATTGCTCTCCTGTATAAGTCTTACGGACGTCCGGCAATTGAGTATGCCACTCCTGTCTGGTCCCTTAGGATCACATCCGCTCAGTTAGAGTCCCTTGATGTACTCCAGGCTAAGGTTTGCCGGCGACTCCCGAGGTCTGCGAAAATAGACTTTGACAACTTTGAATCAAAATCTAATTTGAATACTTCAGTAGATTGTGTCACTTGGAATCCCTGCAATTTCGCCGTATCTTCATTTCTCTGGTTGTTTTATTTAAGTACATCAATTTCCACCCAGACTATCTCTCTCGCTTTGCGATTACCATCTCACGTAGTGCCCGTAGGCCCAAAAAGCTCATTTTTAACTCACATGGCCGCATTTTCTCATGTCTCTTCCTACGGAAACTGGTGCACTTTGGAATTGTCTCCCACCCCGATTGACAACTTCAGATTCCCTGACAGAATTCAAGCGTCATTTACGTATTAACATTGCAAAGTATCAGTTCGACTGCACTGGTATCCCTTTGATGTGCAATCATTGATTTACATGTACACTGCTTGTTCTTTCACTGTATCTTTTGTACAGCATCTCTCTTTTTCCGAACTCATTTTGCACATTTTCTCTTTTTCCCAACTCCAATGTTCGTTGTACTGTATATCACCTTATTTTCGGTGTTGTAAAATTTCGGTAAAAGCCAACCCCTGACCTTTCGGTGTAAGGATAAATTCGGTATGCATGGCACCAAAAAAAAAAAAAAAAAAAAAAAAAAAAAAAAAAAAAACGCTCTTGCACTAATATCTCCGCCAAGGCCAAAAGGCTCCACATAATAATGCATACATGTTATGTATGTACAATGTACTACCGGCCAGTATACAAGTAAGTTACAACTACACATGTAGTTGATTTTTTTAATTTGACAGTGATTTTCATGATTTTTACATATTTTGGTATTTCGGAAAATTTAGGTGTAATGTTAAATTAGGTGATCCAGGACCAGTACCGAAGTTACCGAAATTTAAATTACACCGAAATAAAGGTGTTGTACAGTATATACACAAATAGGAGATCCCCTGATAGGCGTCAGCAAGAGTCCATAAACAAGAGTATGCAACTGTGATCTCTTTTCTATGGGCCAGATGCGCGGCGCGCTGCCTTCATTACATCATTCAGCTGCAGTCCGCGCACTGCGGAAAATCAAACACCACACTTTCCCTCTGGTTTGAAATGAACTTTCGTACGGAACTGGAGTTCACGCGCCAGAATTTAGATATCGCGTAGGTACTGGAACGAATCGAGCAAAAACGGATTGGCTCGTACGAGAAATCGTGAGTTTGAATGCATGCTTTCAGAGCGTGATGAAGGCAAGTTACGTAATGAAGGCAGCGCGCCGCGCACTGACCCATCACCACAGTTGCATACTCTTGTTTATGCACTCTTGGCGTCAGCCTTTGGGTAATCCTGAAATAAAGATTATTATATTTACTATAGTGTTGTATACCATATATGGACTACTTTAAAGTGTATAAGTTCACCAACTAATTGACTAGACCTTGTAAGTCATATCACTGATTGAATGGCACATGGTAATAATAATAATAATATTCTTTATTTCAGGATGTACTACGGTAGAGGCACAAGTAGCTTCATGATTCAGATTGATTTGTAAAGCAAGTACCGGTAGGCTGTGGCCATGAAACTGGCATGGCACGTACAAGAACTATAGTCCGTGTACACACATAAATTTTAAACTGACCATTCGTCATCGATGCCCAGTCAGCCCAGTAGCAAGAGCCATTTTTCGTCTCCAAGAATGACTGGCACTTCTCTGCATCATTCTGTTGATTAAGTCAACACAATGACAATGGCCTGTTAGGTCAACACAATGACAACTCAAACCACTACAAAACAGCAAGTCGTGTGTAAAATTTGTTTGATATACAACTAACTATACATGGTCCGGAGCGAGCAAATTCGTGCACGTACTTCTAAAACCAAAGCTTGCTGGAGTTCCTCCGTACTACTCCTACGAGCCAGCACGCCGTCTCCAATTTGAAAGAGCAAATTGACGTTTTCGAAGCTATTTGTGTCGGGCTCGAAAACACTTTCACACGGATCGCTGTCCATTACCAGTACTCAATTTCTCAACGAACCGAATGTAGGTTTAGCTCACGGGACTGTTTCTGCCAAACACCGAACCGTCATAGAAGAAGGGAAAAGAAGAGAAACAATGTTGCAGAGTGTCCAGAAGTGTACAACTGCATTTTATTACAAAAGGCTACATCCGCGATGTTGCTCTTTGCGGGAAATTTGTGTCGGACATGTGTTCATTCATTTCATTGTTTTGGATACAAGACGTTTTGAACTTGAGCCTTGAGGTTTTGATTGTCAATATCATGTTAGTTTTTGCGAACTTTTCGTTTCCGACAGAAACCCGCCTAAAATCATGGTTTTTACAAAACCTCTCCCCTCACTTTGTAAGAATTGAAAAAACGCACCGAAAGTGGCCGGCCACGCATCATGATTTTTTCAGTTCAATATTTTCACAGACACAAATAATTACAAGGCATGCGATTATTTTTGAAGTTTTATAGCGATGAGATAGTATTTACCACAGTTGGGGAGCGAGCGAGCCTTGGATATGTTGAAGACAATGATAGAGTAGGAGGATCTCAGATTAATTTCCCTCTCGCGTCGCATCCAGAAGACTCACCCAAGTACCAGCCATGGCTGCGCTTGTCTCGAGCTGTCGGAGATTGCAGCCTGTTCTCTCCAAACAGTCTTCCGCATTTGTACGTAACATGAACAGCCATCAACAATTGGTCAACTTCCCCAAACCTAAAGCCCGTGGACCTAAAGCTCTTCCTGTGAAGATTGTGAACCCTACGCCCAGTGGTTTCATGGGTAAGTTAAGCTAGTAGTACTCCGAATCGTGGGGGATATTATACTGACCACTTTCGAGGGCTGTATATTGAAAACGATTTTTTCCTGGCAAAAGTGTTCAAATACGGATTTTTTGGAAAGCTTGAGCCATGAGCTGAGGAGTTCTCTAGAAACAGCTTCTAGCCTTCATTTGTAAGAGGAACAAAAATCCATCTCCAATTCCATTTTTTGAAGAGAAGCACAGCTCATCGACATGTGGACTATTTGAAGTTAACAGTTGTAGTCTTCGGGTTCTGAGTCAAATGGTCTTGGTTCGAGGAAGCTAGATCATTTCCCTTCTACCGGTATACTGCGCTAAAGCGCGAGCCTAAATATTGTAGAATCCTCTTGTTTTAGACTACAAGTACTAGTAATTCGAGGCCGCTGAACACGAAAATCTGGTGTTTCTCGCGGGGTCGAGTACGCATCTGGTCGAAATTAGTACTTCGCTATGCCTCTGCGCAAAGCGCGGTGGTCATTTTGTTCAAGCAAGGCATGTGTGGCATCAATGGAAAGGTAATGACCTCACCAACCTAAAAATAGCATCGACGAGGGAGTACAGTCAACTTCGCTTATAACGACACTCGGCGGGGCATCAGAAAAGTGTCCTTATTCGCGAAGTCTCATTATATGTATTACAGTTGGATGGGACTTTGCTCTGGGCGTGGAAATTTAGTCGTTATTTGAGAACTGTCGTTATATCCGCAGTCGTTATTAGCGAAGTTGACTGTACTGGCCACGGGATCAGATAGAAGCTGGCTCAAAGTCAGGCCAAAGAGCTGCCACCCGGGCCTCATCTAAATGTACAGGCAAGTTGTGACCACATTTTTGACCTGACCCGGGCCGGAACTGAACTCCCTAACAACTGTGTGACGGTGGCGTATGCATGTGCCTGGTACATGTACACTCTAACCTCTGTCATCCGGGCAGTCCGGGACCGGGCACTGCCCGTAATTTAGAAATGTCCGTGGCTCTGAATCGCGTACATTGTGATGGGGAAGGGCCAGAGATCTGGGATATGACGTCACTAGTTCCACAAAAGAGTAGGAATATTTCCAAGTCTCACTCACAGGGTGCCCAGGCAGTAGACTGAGCCACTCGTAACTTGGAGGGTCGGATAAGAGAGATATGAGTGTACTTGAAAGAACATACATACATACATAGCCAGATAACATTAGTCAGTACATACACCAGGGAGCAGTAAAACATCGGGTTTCTACTTTCTAGTACTCTCTACCTCCCTGGTCTGTTTGCACACTGCGAGCGGAGAGTTCAGGACATGCAGAACGGACCCTATTGTCCACAGGTTCAAAGTGTGTGTGTGTGTGTGTGTGTGTGTGTGTGTGTTTGCATGTGTGTACATGTGTGTGTGTGTGTGTGTGTGTGTGTGTGTGTGTGTGTGTGTGTGTGTGCATGTGTGTGTGTGTGTGTGTGCATGTGTGTGTGTGTGTGCATGTGTGTGCATGTGTGTGCATGTGTGTGTGTGCATGTGTGTGTGTGTGTGTGTGTGTGTGTGTGTGTGTGTGTGTGTGTGTGTGTGTGTGTGTGTGTGTGTGTGTCTACTTGATAGATTACGATGCAGAACTGGAAGTCAGTTCAACAGGTCGTCAGTATGGATTCGCTCCAAGTAAGTAGTTGGTTGTAGGCGTTGGCTACGGCGTATTCAGTACCTGAACTTTGCGTAAACAACATGTAGTTGTGACACTAGTCTTAGCCACTTTGGATCCTGCTCATTTCTCTTGAGATGTGATCGATCACAGAGGTTTTGAAACTCAGTGCAAGGGGTATGCACAGGTGTGCACATATATGTTCAGATAATGGTAGCCAATTAGCATTTTGCCACTTTTTTGTGTAGGTGTCGTCCTGTAGCTGAAAGTTGGCAGCTATGCCTCGGAAGGTTTCTCTCTTCTCTGCCAGGTGGCACAACTTTCAACTTTTCATTCCTGGTCCATGTGTGTCATTGTCGAGCTAAACATACCGCATTTTGTATAGAGGTTCGATACGATGCTCATTGGTCTGCTTTGTTGCTGTCTCACGGCATAACAAGGCAACACGCGTTGTCTACAACTTGCAATATCCAGTGCACTCAGAGGATGCTGATAGTTACAATCGAAAGCGGATTGATAATTAGAGTAAACAAAGAGTAGGAAAAGTAACCTGTGAAATTGTGCCTTGATCACTAGCCTTGCTTATGTGGGCGTAGCACGTAACACTTGTTTGTTGAGCATGGAGCAAAGCGGCTCTGTTCAAACCTTCTTTTTGTCCGGCCGACTTGATAGTAAGAGCTGCTAGGTAGTTGTGATGAGGAAGTACCTGATGGTCAATTGTACTGAACATTCATATTGTCAACTAGACAGTCAGCAGATTAATACGGATGTGTTTCTTCCTTGTGTTTCTTTTCTTGGCTTGCTTTGCCAGCTCCTCATCCTCTCCCTTCCCATGAAACCATGTGGGAAGGATTTACTCCACAGATGAAGGGACATACACCCAAGAAGGTATTGACTACACTGCAGTGCTGTTCAGTGTCAAATTAAGCAAATTATCCTCTTTTTGTTGGGAAGAGGTGACGACCATCTGGGATTCCCAAGATTTGTAGAAAGTAGTTGGCTGGACACACCCATTCCCAAAGCTCTGCGCAGGACCGAACCAATTCTTACCGTGCGTTCGGCAATGTTGCCATCGTCAGGTACGAATGAAACAATGGGAATGGGTGTGTCCACCCAACTACTTTCTACAGATGAAGCTGCAAGATGCCTCGAAATTACGTCTCGTCCCCGTAGCTATGCAAAAGGCGTTACTTCAGTAACATCTGGCGCTAGCCAGGGTCCACACAGCTTTAATTCCGTGTGTGTTTGTGTGTTTGTGCCGCCGGCATGCCTGGTGCTATCCCTTACCTGTCCCGTACCGTACCATCAAAGACAGCTGGCCACAATATTCAAATAGGGCTTTCAAATGCAAGATCATAACGTGAAGCAACTTGGAAGAATGAGTATGTATGCGAAGTGTATCGGGGGAATGCATGCTGAGCGATAGTGCGGGTTCGAATCCTAGGTTGTCTTGAAAAATAGGAGAAATGAAAATTTTATTTTGGATTTTCAATAAAGTCCCGGAGAAGAATGTTATACTGGTAATATCATACAATAATTTTATATATAAACCCAACCCACTTTTGCCTGACTCATATTCAAACTGATTGAAACGTTTTTGCAATACAATGATGTAGCCAATCAATGGAAAATGTTCTAATAACATGCATGATGAGCTAGGCAAAAAAAGAATAGCGTAGGGCCCTGAGCTTCCAAGCTCTCTCGTTATTTGTCTTGTTAAGGTATGGCTGTAGGACCACTGTGCAAACATGGTAGCACACTAAAATACTGATGCGTACCACTGAAATGGTGTTCTAGACTTGTTGCTACAGGTACATATGTACATGATTGTAGCAGCATTGTCATTCCTGCTCCCTGTGCCTAGGATTACTTTTACCGACCTTACCGAAGACTTGCAGAGATTTTTTTCTGATTTGTGGTGTGGACTCACCTGAGTACATCTACATGCGTATGCTGGGCATGTGTCTTGCTGGGTGTGGGCACGGCTGCCTGGTCTACTGCAGGTGTGGATGTGGGTGTGGGGGGAGGGGGTGCAGCGGTCATGTTCTGCCATCTATTTATGGGCCTTGAGTACTGCATGCAGGGCCGGAAGCCTGAATTCCACTGCAGTGTAGTGTAGTGTAGTGCAATCCAGTGTAGTGTGGTGCAATCCAGTGTAGTGTAGTGTAGTGTAGTGCAATCCAGTGTAGTGTGGTGCAATCATTTTAAAAATACAAATAGCTGTACAGTGCAGTTTATAGTGGATCATTAATTCTGCTGTTGCTCTGTGCGTTCTGTTCATTTGTCTTTTGCAGAGGGCGAAAAAGAGATGTAATGGAGTAAGTATGCTTGTAGTAAAAGAGGTTTTTTTGTTTTTTATCTTCTGAACTACGCTGGTTATGTGATTTGGAAGGGTTGTAATGGGTAGGGGTTTGATCGGGTAATGGTTCGGATGGGGCTTTGGCTCTTGACTGTTCTCAAAGAACAAGGAAAACAGGAAGGTAAAATAACTTAGATGACCAGTGCAATGTAAGAAATTATGAATAGAATACGTGTGTTATAAACTATGACATCTGTGATAATCGATACATGTCCCAGGTGACGATGGATCCGACTTCATTGCTGCTCAAGGTAGCGGCGGTTCTTGTTCAGAAAACACGGAATGTCTACGTGATTATTATTATTATTTTTTATTTTATTTCTCATCTTGTTAGGGATATCCTAACAGGCAATGTTGTGATGTGCTCGAGTGGCTTCTTCCAGCCAGATCGCCCCTCCATCTTGTGTAGCTTTGTTGTCGCCAACGACGAATGATTGAAGTGGCTGACTATCTTCCTGGCATGGGACACCACTCGGGTGATGGCAGCCTCCTAGAGTCCCTCGTGTTCAGAGAGCTGCAAAGTATGGCTCGCAAAATGAACATGGCCCCAGTCTTGATCCAGGCCCAGAATTTCATCATTACACACCATGTTGGCAGGTTCGCCTTTCCTGTCCTTTCCTTTTTCGGCTCTTCGTACTATAATTTTCCATTTTTCCTTCACACCAATGTCTCTTCACGTTTTTTGGGGGAAATCGCGCTCTGATATTTCTTGCGGTAATTTCTCAAAAGTGGCCTCGAGTACATTCTCAGCAACGCGGTGAGCCATTTTCAAATGAACAGACTGTAGTGGAAAGTTCATATTAAAAAAATTTGGCCCATCAAATCACACATAAGCCTGGTTTTAGTGTTGACATACATAGAAATACCTGTCTTGTATAGAAGCCTGCAAAATTTCACCAAGAAAGTCATAGAAGCCGCTGCTTTTATTAGGGGTCAAAGGGGTGTACCGGGTACCCGACCGTTAACCTCAGGTACCGTTAGTAAAAGGGTACCCGTTTGGATTTTGATGAACCAATCAGTGTGGAGCAACACTGCTGGGATCGTGTATTCCAGGCGGGAGTCGATTATTTACAACTCAACGCTGGATGTCTGCATTGTTGTTGCATTTTCGCACCTAGTAGATCTACTCCTGCGACTATCAGACACCAATCGATTTGCGGATCACAACGTGATATCAAAATGCAACCCGAGAACAGATGAATTATAATCTTGATTTATGTAAAAATTGCGCAAAAACCTAAACATGGCTGCTAAAGGGTACCCGTTAACCCGCCTGTTAAAAAAATTACCCGTTCGTTAGTTAAAGGTACACCCGTTTGACTCCTAGCTTTTATACAAGACTTTACGGTACATGTGTGTAGTAAGATAATGAAAGAATCCTCCTTGATTTCCTGGCTACGCATTTGACATGGCATTGCTCGTGTATTATTCATCCACTCACTGTGCGTGTGTGTGTCTGTGTGTTTGTTCTGTAATTGCTTGTGTTCCGTCTTCCTGATTGGCTGTAGCGCATGGTGTTCAATGTGGAGAGACAGTATCTTCCGCACAAAAGCATTTGTGCATTTTGCAGATCAACAGCGGAGAACAAGTCAACGGTACGTTGGTTCTTTGTATTTTACACGACCAGTTTTTTTTATACTTCTGCCCTGGAATTGACACGATTGCGCACAGGACCGGAAACTAGTATGAAATTCCAAGATATACCATGGCTAATATTGGCTATGTGATGTCATTTGATCTTCTTGGTGTGCTCTTGCACATGTGACCATGGTAGCATGACATTTGTTGACATACGGTTGCTTACTGCTTTCTGCTGCAACACATGTCTTTGTATGCTCCTGCAGAACCTCATGTTTTTGATGAACTTCATCCATCCCATCTCCTGGAACACCTATCGCTGGACCGTGTCTGGTTGGTACTGTTATGCTTGCTGCTGCTGCAGGTGCTGATGTGCCTCCTTGCTTAGTGCATGCTAAATGTAAAGACTAGTGGCAGTGTACTAAATACAGTGCGGATCGGCTATAGGGTTGTCGGCTATAGTAATATACCTCTTATAGTGATCGTATTCTCAAATTCATTTTCATAAACCACCCCTTTCTATACATATCGGATCGGCTATAGTAATATATCGGCTATAATGATACGATTTCTTTGTCAAAATGATTTTATTGCATACATTTTTCATCGGCTATAGTGATGATCATAACAAAAAATAATATACATCGTACATGGCGAGATCTGATCGCGGCAGCCAAGAAGCGCTGCCGCTGGTACGACTATGATATCCCTCGGAGGAAATTCGAAATGTTTGGCGTTGGCTGTGCTTGTTCCGGGGCATCCTCGAGCGAGAGCGGAGGCAGTAATGAGTACCAGCGCTGAAGCGCTACCGTGGTCTCCGCCGAGATGTTGGAGAAGGCATTCAGGTAACAGCGAAGACGATAAGGGACGCGGAGAAGCTTCTCCGTGACATACGACATCACGCGTCGATCGACCTGCCACTTGGAACGGTTTCAGCGGTGATGAGTCGAGCGATGGCGACCCAGACTGAGACTTTACTCCCACTAATCGATCCTGTAGATATTGTTGATATGTCGATTCAATGTGTTGAAGTGTTTCTCTTCCAAAAGAACACAATCATTTGTTGAGCACATGTACAGCAACTTCTTGAAAACTCATGTCAAAAAGTCACGAAGTTTTTCTTTCCGCAGGAAGTAGCTCTGCACTGCGCGTACTGCACAGTCACATGCACAGCACGCTTCTGCACGCTACACTGATTCGAATGACACCATACACGCATGTGTCAGGCATACCTAAGTATGCATATCGCCTGTAGTAATATATCGCCTATAGTGATGTTTGCACGAAAATCAAACACCACCGCTATAGCCGATCCGTACTGTACTCTCTCATGCATGCAGCTATGTTCGCCACAGTGCCCTTCATGCATATAGGTTACGGTTGCTCTTGTGACTACAGGAGACCTGATAGGGCCACAGTTCTGCGGACCTGATAGGGCCACAGTTCTGCGGACCTGATAGGGCCACAGTTCTGCGGACCTGATAGGGCCACAGTTCTGCGGACCTGATAGGGCCACAGTTCTGCGGACCTGAAAGGGCCACAGTTCTGCGGACCTGAAAGGGCCACAGTTCTGCGGACCTGATAGGGCCACAGTTCTGCGGACCTGATAGGGCCACAGGGCCCACCACAGTTATGCGGGTCATGTGGCACCACAGTGCTTGAAAGTGCTACGCCGCCGCAGCCTGGCCGGAGTTGTGCACTGGATGACTTTGAGATCCACTTGCAAAGTAGTAGATCTAGTTTTCTTTATATGATGACACATCTGCCGTTGGTGCCTGGACTGAACCTGGCCCTCCTAGCCAGGGACCCACGCTTGTTACAGAAAACATGTCATATCAGCATGCGGCATGAGGGAGCACTTTTAAAACGTCGCACAGTCAACTAGCCTCGGCTTTAGTGACAACTTGCGAATAATTATATAAAAATCTATCATATCCGACCGAGGGCTGTTATATGTAGTTGCATGGTTGACTGAGCTTTTCTACGGCTAGAGTGGATCCCATTTGAGCGAGAAGTTCAGAAGTTGTTTTTTATTGACTTGCAACGTTGTCACTTACAGTATTTCAAGCGCTGTTGTGCCATGCGGGCCACAAGGCCCATTGTGCCATGCGGGCCACAAGGCCAAATGGGCCCTTTGTGACTCTGCTGCGGTGCAGCTTTGCATGTCACTGCAGCTATGCGAGTCACCGTTTTCTGTTCGCTTGATAGTGCTGGTTTTGTTGGTGAGGGGTCTGTCCTGGGTACTTGTAGCAAGGTCCCCTGATCCTCAACTCTATTGCTTAGAATAGTATCGTGTCTGCTTGTTGGTATGCCTCTCAACATAGGTCTTTGTCAGTATGCTGAGGCTCAAGTTAGAATCTTACTGGAGGACGCACGTGCGAATGGTGAGTTCAGTTCAAGACATCATGGCATGTGTTGTGCAACAGAGAGTTCACGTTGCTTACTTCTAATTCTAAGGAATTTTAAACTTGGTAGAGGCGCTGGGATTTCATGGGCCGGCATCGCGCATTGATTTAGACTTAGCTGTGTGAAAGGCTCACGTTTTCTCTATTATGTTACATCACTGACGATCTGGATGCATGCACTGGTGGGAAGCTTTATGGCATGGTAGTCTCGACTTCACCGGTCAACACAGCAGCAGCAGTGCAGTGTATGTGTACACTGTACAGACACAATATCTGTCACGTGGAGGTCTTGCGTGCACGACGTGTTCACACTTCTCCTCTGCAGCATCGCCATTTGATTTGTTACAACTACAGCTACAGGTCGCTTGTCCATTTTGAATACGTATGTGTATGTCACAGCCGTATGCCACCCAACACTATCTATAGTGCATGCTTATGTGTGTCTTTGCACCGTATGTGTCTGTTATTTTCAGGTTTTCTGCCCCGCCACCCACCGCCCATCACAACTGACAAGCATTGGCAACCGCCGGGTGAAATGTTGGACTTGCGCCACTACGCCTGGTACACGCGCGATGAGAGAAAGCGTGACATGAGGAAGTACGCTCTCGATCTCAGATATAGCAAGCAGTTCAAGCACAGAGTTTAAGTCCAGCCGTTCTTCTCAAGTTTGATCGCACCCGTATAATATGGAGAAAGAGAAACCTGGCATGTCAATATAGTGATTATATACGAAACCACTAAACTACTTACCTGACCAGTTGCACTTCTTCCTGGCAGCGTGTTTCCGCTACTCCGACACCTTGTAGTGTACATGCCAGCAGCAATGTGCGTTGCTGTGCGTTGCTGTGTGTTGCTCTGTGTGGACGGTATCACCCCGCGGGTCTTGCACTCCTGCAGCTTAGCGGCAGGACCTGTTGGTGGTGGTGGTGCAGTGACTGGTGTCAAGGTGTTGTGTGGAGTGATGTGGAGGGAGACAGAGACAGAGAGAAGCATTTCAGTTGGCATGGTTTGTGTACAGTTGTGTCAAAAGTGAAATTCAGACCAATTGTCATTGCTAAACATCAGTCCTGACTTGGCTGGCCAAAACTGTATAAAAATAAAATAATTTTGTCTACCATCAACCGCCTCAACTCGAACTGCACTGCGTACTATTCACTCAAACATTCCTCTTTTTTTGGTTGCTCTATAGTAAGGTCTTAGATCATCATCAGGTTATCCCGAGACGTATTTGATTTCGACCCTGGTGGGGTGACCAGGTGACAGGAAGGCAGGCCGGTGTAGCAATGGCCCGGTCATGACTGCACCGGGTTTTCCAACCAGTGGTACCCGGCAGCAGCGGCTACCTTCTCACACCACTACAGTGTAGTGTTGTAGTCATGGATGATGAATCATGATGATGATGATGACTTCTTTTCTAATGGTGACTAGTTGATCATGTGCTGTTAGGACGTACACCATGGCATGATGCGCGGGCAGAATTTGGCAAGTCAATCCTTTCTTGGCGGTTTGAGTGCACAACTCACACTAGCAAAAATCAGCTATCGACTGCCACGTTACTAATGCTCTAGCGACATGCTACGCACGCAATGACATTATGTGAGGTTTAGTACACCATAGCACTGCAAGACCACACAAAGCTGGGAAGGAGCAGTGGCATCTAGACCCCACCAGCCCTCCCCCTCCCCATTCTGGGAAAGTATACGGCCTAAAGTCTAATTTTCGCTACTTGTAGTTTTCTAGGTGCCGAGTAGAATGGCGTTAGTCTGAGGAAGAGTAGAATGGCGTTAGTCTGAGGAAGAGTAGAATGGCGTTAGTCTGAGGAAGAGAAGAATGGCGTTAGTCTGAGGAAGAGTAAAATGGCGTTAGTCTGAGGAAGCTTCAACACTCTGCTCGTCCTGTCCTATATTCCCAATATCAAATTTGCACACCTTCGCCGAAATGAGGAGAGTGTACATGCACTGCTGGATTGGGCTTCATTCAAATGAATGGTTCACTTTGTTCTTATAAAATCACGGATGAACTCTCTGAATCTGCAGTCCTTTGGGCACTGAATATATTTGTGTTGATCAAGGAATGCTGCAATGCCAAATTAAAATTAATTTAATTTACCCTCACCTCGTAGTCTTCAGGGTGCTGAGTTGAATGGTCTTGGTCCACGGAAACTGAGACGCTCCCTTCCTCCTTTATTCTCAATCGGATTCGCCACTTCCACCGGAACTGGGTGACTGCGCCCTACTAGATGGGGATTTAAATGCAAAATGTCACTAAAAGTGCCAGTTTGTTCTTATGCAAGCACGGATGAACGAGATTAGTCCAAATGTTGTAGTCTTTTGGACTCTGCGTCGACTGGTTTTGGTCCAAGAAGGCTGCGATGCAGCTTTCGGCCCTTTTCCCCAATCGAACGTGGTTGAATAGGCGGGCACGTGCCGATGCGTACACCAGTCACCGTGCCTGCAGGCTACCACTTGCAGCCTGGTATAGGTAAGCCTTGTTTGATAGAATAACGTGATGATCGGTCCGCCCAGTAACACGCTGTTAAGTTGAGCCTTGGTGTGAAAGTTGTAGCCTGCAGGCACGGTGACCAGGTAACTAGTGTACGAATCAGCACGTGATTGCTTATTCAACCATGTTCGATTGGGAATATGGGCCAAGCGTCGCAGCATCCTCGAACCGGAACCAGTCGACACAGTGTCCAAAAAAACTACAACATACGGGCCAATCTCGTTCATGCTTTTATAAGAACGAAATGGCGCATTTAGTGACATTTTGCATCTAAATGCCCATCTAGTAGGGCGCAGTCCCACAGTTTTGGTGGAAGTGGCGAGTTCAATTGGGAATAAAGGAGGAAGGAAGCGTCTCAGCTTCCTTAGACCAAGACCATTTGAGTCGGCACCCTGAAGACTACGAGTAGTAAGATTTTGATTCTAGACCATACTTCCCCTCAGTCATGTATGCTCTTCCCATACCGGTGGAAGTGCGAGGACATGATTGAGAATATAGGACGAAAGAAGTGCCGCAGCTTCCACAGACCAACGGCATCTGGCTGAGCATCCAGAAGACAAGTGGCGCCGGATATTTTGATTCCAGCCCACGCTTCCCCTTAAGAAGCTGGTCTGAACAAAGGGCAACTAACTGTCCCAGCACCAGCTCTTATGGTCGACTGCAGCAGATCAGTGGCAGTGCCCTAGCAACGGGACTGGCGGGTTGTAAACAGGGGCACAGTGGCCTACAGTCCTCCCAGAGCCATGTCATAGCCCGGAGCAGGTATTTACACCACACCAGGGAGTAGTGAAAACCACTTTCACGACTCCCTGCACCACACCAAGTAGATCTACTACTGCTCAATGAAATCGAAATGGTGGAGCTAGTGGCATGCCAGGTACTAGGTGCTGCAGAGCGGCCCCGGGCTCTTGTCTATGAACACTGGTTTGCGGTGCTCTCAGTGCTACATGGTGCACATGGCACAAACCTTGAATTGCATGATCAGATTCACTGTAGCAAGTTACTAGCAACCACTACTGGCACTAAGTTAGTCTACAGCAGGGGTGTAGCACCCGCTACGACTGGTACGACCATGGCCGTACCACTTTTCGAAAAGTGTGGGCCGTCTGGCCGGGAACGTGCAAAACCGTAATAAAAAATCGGGACCCGTCAGATCTTTCACTTTTGTTTGAGTTTGACTCATACTCGACTCGACACGGCTATTAGGTGCACTTGGTTCACGGCAACTTAGTTTTCTGCACGGGAACCATAAAATTCCACGACTAAAAATTAGTAGAAAATGTGCCAAAAGTACCCAGAGCACAGGATTTTGTGTCTTTTTTTACAAAATGTTCACAGGGACGACCCCCGGACTCCCCTTCACAGCCAGCTCCGTCCTTTGTCCCAAGCCCCTCCTACGCCCTTGTGTAACAGAGTGTCACCAAGAGTTCATAACATACCGGTAGCCGCGAACTCTTGGTAGTATCAGTATCACCGGTACGAATACATAACCCCCACCCCCAGATTATGTACTCTTGCAGTCTTCGTATCACTTCTATCCTCCTTCCGTCCACACCACAAAGCCGCTTTAGAACGGAACAGAACAGCAGCAACATAATTATACGTACATTCCTGTTCCACTTGTATCTTCGTGGGACTTGCTCCTCCGCTCGTATCTGAACTACAGAACCCGGACGGCAGGACCAACAACAGCGGGCTAAGGTCAGGATGCAGAAGAAGTGCCGCAGTCTCCCACCGACCCTGCGGGGGACTAGCGGCTAGGCTAGGCTACGGACCGTATGTCCTGCGACGGATTCTTGGCAGCCGGCATTATTGCAGTACTCGTATTCTTGTTCGTATTCGGTGGAACTCTCGAGTAGGAGATTATCAGTTCAGCAACTCTCGAGTAGGAGATACCGGTATTTATCAGTTCAGCGCCGAGTCCGTGTTGCAAAAGAAGGATCCGATATAACCGTTGCTCCTTCTTGCTACATTGGACATAGGAGACTTGCACCGGCGACACCATGGAAACTGCACTTGTGAAGTTGTGTCGCTACGTGCAGCTACTGTCTCGTACTGAGCTATGTAGTGGAGCGATAACCATGATAACTGACTTGGTCACTTGGCCCTGGCCTGGGTCTTGCTGTTGCTCAGGGTGGCGAGGAGGCTGGCAGGAACCGTGACTGGCGTGAGGTGGTGGAAAGTGTTCAAACTTTCTTTCATCAGCACTGTAGATCTACTCCGTAGACCTTCCGAATCATGGCCCCATTTTGCTGTAACTACCGGGAAAGACTGACCTGGAGAGGAGAATACAGTACTCGCAAACACACTGAGGACTTCTCTACCGTGATGGTCTACACCTAGCAGCAAGAGTGTATAAACAGCACTCTTGACTCTTGTTAGCACCTGTACCTGTCAGCGGAAAGCGCGGGAATGCAGCGACGGTAGTTCACAATAGTCCACACCCCCAAGGAAACAGCACTACGAGTCCTTGTGAAGGGCCAGGTGCAGAGATTTCACCACGATGGCGATGTTGACGTGTGAACAGGATCATGCGTGGGCACACAGACCCAGTGCACTGATTACTGCCGCGGGCCAGACTGGCCGCGCCAGTGACCGAAGTGCTCAGCGCTGTGTGGTGACAGCATATCCGACAAGGCGGAGAACACATTGCATTGCCGGGAAGGAATGCTTGACTGCAATCATCGGCGGACAGCGACTGTATGCTCATTGCCGTCATCATCATACCTGGTAAAGTCATCAACTAGTTCATGTAGTTACCGGTAGTACATGCTTACAATTATCATTACCCATATAAAAACCGCTCTGTGAGCGGTTCTGAAAACCCTCTACTGGTGCAGCCCCGTCGTAAAAGTAAGAAATTAGAACTGGCGCATTGTCCTCCCAAATGTGAACTGATCCACCTAAATCGCGATTGACGGGACCCGAACGCACCAGTAGCACGAGGTTCCTACCTGTGGATGCAGCTGGGGACGCTGGTCCATAGCCAAAGCCAAAGCGGCAAAGGTGGGCTTCGGGGTAGATCTAAGTGTTGTATGGTAACTTGATCAGCGCCGACGCCGGCTGTGATCCTGTGCCCTCCCGACCTCGTGCTACTGGTGCGTTCGGGTCCCGTCAATCGCGATTTAGGTGGATCAGTTCACATTTGGGAGGACAATGCGCCAGTTCTAATTTCTTACTTTTACGACGGGGTTGCACCAGTAGAGGTTTTTCAGAACCGCTCACAGAGCGGTTTTTATATGGGTAATTTCAGTTCTTTTTCTGTTCCCTCCCCCACCCCACCCCAGCCCAGCTCCGAAGATAAACATGGTGAGCACGCGCGCCATGCACTGTATGTAGCCATGCAACTGCAGTAGCACACTGATACATTCCAGCCCTCCCCACCTCGCTACCCCGCACACAGACACCTTGTGACAAACACGCACATGCACATGGCACACACACACATGGGCACGCACACACATACATACACACACACACGACCCAAACAGGAAATTCTTGATGAACATTGTATAATGCCATGCAAAGCAGTGGCCACCATACTTCAGGAAGTCAGTTGTGAAACAAAAATAATTCAACTACAATGTGTAGGTAAGCTGGCGGCCAAAGCACAACATTGCAAACCGTGATGATATTTGCCTAAGGATTGCAGTTTGCAGACCACACCATGGAAGCAGTGAATACAGAATTATTGTAATGTCATACAAAGACAAGCAAAGAAGTGG